GGCTTGTCTGTCATTGCCCATAAATGAAGTTGATTAGGGGAAACTGCTGCTTTGTGGTCCCGTCGCTCTCCTACTCTGGACACTAGCCATATTGTCTTCCCCCCAACACATACACACAAACACACCACGCTCGATCAACCTGAAGACTGAGGCTGCTTGACCTCTCAGAAATCTGACCCCTGAGGCTCCTTGCTGCTCCCCCAGGCACCTGCCAACCTTTACCCCTTCACTGGGTGAGCATCTGGAAGGTGAAGAGGGACAGACAGGGAGGCCAGGGTGGGCTGTTGTCGAGTATTGACACGGTAACAGATCGCTCCACAGAGATGTCAGACTTCAGAGAGATGGATAGACTGTTTTTCCTTTTTTCACAGATCAAATACCAACTCCCCCCTCCCCCGCTGCACATTCTGTGTACGTCTGTGGGTATCTGTTGTTACATGTCTGTCTTGTTTTTCTCCTGATTTCTGTCTTTCACTCTACTTGTCTTTTATTTCCTTCTTGAAGACACAGATCGTGCAGGCTATGATGTATGCACAGCTGGTCTCGACAGAGCCGTCCGGGAAACCTGTGGTTTACAGATCCCCTGTTGACACACTGATTTGACTCGCCTTTCACTTTTCTAACCTGGAATTTTAACTGTGCGTGGGGCTATTGAGGTCCAACTCAGCATGTTTGACCACGCTGGGAAAACCACTCAAAATATGCTGCATCCTGACTGACACACAGACTGAATGGATATGTCACATCATGTGAAAGGCTAAACCAAAAAACATGGTTTCTAATCCCATGAGCAATGGTCCCACACCTGCTCACACCATTTGTTACAAAGAATTTAGTATCATTAGTCCCACTAAAATGCTATACCACACCTCGGTTTTATGGAAACAATAATATCTTTGCTGTTGGGTTATAGACAGACTGTAAAGACATATTTGAAGTAATGCCAGACTTACAGTTACACTTCAGGGCCAAAAGCTACGTTATATAGTTTGGTCCACTTCACACTTGTGATTTAAAAGACAGAATTTTATTGATTCCAAGCAGTGAACTGTTACTTTGGCTGAATGACGTTGTTTCTATAGAAAAGTATCCGAACATTATTGGTTTCAGAATGTAGTTACACCTGCAATAACACATGTTTTAGCCACTTTGGGGCAGCAGAGACAAGTTGTGAACACTATATAGACGTATCATTTACCTTAACAGTTGGGCAAACATTAGCTTGTTTACACATTCTGCTGCAATAAAAGCATATTATATATTGTAATATATTCTTATATTACATTTGGAGTCATGTTTCTGGCTTCAGGATGAATATGAGTCCAATTTTCACACTCTTTGGACTCTGCTTTGCTTTGCTACCTTCTCCTCAGGGACATGTCAGCCAACTGCTAAATGCTTCATTACCCAGCTGGCCACTTACATTGTTGACATTGAAATTTGGCTGCATGAATGTTGTGACATCAGATGACCTTAATTAAATGTCAGAACAACTTCTATGCCAAGTTCAGTTTAACATAGAATACTGACTTAAACTGACTTTGATAATAAGTTGGTTCCAACGTCCTCAAATGTTTGAGCCAACAGTAAGTTAACATAGATAGACATTTTGACCAAAACCCAACATCTGATAAATAGGTTGTAAAAACGTCCAAACAACAAAACATTCAAACGATTTTGGACGTACAAAAGTCGAGGTGTTTTGTGAATGGATTACAGCGCCTCAGCCCAACATAATCTTGACAATCAGATGTCAATATAAATTCTGCTTCATTTCATTTCATTTTCGTCTGCTAAACATTTCTGGTAGTTGTCAAGACTGCATTAGCCTTTGAAGTCAACTGGATGTTATTATTAAACCCTTCCAGTGTTAGAGTTCCACATATTTCTGACATTGACATCCAGAATCATCTGGGTTATGTTGAGCTAGTCTTTGTGTCAGTCGGCTGGTCGGTGCTGAGCAGGATGATGTATTTCAGTATTTCCCAGAAAAACCTCTGTGCTGGTTACACAATCAGCGAAGACACCAAAACATTGTGTCATAACTGTTCAGTTGCAGCAAGGCTGTGTAATATTGCCTGAAGTCAGAACTCTTTAACTGAGAGGTAAGCATCAGATTGAGAGAATCATTGAAAATAATGATTGATTAACCGCTTGTACAGTGGCATCAATGTTCTCTGTGAATTGGAGCAAATAAACCACTATTAAACTACTCATGTAATGTTACGTTTGATGTCGAGGGACACTCTTATTTCTCATTGGTGCACTGTATTTAGATTCAACCATGTAATAAATTACAAGATTATGACATAATACTCTAGCATCATAAAACCGAGAAAACAAAAGTGCGGTACACAAATCCACTAGAGTAGGACATGCCACTGGGGTGTAAATATAAAAGGAATTAGCCCTGTGTCGTCTTTCACAAAAGCAGTGCACTGGGTTACAGTATGTGGCAATATGGGCTCAGTCTAGCATTACTGTCACCCCTCATTTATTATAGTGAGGCAAGATGGCCCTGCTATGCCCCTCAAATCCTCTTAGCTAACATTTAGCTGATTGATTCCCCCCCCCCTTTTTTTTCAGATTATCAATGGGATAAAAGCAGGAAGTTTTATATTATTAATGCCATTCAGTCTCATGGGTGGATGGATGGAAGCCAAAGAGAAACATAAATGCTTCAGCAGTGGCCATGTGGTGGAGAGTAATATGAAGGCGACATTATTAAATCTAAAAGCAGAGCAAACAAAATAATGGAAAAAAAAATTATGTGCATGTGTGAAATAACCTGTTACACATGGAGACAGGCAGCGTTATCAGTAAAACTTGAGTCTTCACCTGTTGTGATTGTAATATGGAAGTTATGAATTATTAATAATTCATGTATGCATACGATCAAATTGAATCCCACAGCAATAAAGTGAAGGTGACTGAGATCTCAGCACAAACACATTACTTTCTTCAACTTCCTCCCATTTAATTTCTACTGCAGGCCTCCATCACAAAGCTCCAACATAATGGTTTTGACTCAGCACAATAGTATTCAGCAGGTTCCCCCATAAACAAAGTATTCAACTCCAGGCTATAGAAACCACAAATCAGGTTCAACAAAACAAATCAGGTTTTTTTGAACATGTGGTTTAGCTCTATGTTTTCAGAGACGGTCGGGTTAGCGGATTCCTGCAGACTCCGTGCTATAGCGGTCTCCAGATGGTACCACACGCTGTCTCTCACAGATTGCATTTTAGCTCCGAGATCCTTCATAAATTCTGATGATATACCCCCCCCCCCCCACATCCTCTCCCTTCTGAACTATACTAAATGATGATCATGGAGATTATGTATTGGTTAATTCCTGCCAGGTCTTTAGAAGAATGCCCATGCTGTGTGCTTAATACTCAGTGGAGGGATTATGCAGACCCCTACATGTGGTGTTGTGGCTGCATACCTCCAGTCAGACTAAACCCAATCTGTTACAGATTTGGACTAAAGAAGAGAGGTGCAGCAAACACAAGGGGGTTGGGCAGGGCGGTGCGGTGCTGTGTTCATGCTTTACAGTAAATTCCACTTCTTCTATATCATGAGGGATTAGAGTTAAACCTCCCTTTGGAGGTCGTATTTTTATCTGTGTGTATAAGGACGTATAAAAAGAATCTTGGCTTGTTTCAAGGCTATGTGCTTTAATATTTTTTTTCCTTCTCAATACTCCTTTTTTTATTTTCCCTTTGTGGTCGAAACAAACCCAATCCCCCTTACAGTTTCCCCTTGAATGTGGGTCCAATTAAACACACATGTGGACTTTCATATTAAAGCTCATAAAAGGTAGAACTCCAGCTATTTACATTACATTTACATATGAAATGCTAAGTACCTTTACATGTGGGGTGTTAATATCTCTATCAGAATCAGATGACATCACTATTCATTATTCTCACCCCAGGCGTTTCGATGATAAAGTCTCACTTAGTCGGGCAGGACTTTTGATACACGTGAAATCATATTAATCTGTGATTTCCTGCTGGAAAGGGCAAGAATATGCAGTTGTCTGTCAAGTCTGTTTTCGATTCAATATTGTGATTAGCCAATAGATGGCGTCCTTTGCCCTCATGCTGTGTGATGTTAACGAGACCTTAGGAGTATATAAGTATTTGTTGTCTTTTTCTGTGTGAAGCTTTCACTTCTGGATAGAAACTTGAGTTTGATTTACTAGTTCCAATACACATACATCCAAACGTGAAACATATAAGAGACCATTTGGCAGTAAATACTTTTCTGTGGAGCTCAAACCTTGGCATGAATTGTCTAGTTTCACTTCATAATGGATGTCTAGATCAGCCAACATGTGTTAAAGTGTGTCTGCTGTTGTAGTAGTTATTTATAGCTATCAGTGACCTCAGAGCAGGAAGACATATATGGTTAAAGAAAAAGATCTCTGTAAGAAAACTGAAAACAGAAGACTGAAGCTGTACGGTAAACTGGGAAACTATTAACAAAAAAAAAGCCTGACAATAAAGATCCATACAAGTAGAATTTCCTTTGTCAAAGCTATCAGCAACCAACGTTCAGTGATATACGTGGTTAAAGGAAAAAGATCACTGTGAAAGAAACACTTAATGGTTTTGTTAACTAGGAACCTAATAACAAAACAAAGGCAGGTGATATATACTTTGAATATCAACTAAAGTCAAATATCCATCAAAGCAAATCTGTAGTTGAAGAACAAGACTTGGAAATGAGGCGATTTTTTTCCCGTTTTTCCAATTTTTAACAGCACACTTCAAAATCTGTGCCTGCCAACATCCCATAATGGAGAACAATTTGTGTGGAAAATGGGTCCAACTATTCACCACAGAAGAATTCTAACCATTACAAAAACTGCAGTGTGAAGAAGAGCCAGGAGGTGCTCTGCTATGTACTGCTGCCCCCTACTGATGAAATAGCAGTATTGAATGTTGCTCTGAGTGAGCAGAGCAGAAGCACAATTCAAACAGAAACGAGGACAAAATGAAACAGAAGGTGTTTATTGTAATTTAAACAATTTGCATTTATTCAGCTCATTTCCTAAATCCAGTTTTCTTTTGCAAACATTCTGCCAGCAGGTGAAGTTTACATGAATCTACTCTGTTAATCGTTTCATTACAAGCGTTGCTCATTAACTTACAATCAAGCGAGGTTAAAAAAAACAAAAAAAACTACTGTTTGCGAGAGGAAACAACCTTTTACTGACAGCCAACGAGTCAATGCTGTTATCAGTCAAACCACACACGTACTCATGCACGGAGGAAAGTAAACACACACACACACTCAAACCCACACACACAGCCAGCAGGCTCTTGTATTTGAAATACAAAGTAGCACAAACAGAGCTGCTGAAACTAGTGATTAGCTGTGCAGCAGAGGTATAATTGGAGCCTGTAATTACAGTATTGCCTCAATGTTCCTCTCTACCTCTAATTTACCGCATTTACATCCCAGAAAAACAATAACTTTGGTCGAGATCGTAACGCGTTAATCACAGAAAAGTGTTCACCAACAGCAAAGGAATCTGTGTTCTCATATAGAAAGATTTAAATAGTGGAGGCCTCTTCTTTTTTTTTTTTCTCACATAATGTTCATATTTTTTAAAACTTAAGAGATGTAAAGCTTTAACATTAAGGACATGAAACGACAGAAAGCTTCTACATGAAAGACAACATTGTCTGGTGCTGAATCTACATTAGCTTTATAAATGTAAGCGATTTAGCCTGGCTACAAGTGCAAGCGTCAAAGATATAATTACATATAAAGTGCTGGATATACCAGGCACAAAGCAATAGATTCTGGCCAAACTGCATATAACAAAAATATAAAAAAACTTAATTACATTGCATATTTGTTGCTATAGAAACATTTTCTTGTACAAAGAAAATCGCTGAGATATCTAACTTTCGCTCTAGCTGAGTAAATACATCACAATTACCAATTACATTCCAAATTACCATATGAACTCCGATCAGTTGTTATTCAAATTAGAGGCCCGTGGTTGGATGGTTACCCTCCTTACCGGGGTCTGATCTGCGTTGCGATTGGCTACCAGCTCCTGTAGCTGTAGCGCCCCTCCACCGATAAAACAGAAAGCGGGACACACGGGGCCGGAGCAATCCACGTGACCTTCCCACAAAGGTCGCAGAGAGTGGGCGTCGTAAAAAGTGACCCGACCCTTCTCAAAGTCAAGGCACACGCCTAGCCTGGGCGGCAGCGGGTAGGTGACGCCTGTAGGCGAGGAGGGGCCGTTGCTGATGGGGTCTCTGACACCGTTGCCGTGGTTATTGTTGTTGTGGTGGTAGCTGTGCTGGGGCAGGTAGATCTTCCCCATCCCCATAGTGAGGAAGCAGAAAGGTGGAGCAGAGTCCAGAGCATCTTCTGCTCCACTGTCATGGCCGCTGTCTGGATCATAGCTAGGGAGAGAGGACAGTTTGAAAAAAAAAAGAGCATGAACACAGTTATAGATGAGTCATCTCCTTACTTAGCTTTCCTTATTTTAATGGATTAATTCTGAACCTTCAGTCAAGTAAAGCCACATTGTGAAATGAAAGTGTGAGATCTGACAACTTATAGATAGATAGATAGATAGATAGATAGATAGAGAGATACTTAATTGATCCAGAGGGAAATTCAAAGCATCCAGTAGCAGGTTACAAAGACGTACATGACATGAAACATTTGCTACAAATTAACCACAAAGCCGGACCCCCCCCCCCCCATACATATATATATTAACCTGAAGAACACCCCTAGATGAATCAAACTTAAACTGTGCAATTAAAAATAGACTTATACAAGAAATGTACAAAACCCGTGCAGGGATAAAAATATATCTGTAATTTAAACAAGAACCTATAAACAAAAACAAAAAATCTGTAATTAAACCTGAATATAAAAAATAATTTAAAAAAAAAGTGTTGACCTTCTGAAGTTGTGTTGTTTATATATGTACAGCAATGTTTAAAAAGAAGATAATTATAAAAACAGACATTAAATAACAGGCAGTGCAAATATTATAGACACCTGATTTGTGACCATGAACTCCAACTTAACACTACTTAACACGAAAATATATCCAACCACCCGTGCACCCTTTAAAATAAATGTAAAATCAAAATGCAAAAAACCAGAGCAAATCAAATGTATATATTTAAAGAAAGTACATTTCCATTCAAATTAAGTGTAGAAATAGGGTTTAAACAAAAAGTATGTAAGTTTGCAGAGTACAGAAAGGCAAACTCTCAATAATGTACATGACTTCCTTGTGACTTTCCTCTACTAACACACTGCTATTTATTTTATTTTTCCACCAGTTGTTCAGTTACTCACCGTGGACTCGCCATGTCTTGTGGTAGGTGAAACCACTCCTGCAGTTTAGATTCCAAACCAACTCCAACCTTTAAAACACCAAAAAACACATCATTTGTAATAAATTAGACATTCCTCATATAGAAAATCTTTACATGCATGTAGCCTAGTTGTTCACAGGGTGCTGGTGGCGCAGTGGTTAGTGAGCGCGTCCCATATATGGAGGCTATAGTCCTCAACACGGGCGCCCCAGGTTCAAATCCAACTTGTGGCTCCTTTCCCTACTCTCTCTCTCCCTGGTTTCTATCTTTAGCCACTGTCCTATCTCTCCAATAAAGGCACAAAAAGCCCAAAAATAAATCTTTAAAAAGCCTAGTTGTTTACATGTTTTCCTGTTTACTTATTTTGAGTGAAGCAAAGACATGAGAATTAGTATATGGGATGCTCCCGTCTGTTTTTGTATATAACCCAAGGAATAATAAATAATTAGGACAGAAGTCTTACATCTGTAATAATTTAGTCTAAAGACCAAGTCAAAACCAAACCTACCAAGTCCAATAAAATAGATCGATAGATATCGACTGTACAATTCTGGAAAGATCACACCCTTGTACCTTTTTTTTTAATGTTACAACTGGACATCATACTGCAGGCACTGACAGAATGTATTAGTCAGCACATAAGAAATATAACAAGAATGTTCTCACCTTCACAAGGTAAGAGCCTGGCTCCACCGAGCATGCCCAGTAGTGCCTTCCTTGTGTAATAGCCACATCCCCTACAAGGAGGTCTGAGGTCAGGTGACAGGAAGTGAGGGCGTGGTCGGCGGCCTGCAGCAAAGAGAGACCGGGCACGCTACGAGCACAGCGCTGCTCTTTACTGACCACCAGCCGGTCTGCGTGGAGACCCCAGCGAGAGTCCAAGTAGAAGTTTAACACTGTGAGGAGAAGAGAAGAGAACAGCAGAGAAAGGGGGAAGGAGAAGAAGCAGATGTGAGGGGAGACAAAGAGACGGGGCGCATTCAAAGAAGATATATATTAGGGTTTTCAGAAGCGAAAAGGAGAAGTTTGGGAGGCAGCAGTTTTACAGTCAGAAAGCATCGGGGACGAGAGAAACGAGGAGAATACAAATAGAGAGGAGAGACTAGGGAGAACAGAGAGCTGGCATGCACTTCCTCCCACCAGCACTGGCATAAAGTAAGGGACACCGATCCATAAACTGATGACTCAGGGATAAAAATACAGAAGGTATCACAAAGAAGCTCTGTCTGTGGGGAATGCAGATTTTTTTTTCCAAAGGAAGTTCATTTTACAGGGAGAACAGTACAGTACAGTACGTAAGAGCAGGAAAAAAAAAGCCTACATGGACACAAGGAATCCACCAATCACTGAACTGGAACATTTAAAGCCCTGGATCAGAGTCCGATCCATGTTGTTAAGCCTCACGTCTTAACAAATGCAAACCTCATCATCACTCGGACAGATCTCATTAAAGAGTGGGAGGCAGAGGAGTCATGGGTGTCTAGATGTGAGGTGGAAAGAACAGCAGATGCATGGGGATGACCACAAAAGAAAAAGAGATTAGTATGTACTATGGAGGCACAGAGAGGTGATCAAGACTTATGAATGCACGTCTTACGTTCTGCAGGAGGCATGGAGGTTGGCAGCGTTGAAGTAGCGCAGAAGAGGATGACAAGTACAAAGCTGTGAAATGGGAATAAAAGATGAGAGATAGATGCAGAATTAAAGGGGACGAATGTGAATGTGTGTTAAAAGTGGAAGAAGAGATGAAATAATTTAGAAAAAGAAGATGGGTATGGGAAAAAAAGGAACAAAGAATGAATTATTAAGTGCTTACAATGGCAACCATCCTAATGCTTGAATTGTGTCTAATAAAGAAAATAGAAGGTGTGAGGAGATGAATGGTCAGCAGCCTGCTGTATTATTAAGTAGCTGTCATACGCATAACACTGATAGTAGTGGCTATTAATCATTAACCAAAGTAGAACAATACCAGAAGACATTTCTTTTTGTAGCTCGAGGACAAACCTTTAAGATTTTCTTTTGCAGCACAGAAAATGTTTGTATGACTTTCCTGCATGTAGAGTCTGATTTTCATAGTTTTGTCATCTGTTCTGACTGTAACCACGGTGATAACGGAGATCTTGGAATATAATAGGTCTAGGTATAGTTTACAAAATGACAAAACTAGTTCAATTACCATTGTTTGATGTCCATCACATGAATAAAAGCATTTCATTGTATGAATTGAAACCAACACACCTTATTCAAATAATTTTTTTATGGATACATTTTGACACATCTCATGTTAAACGTGGACAAGAAGAAGAATTGTACTTCTGTTTTTAATCAAAACCTTTTCATATAGCTGATCATGCTCTTCTCATTGGGCTCTCTGTAATATTGGGTTTAACTCCTTTTGCATGAAAATGTTTCCAGTATTACTTGTCTGATACATGTGTCAAGGCTGTAAATATCAACTCAGAGTTTTTGACATAAACAAAATGTGTTCCGCAAGGATCAGTTCTGGGCCTTGGTAGTATTTAGATTATTCATCCACACTGAATAGTCATCACAGTGTATGAATATTTGGGTATTTGGCTTGGTGAATCATTTACATTACATTACTTAACAAAGGAAATATTCAGATTTAACAAAAATAAATGACGAAATTATTTACAACACACTGTTACGTGACTGACACATTCATCTTAGACAAATAGACACATTGATTCTGAACCAGCTCCCCTCAGTATGCCTTTTTGGTTTCTTTTATCCGTACATTTTTCTGTACAACGAGGGCAACCTCCTTTATTGAGTCTAAAATAAAGGAAATTGAAAGATGTGTGAATAAGATTTATAAAAGATTTAACTGAGTTGTGAGCGTAACCCAACAATTGGGGATTATCCCTGAGACAAAGTAAAGGTTTATTAAAGGATTATTTACCACCCCTTGTGTCTCACCTGGTGCAGGTGGGGTGTGCAGGTACACCTCCTCACTATACTCCCCGTAGCCCGCCTTGTTGCAGCCTCTCACCCGCAGCACATACACGCTGTCCATCTCCAGCCTGTCAATCACAGCGCTGCTCCCAGTCACTTCATCCATGCGCTGCCAGCCCCAGCGGGCTGCCGACAATCCTCCTCTAATGCCGCCTCTAGACGCACCTCCTGGTACCACACCGCGACGGCGGTACTCGACAGAGAAGTGCCAGGCAGGGGCGGACTCTGGGGGCAGTCGCCAGCACAGGAAGAGCTGGTCGTAGGCCAGGGTACGCTGGGTATCGATCACTGGAGCCTGGGGAGCTGTGATTGGTTTATAAGTATTAGGCAACGCTAGAAGTTAAAAATAATTGTACTGCCAATTGTACTGAGGAGTTCATTGTAGCTTTACTTCTTTTTATCATATAAACATTCTTTAAAATAGGTTAATATAGCTACAAGAGCGTCAAGAGTGAGACCAATGCAGCAATGCAATAAACCTGAATTGTAATCTTTTGTATTCTAACTATTGGCCAGCAGGGGGCGACTGCATCAGTCAGTCAGAGAGCCTGATCACATAGAAATGGTGGAGAAAGTGACCCTACGTCTTAGTGGGGTCACTAACTAAGTAAACACTTAGTTACACTTAAAATTATTTCAGTTTTGTCAATCAGTGGATTTTGATCAGCACATCAGGCAGTAATATTGAAAATGAAGGCTCCATTTAGAGTAAAATTGATAATAAAGCAGGTTCTGCTAAGGTCATGGCTGCCTGTGACTGACAAGTTGCTGTGTTAACAGCCTGTTTAACTGGATAGAGGCAGAGATGAATCTGTCCTGTTGTTCAGATATTGCTAGGTGTTGCCCTAAAAACACAAGATGGTAACAGCTGTCATGTTGGTTATTGTCTACTTAAATTACAGCATATTGTATAACGGAGATTAGACAGTCATCAAAAAGCTCATATCTTCTTGTCCCTTTACTTCTTCTTGTTTTTTTTATCATGTTTTCTTACCCACCACCACCCATCCCACCATTTTCCTCTCTCACCCTGGATGAAGTTCAAATCTGTCAGGAGTTTGAGTTCTTTGGAGACGTCCAGCTGGAAGTGTCTGAAGGATGGATCAGCAGCCAGAGTGAAATGCTGCAGATTCTCAATCCCCTTGCTCAACCTGGTGCAGAGGAAAACAGAGAGAGCACTGTTAGAGGAGTGAGGGAGGACCAATGTTTTCTTTATACTCCCACTGAGAGAGATTGATGGAGAGAGAGCAATTAGATAAGGCTGCTGTCATGCTGTACTTTTCTTACTGCAGTTTTTACATTCCTGGTGAACTATTTCCAGCTATTAATTAGTTCACAATTCTCGCACTAGTGTGAATATAGGAGCAGGACGATGCACTGCACGCTGACTCTTAACAAACTGCCTTGCCCATATTTCTCTTAATGAAGGAATATGTTGCCAAGTTTAAGCTCGAGGCTCACTGATGTGTTTTTAAAGGGGGAGTGGGGAGGGGAGTAGCCTTTTGGGGGCAGCCGTGGCTCAGATGTAGCTAGGAAGTCAACTTTTTATTATTATTTTGCTTTTTGCCTTTATTGGACAGGACAGCTGAAGATAGGAAATGTGGGGAGAGATTTGGGGGGGACAACACAGTAAACATTAAAGGGACGATTATTTAGAAATAGCATCTTTCAGTCAGATTCACCTGCTAAGAGCAAATCAAGTTTTCACTTTTTAGATGATCTTGATCTTTTAGTGACTTTTCACTTGTTCCATCAAGGCATAAAGAGACAGATGACTTTTTTTTTTTATTTTGTTTCTGTAGAAATGTGAAGTGTGAGAACAATCTCTCGTCCCATAATAGACTAAAGCAAAGTCTGTTCCATCAAGACAAAGAGCGATGCCAGAGACAAAAAACAAATGTGAAACCTGTTATGAGTCTGTCGAGCAGCCTGTACAAAACAGGGCTGGTCTGTTTCCTTCAGAAGCTCCTGGGTAAACGCCATGAGCCCCGCGTGTTCCATCAGGCCCCGCCGTTCTGCCACTTGAGCAGCTAACGCCTCGCCTCGTTTCTGCCGTGCTGCCTCCAGAGCCTGGGTAAGCGAAGCGTGGCGCTCGGCCAACGCAGCCGTCAGATCCCTGATGCTCTGAGCCAGCTGCTCTCTGGCTGATACACTGTTTACCTGGTGGGGGACGAAGCAGACAGATGTTAGTATTTCAGATCAACCAGCTGTTTTAGCTGACAGCACCTTAAATTCACATAGACGGTTTTAACACAATGTAAAAAGACAAAAAATTATGAAAAACAAAACTAGACTCCAAACAAGATTCTAATGAACACCGTTAATAAATAACGTGTCTGTTAGATTTTTTATTTAATTTTATTAAAACTTAGAGTTTAAAACAGATACTGCAGTCCAAATTCAAAACATTGAAGGGTGCTGTCTCCCCCATCCTCCCTAGAGTCCATGCTCACTCAGGTCACCATGTGGTGGACACTGTATCTTCAGCGTTTATCCAGCTCTGCATCGGTCTGTAAACCTTTCTGTGTTCTAACCTCTCTCCATTTTTCAAAAGCATCTCCAATATTGATCCTAGTTTGAGCACGTTTCTGCTCGTGGAGCTTATTAGAAACATGCAGAGGCTTTTTAGGTCGGGTACAATCACTTCTATCTGAACCACTTCTCTTGACCGCTTCCATCACTGCAACACCTGTTGACCTGATAACTGCTCTCATATCTGACAAACTGAGGGTCGTCCAAAACGGCCGTGTTGGGTCGCCTTAAAACCGCCTACCTTCTGTGGTCCAAACAAATCCAGAGCATTCAGGAGCAGAATCTAAAGTTAGAAGGAGGACATACTGGCTGCTGCATTGTTGTCAGAGAAGCCAGCACTTCAACATGTTTCCTTAATGTCTGATCATATAGTAAGATACCTTTATCATTTCACTCAGTAAATATCTGACATATTGGACCTTTAACTTAGATTCTGAGTCTAAGTTTATTTGCCTGTAACCACTGAAGACGAGCCTTGCCTGAAATGTCTGCAGTGGAGACAGGAAGTTTAAGATTTTGGCGTGCTGTCCTGAAATACTTCCGATACATTTTTTGGTTGAGGATTCATCGTCCATATAAGTTACTGATGGTGAGTGTTTTTTTGGATTTACCTTGAACTTAGTTAAATCAGTTTTTACTCCGCAGTCATCTGTAATACAAAACAGTATGTGTCTGGAAGGTTACACCTTCTCACCTACTTCTAAACCGTTTTTAATGTTTATATATCTAAACTGTTTTTAATATTTATATGCAGTTAAACATTAAAGATGTTAAACATTAAAGATGTTTAACAAGATCTTTCAAAATGTAATAAATATGACTCTGTTCTTTGTGGAACAGTTAACGGTTAATAAATGATTTATAACACTGTGACAAGGTTTTTAGTAAATCTGAGATTAGTGTTTTTATTATTGCAAAAAATGAGGCTGTAACTTGTAGTGTGAAGCATCCAGAACCTGGGCATTAAAGATGGAGCTTAATAAAATAACATAGCATCACAGTTATTATATAATTATCTCTATCTTAATATAAGCTATTCATTAAATTTGAGTTTTAAACCATTAAAATGGCTCATACATGATTTACTAAACATGATAAAAAATGCTGTGTGTAATTAAATATAATTGGCTATGACTGCAGCTCTGTTAAACTGTGTTATAAATCCTTAACTAGCTGTTCCTATTCCTGTTGAAGGGAGGAACCACAGTTTACTGACAGTGACTGATACTATCATAATAAAGATTAAGTTACAACTACATTTTACTGGGTAAATAGGGATTTAATTGGTGGTGGTGTTTGTCAGATCTAAGGAGGTGTTTCCATTCATCTTTTCCACATTTGAGCAAACAGAAGCGGACTTTTTTTTTAAAGGGTAAACAACACAAGAGAAGCAGTTCTTCTGCTATTGAGATCCACTTCATTCCACAGTGAGCAACATTTTGTCAGCGTGAAAGTATTAATCACCTCAGTCTGTGTGATGGAACTCTCCAGCTGGGTAATCTGACCCAGAACTGTGTCCTGGTTGGACAGAATGTAGTTCATCTCTTTAGTAATCTTCTCCTGTCAAACACAAAGCAAACACACATTTAAACATGGACTAACACAACCAGACAGATTAATTGTTACACACAGCTTCTTAAACACTCCTCTTCATTGCTCGTCTCTGATATATTAGAATACAATTTAAAATTATATATATTTAAATAACACACTTTTTTAATGTCACAGCATCTCATCAAGACATTTAAAACAACAGTCAGTCACTAACTGAACCTTAACTGATGGATCAGCTTGTGTCATCACTGTGCACTCAATATAACAGTGATATATGACATTTGAATGGTGAGCATAAACCAGGATATCATCTTCAAATCTATGCAGAAGACAACTTTTTTCCCGGACATTTTTGTCCAAGTAAAGGGCCATGTCAGAATCAGAGGGGCACCTTCAGGGCCTGGTATGCCTGGGCCACAGGGAGGACTTTGTGTCCCGTGTGGACACGGCGCAGTTTGCAGAGCGGGCAGAGCAGCCGCTGACACGAGCGACAGTAGAACTGTAGTTTCTCTTGGTCGTGCTCTGGACAAGTCAGAACCTGAAAACAAACAGAAAATAGATCTTAAAGTCTTTATATGTGATTTTTTAATCCAGCAGATGTCGCCCTTGAGCACCAGCATGAAACCAAAACAACTTGCACTGCATTGTTGTGTTAGCATGCTAATGCTAGTGATCTTTATTATGCTGGTATCTTATAGCTGGTGATCTAGAAACACAGTTAAGCAGTGAGTACAGTATGTTATTCTTCTTTTCTCTAGTCCCTCAATTAAACAACTTTTATACACGAGGGGAGGAGTCAGCCGGCCGTCCTGGCGATGTAAACAAACTGAAGATAGGACTCTGAAAACTCTGAAAGCATCACAGACAGTGGGACTCGGGTGTTACACCCATTGTAGACAGTCATGACTCACAGAGTTATTTTCAGAGGATATACTTGATTTATATTACTTTTAAGTGTAAGTTAGTCAAAAAACGTATTCATGAAAATATCAAATTTTTGTATCAAATTGAAACAAATTATGAAGTGAAAAGGGAAGAAATATTCCAGTCTTTTAAACCAATATAACATAGTAGCTGCATTATTCAGCAACCTGATCAATTATATTATCATCTGATTTTATTGATCTATAAAGCATTAGATTTGGGTTCATAAAACATTTTTTTTAAGCTGTTAGTTAAGACGAGACATCCATAAAAAGTTACCTTATTCTGTTGTACCACAGGATGAAAAGTGTTGCTTCAAATAATTGGTCTCAATTCATTAATTACATTTCTTAAGAGGTTTAAAATTGAAGTAAGACATGTTTTTTTTAAATGTATAGAATAATAATGAGTGTCCTACTGTCTCACCTTTGGTCTGAAGTTGAGTGTGGGCAGGATGTGTTCATGTTGTGCCCGTGGCGTCCCCCATGGATGATACAGCTTGAAACACTCGTTGCAGAAATTGGACCTGCAGTCGGCGCAGCCTTTAGTGGCCTCCAGAGCCTGAGGAGGCTTACAGAACTGACACATGACCGCCACACTTCCCAGACTCACTGTGTGTCTGTACCTGGAGCGGGTGGGGGGGGGGGGGGGGGGGGGGGAGCAGAAAGACTGATTAAGCCTACAGCTGTTAGTATGGCATGTTCTGTTCTGATTAAATAACCAAGAGAGATATTCTGACTAAGATCACTTTAAGAGAGTGAGACTGGTTGAATTGGTGATAGTGACCCACAAACTGCTACACAAAGGAGGCACACAGTCAGCCCTGACAGCTACAGTTGCAGTGCACGCTCTGCAGGATTCTTCCACAGCTCAGCTGCTGCTGAATAATTACAGGCAGAACTGGACGTGTTCCCACACCTTCTGTTTTTCAGGCCATCCAAGCACTTGGGGGCAGTATCAATGACTGTCATTTCATTTGCACCTACCTTTGCACGTTTTATTTTTTTATTTGTTGAAGCGTTTGTGCATTTGTGCATGTGTGAGTGTGTTGTGCCTACCTCTCTACTATCCGCTCTAAGGTGAGGTTGCGCAGACAGTCTGTGAGGCCCTTCTCTCCCAGCTCCACATCTCTGCCGCAGGGGACACAGGGGAACAGCATCACCAGGGGTGGGCCCTCCTTGCGGCGTCGTCCTGGATACGACCCATATCCAGGAGACCGGGGCATGGATGGGGAAGGTGGGTGGGGACCTTAAACCATGAAGAGAAGCCAGAGGTGAATAGAATAGAATTACTTTATTGAGCCCAAACTGGGAAATTGTGGTGTTACAGCAGCAGGTTATCAGAGCAAATAAAACATTATAAGATAGATACATAAATAAGCACCTAGAATATAAAAAATAAGAATAAGAAGAGATTTATACATCAAGGATTTAACTTAACCATTCCTACTGGTTGAGAAGAAAATGAAAAATTAAATACAACATTTATTCAGGCTTGTCAACTGAATGTAAAAATACTTGCTGGAGGTAAGAGATGTACGTTTGCAAAAACAGTGATGACACTGGTAAATGTGTAATATATATATATAATATATAGAGGGTTCTCCAGAGCTGTGCATATTCGTGGCTGTGCAATCAAAGATATATATGTTAAAGTGCAGGAGTGTAGATACGTTATCAGTTGAAACTATTTACTATAATGATGAACAGTCAGACAATGTCATTAACTTAAATGTAAGGATAGTGTGTCAATGGAGGGAGAGAGAAATTAACAGGAGAGGATCTTTTCCCCCAAATGACAAAAAATTCAGATCTAGATGGCTCCATGATCTTATGAAAGGATGACAAGTCCTCACAAGAAATGGAAGACCCCCTTCTCTACCCCGACACAGATCAAATATTGATCAAGGCATATCTCATACCTGCCCGCAGCACGCGGTCGATAGGTCTCTGCTCATGTTTGGGTGTAGGCCTGCGGGCCTGACGGGGTGAGCGCATGTTGGGGGTGGAGGCCGGGGAGTTTGGTTCAGGGGGGAGGTCTGGAGGAGGGTAGCCGTTGGCCACTAAGACCTCGGAGGCACACATGAGGCAAACGCTGTGCTGGCATGGCAGGACCACAGGCTGTTTGACGATGTCCTTACACACAGAACAGTGCAGCTCACGCTCCAGGCTCTTCATGTTGGACTGACAAGGACAAAGAGGTGAGAGGTCAGAATCAGCAAAGAGGGAGGTTTCGTGTATTGTGTATTGATACCAAAACAGGACTTTTCTGTACCCTTGTATGAAAGTTTGAGTGATGCAGCGATACATTATTTCCTTTCCCAAAATAAATTCCGATCCCTAAACTTGACTATTAGCCAATAAGAAGCCGCCCTCTGATAGAAGTGTGACTCAAAAATGAACACATTGATTGAGAAACACTTATCGCTCACATGTTGCTATCTTTGACTAACATGACACACTGTTATTATAACATTATTATTTACCTGAACCTCCAGTTATTATTTGTTTGAATAACCTGATAAATTGTTGTATCTGATCAGTGTGTTGACAAGAATACATGCTGATACCAGACAAAGCATTTTTTGGTGGAATCAAAGGTGGGAACAAATACTAATATGTACAGAAACTTAAAGGTGCACTTTGGAGATTTGATGGTGAAATTTGAAAGTTGGAAGCAGTGAAACAATTCTATTCTGTTTTCTGAACTGAATACACAAACTTTTTTAAAAAGGAAAAACTGGGTCCCTGGACACTGTTTGGAGCTAAAAAGCTACCAGGTACCTTTTCACTATAGCGGGCCCACCACCATAACTTTACGTGTCATTTTATCTTATCAATTTGTGTATAGAGTTATGAACATATACCACATAATCTGTACACGTCTCCAACTTTCAAATTTCTCTACCAAAACTCCATAGTGCACCTTTAAGAACTCAAAGAAACTTCATTATCTAATAAAGGGAAAGAAGATTCACAAGTGTCATTTTTTTAAACAACATTTTCGCTCACAGTCTTAACTTTGCAACATTTTGCTTTGAATCAAACTATTAACTTCAATAAGTTTATGAATGTGACCAGGCATCCCAGACAGACTTTTTCTCTAACTGGACAGTTTTTGACACATTATGGACACATTAAAAACCACATTTGGAGCATTAGGGCTTCAGGCATTAAGAGAGATGAGGTTAATGGGAGCAGCTGTGCCGGACATGAGACATAGGCCATCATTCTTGTTAAATATGGATAAAGACCAAGCATGAATTATTCAACCAGTGCACAGAGTGCCTCACATGGTGCAGCCCCACATGTGAACATGAGCTCTTAACCAGTTTGTCACACCTTCAGATGCTCCAGGATTTATGGACTTAAAGGCACAAATGACAGTTAAAGTGTTATCAAAAGTTTCACACTCACACAAAGATTTGTTTCTTACTGTTTAAATGAGGACACGAGTAAACCTCTGTGCTACCATCAGGCTGCATGGAGATGTGGGTGGAGATGTAAAGCTGCACCTCTGGAGCAGATATAGCGTGTCACAGTCCGGCTCAAGGACGTGGATTTGACAGTAAAGGACACACCGGCTGTTGCAGATACCTGTGACTTCACAGCTACAATCAGTCTGCCCTGCTTCATGAATTATGACATGCTCAATGGAACATGTTTCCCTCTCCTTTCACCCACAGTGACAGTGAGTGCAGCACATTTTTCAGATTGGCTGGTCAGATTGGCCATGATTTCTTTCGCTCTTATGGATGCCCTTGACACACAATCCTTGACCTGAATCTATTCAACCAGTAGGCCTACGTCCACATCACTGACAGTAAGAGTCAACTTCAAAACCAGGGTGAGGCAGACTGACAGACTGTGCTGCATCTGGGCTTTTGGGATTTTTTGTCACTGTGATGGCACGAGGGTGCAGCAACAGGGCACTTCATCACAAACAGCATCTACATCCCCGATTCTACATGTGGAACCAGGTGATCATATACAGAAGATTACCGCAGTTTCACTTGATTTTGAGAGGCCTCACTCTCATAATGTTAAATAGCTGGTTAGAGACAGAATGAGGCTGCTTCCAGAAAAATGATCTAGAACCAGAATAAGACGGTAAATGGAATAATTGGATTATTAATACAACCTACTTTTCTCCCTCAGTCCCCCCTCTCTGTGTCATTCCCCAATGTCAACTCCGGCCTGCCTTTCTCTCCTCCTGTAGCAATTATTTAGCCTATTGAAATCTCAGGCTAACAGCATAGGCATATGTTCACAACGACGGATAGTAGATCTGTTGTTTCCATCTGTAATAGATGATGCGCACTGATAATGCTGAGCCCGGCGTGGTGATGCGACAGCGCATCCTTACCTTCACCTGGAATCTAGGCGCCATGGCAGCAGACTACGTGTACATTTCCTGAATCAAGAGGCTCTAAAGAAGAGGGGAGGGGTTTCAGGCATTTGCAATGAGTCCCCTCGCGCCGGTGAGATATGTCGTGCGTGGAAGGGAGAGGGTTCTGGTGGCTGATTAACCAGGAAGATGCTAATCCCAGAATGCAGGTGTGAGGTTGGTATGGGTTCTGCCGTGGCTTGCTGTAACCCTCTCCGCAAATATATATTTAACCCTTCAACGACCGCGATGCTACAAGCAGCAGCAGCATCCACACACACACACACACACACACACACACACACACTCCTCTTTTCCTCACTCTGCAGCAGCCCAAATCCTGCATCTCGTCTCCATGGAAACCACCATCCAGTGAGCCCCCCAAAAAAGAAGAAATGAGCCATTTCAGCCTGCTCACACACTCATTTTACCATTTTTTTTTTTTAGAAACACCCTCGTTTCTTATTAAAGAAAGAGCGCGTGTTCTTCTAACTGAAGAGGAGCACGAGCTCTTGCACCGAGCCATTTTAGCACCTCCAGCAGCATCCAGAAAACCCCAATGAACCTTGGGCTATTTATTTTCGACAGCATACATGAGGAAAAGCATCTTATTTCGTTACAGTCAATACATTTCATTTCTATGTTACACCCTTGAGTATGGCTGCAGAGGAAATGTGAGGCCCCTTTATAGGCGACAGAGCTGATGGAGACCGTTAGTGTGTCTGCACATATTCAAATAGCTGCTGATTGTAGTCCTTATTTCTACACATGGAAATATTCGGCATATTTCACTGAGGCTACATCCATCAACAGACACACAAGCACAGACAAATAACTATGGCTGCCAGGCTACTCACACTGATCCGAACCAATGCTTCCATCGTCGATGTGGCTGTTTTCAGATCCATCTCTGCCATTTTAAGAAAATAGCTTCCTCCTGTTTTCATCATCTGGTTACAAACCGCGGACTATTTAGGTCACACGCCATCTGGTGCATATTGTAAAATAAAAAAAAAATGTCCAGTAATTTTTTTTTTTTTTTTTGCCTGTTCACCGTTTGGAAACGCGTGTTTTGGATTTTAGGCTATTTTTTTTTTTTTAAATACAACGAATCTTGACATTATTACGCACACACCAAAACGGAGGGGGCTGCAAGAAAACATCATTATTTAAAAAAAAAAGAGATCTATTTCTAGTTTTGTTGTCAGTGTATATCCAGGCTGAATCCTAACCGATGCCTGTGGCTTTTATTCCTCACGCAGACATCCCACCCCCCACCCTTTCCACCCCGCACCGGATGCTTTTAAATGATGTGGCACGTGCTGCGGGGCTGAAGTCTAAGGCTGAAGCTTGATGTCAGAGGAGAAAGGGGTAATGAGTGAATTCTCAAGGTCAGGGAGAAGAGGGTGGCAGGGTCTTAGGCCCCGAAGTAGTCTAATTATATGATGGAAAAAAATTAAATGTCAATTACAACAGTTGTTTAGATATAAGGGCTTTTGCTTATACCTATTTAAAAAAAACAAAAACGAACTTACATAAAGAGGATCCAGTGAAGCCAATCATGATACCTTTACTGGTTTTGTACTTTGTTTGTTCCACTGGCGGACTCAAGATGTTTGTGGTGCAGGAGCCAAAATAGAAGCCTTATTTAGAATGCCATTTCAAGGGGCGATAGTTACGTTCCTGTGATATTTCTTCTTCAATCTGAATGTCTTGGAGGAGTAATGGGGGGACAAAGAGAACCCCCCCCTCTGTATCGTCTTAGTATTTAGTAACAGAGGCGTTAAAGGGTCGAGACGGGAACAGTGGTAGTGCAGTGCTGTGTGTGTGTGCATGATGTTGGACTGTGTGTATGTGAAGCTCCTGCTGTGCTGAAACACAATGTGAATTCACCCAATGGTTAATAAATAAGGAAACCTGCTCTATGTGGGGAACCAACACACAAGAGTTTTATCTACCACATTGGGCATCCAAAAGGGTATTTCACACATTATTTCAGCAATAAGAGCCAAGGGAAGGTGGATGATTTTTCTCTGCTAATTCCAACAATGAAGATGTTAACAGTTTAGGTGGTGGACATGCTGTGTTGCCACAGTAATGAGGATGAAGAAGATGACTCTCTAAAGAAGCTGCATTTAAACTGTAGCCCTTAGTGCTTATTTTAGCACATTGTAGTAAGAGCTCTGACAATGTTAGCACTGACAAACTCAACCAAAAATATTGTTCATACATGTAGTTAACATGTTTTTTGGCTAGGGTTGCAGTCAGGTTCGTTCAGACAACCAGAACTTTCACTTCCTGAGGAACACCTGTGCTTTTCCTGCTGGGATGAGTCAAATCTCCTGCCCTGGAAAAAAGGGCGTGTATAAAAAAAGGAGATAATTTGTAGTTTCCTGCAACTAGAGTTCTTGTAGCCTACAATTAAAAAGCTTCTCATGATGATGCCAAAGATATCAGGGTAGGGCGCGATGTTATGTCTGCTCTGATGTTGTCTAAATTAGATTTGCTTAATGAACTTAAATAATGATAAACACACACATCATAGTTTTTGGCAACAACAAATTCATGTAGGCCCATTCTGTTGGGTATATTGTTTTCCTGGGGGTCCTGGGGGTTACTCAGCTTTTCTAAGATTCAGGTAAGGGGTTCAAAAAGGAAAACTTGGGATGTGAGTTGTGTAGTATTTCTAAATTGATTACTTTATTGACATGCTGGTTGTTAGGTCACATTTAAAAATACTGTTGTTGGTTTTACAGGGTTTTTAGGTTCTGTCGCAGAAACATTTATTTTTGATATTCTTTTGTTTGACCACTAGAGGGCAGAAGAGTACAACTTGAATCATAATATTGGACAGGAGTATTTGATTTTCAAACTGCCCCAGCCTCTCTGCAAATACTTTCAAAACAGAATCACAGCTGGAAATGATACAGAATATGGTTTCCATGGTTACACCCTCCCATATTTTAGGAATTGAGAGTCCAGACTTATCTGAACTCTGTCTGATGTTGAACTTGAGTCATGGTACGTTAACACTTTGGACTAGATGGCAGCAGACATGAAAGCAGCTGTGGCCGTGAATGATCAAAAAGCAGTTCATTGTTTTTAGAATAATGGAGCGGCAGAAGCTCAGTCTATATAGGGACTAGAGTTGGGAACCGGTTTAAGTCCAGGTCCGGACCAAAGTATGGAAGTTGGTCTGGTTGCTGGAGAAGTTCTAGGTCACTTACCAAGCACAAGGCACCAAACCCTCAACAGCTCCAGTGACCTCCTGTAACAATGTGTAGCAGCCCCACTCTGACATCTCTCATTGATGCGTGTCCACAGGTCCTGTTTGTGCTGCGGGCCGATATGAGAGAGATGCATGTCTCTCAATAAAAATGTATAAAAAACAGAATTTCCCCTCAGGAAATAATAAAGTATGTGAAATAAAAAACAATAATAATGTAGGCCCTGTGGTGCATTACCACTTACGCCCACGTGAAGGTGCCAAAAAGCTGTGGTCAGACATCTGTTCAATAAAGTGGAAACACAAGGTTTATCAGGTTGGCTCATAGTGCCGACTGAACTTTAAACAGCTGGTAACTGTTGGCATTTTCTGTAAGCCTCTATTTTATATACAGTGGGATGTATCTATATACAGTATATTCTGTAAGATAGGCCTACTCGTGGGATTCATAAATGTTTCCCTGGAATCCATCAAGTCCTTTTACCATTTCACAATCCATTTGGAGATTATATTTTGTAGCATCTACTGTCATCCTGTAAAAAATACCTGATGCTGTAAAACTGAACTTACAAATAAAGAACTAAGTAAAAAAAAAAAAATTGTCTCTTGAATGAAAGAAGATTAGAAATGAAAACACTCAAACCATTACCTCAAAATTATTCTGAGGTACTTGAGCCTCCCTTGTACCCCTGGCTCAATAGGATAAATGAACCCATAAGAATAATATTAAAAAACAGGTGATATTGAAAAATATATATATTTATTTATATATATATATTCCAAAAAGTTATAATAATAAATGAAAAAAAACAGGTGATTTTAATAATGTAAGATCAACACAGGGAAAGACTTCACCATAGATTCATCTGTAATATTTACACGTGTTCGTTTCTCACAGGAACACTTACTGAAGAAGTTAACAGTGATGTCTTCAGTTGGTTAACTCTTAATCCAATCAGATGTGTTATCAGTCACTGAGGGACTATCCTGTTTAGTAAACCTTGTAATGTGTAATCAATATTTGCTGACTTGGCTTTGCTGATCACATCATTTCTGTGATTCCATCATGTTTTAATGTCAGTATAGTCCAACAGGCTTTTTTGTTTTGTTTTGTTTTTTGAGTTTGAAGACTTCCTTATAGTGAGCTTTCTTAATAAATAACGTTACAGTAATCTGTTAAGCTTACAAACTTAATATTTGTGTTATAAGCATGTTGTTAGCGCCTCCTATCAGCGTGTGTCAGTATCACAGTTTGACTCATAGCACACACTATGAGCACACAGCAGCAGGGAGGGGCTGGACTATAAAGATCTGTCTCACTTATTCCCAAACTCTGAACATTCTTGTCTCTCCTCTGCCAACACTCGTCCCAGCTCTGCACGGTAAGAAATAACACTATACTGTAGGCACAGCATATACTCGGTTTGGGTATGTTAATATTGTACTGGATTAGTTCTTCATCTGACAATGAAAGACTTGGTGGTGCGCCCGTTATGGTTTTTTTTTTTAAACACAGTCTAATCTAGATAATTATTTGCGTAACGAGGAGCTTAGTGTTTTTATTTCATATTGTCCTACATTTTTTGAATATATGCAGTGAACTTAGTATGGAGTTTAAGTGTGACCAGAATTTAACTAATTTTAAGCCTGTCAGTATATCTGTATGTAAAGATGGGTTAAGCAGCACTCATAAAAGTTTCAAGTTATTTCTTCAGTTTTTTAACAGATTTAATTTCCTTGTAATCTAGTTAAAACTGTATAGTTTTGTGTGTTAGCAGGTAGGCACAGTTAAACAGGGTGTGGTTACACTGAGTGCATGGACTCTGCTGCTATAGGGCACAGTCTCATTTACTGCATTGTATTTCAACATGTTGGGCCTCAAAGCATTTCTTTTTCTTATTAGCTGAAGTTTTCCATTCCTTCTTTCACTCCAAAAAAATTCACAAACCCTGTTTTCCCTCCCACTTCTCATTTTAGTAACTCTACAGTAACAGCTTGGACACAGTGTTCAGAATGATCTGAGTATTTTTTTCCCGATCAGTGCAGTATGTGTAGTGGTTACTTTAGCTATAAGCTTTTTCAAACAACGTAATAACAGAGCGTCTCTAACTTCTCATGAGCATTACTCATGGGTGGGCAGGGCGCTGGAGCAGAGAGCAAAGTTAAGCTTTCCCTTCATTGGACTGGATCACGTCCTCCTACTGTGGATGAGATCATCTCTGTTACAGAACAGAGGCAGACCTCTATTTCAGCTAGAACTTAAACTACAGGATCCTCTGATGGAGCTCGTTCTCACTGGAGCCGGCTGCAGTTTGGTGACGAGTCAGTTCCAGAATTGGTTTCTTGTAAATAGAAAATAATAAAAGACTACAGTCTCCACTGTGATGTTCAGCTATTCTGCCTTAAACTCCCTCATGCCCCTTTAAATTCATCCAAAGTGTCATCAATGGAGCATGTAAGAGATTCTTCTGATAAGAGTATTACTTTTCTACCATAGCTTACAACACAAATGAGCACTTTTTTTTTTTTACCTATTTAGGGTACTTTTAGCTATTTATGACCTAATGTGAGTGTTAGTGTGAATGTTTGTATGTTTTCATGTTGAGCCTCAACAAAAGGTAATTTTCTGTCACAATGTGATAGACAATAAAGTTGTTTTTTGGTTTTTTTTAAATCTTGAAAGGTAACAAAGTGTCCAGTCAGATCCCACTGAACACGACCAAGGAAGTGGCTAAATGCGAACATTAGCTGATTGAAGCTAATTTAAAACAACATCTTTATGAAGTGCATGACCAGGTCCCTCTGAATTCACTCTCTTCATGGACTAATTCAGAAAAGTGGTTAAATGGTATGATTTTAGTACTTTTGTACAAGTTACAAGTGAACTTTTTTTCCTTTATTTTGTAGACCAAACACACCTGAACAACCATGCCTTCAGAGCTAGAGTCAGCCATGGAGTCCCTCATCAAGGTGTTCCACAAATACGCCTCTAAGGAAGGTCAGAAAGCCACACTGAGCCGGCGAGAGCTCCGAGAGCTGATGGAGTCTGAGCTGTCAAACTTTCTTATGGTGAGAAGCTGTACATTTATAACCACAGTTTACAGTTCTTTTTTTGTTGATGCCTTCCTCACACCAATTTTTTATTTTTTTTTCACCACAGTCTCAGAAGGACCCTGCTGCTGTGGACAAAATCATGAAGGACCTTGACACCAACGGCGATGGCCAGGTGGACTTTGAGGAGTTTGTTTCTCTGGTTGTTGGACTGTCCATTGCCTGTGAGCAGTGCTACCAGATGCACATGAAGAAGATGGCAAAACAGTGAAAAAGACAACAGCAGGAGGCCGAATAGGAAAGCCACAAAGCATTTAAATTTTTGTAAAAAATTGAATCATTTCAACCATTAAATGGACTGTAGAATTTCAAAAGTGCTGTGTGTGGTTATTGTAAGTCTATGTTAAGTTGTGTTTGCTTCCAATTATCAAAAATTGACAAAAGTCTTAAAATCACTGCTCTTTTCTTGTCATTGTCTTTGTGCTGATACACACACTGGTATCTTAGCTTATTCCAGAGACCTCGTGTACTCACTTCCTTGGCAGTTGTAGCAGCAACATTAGGCGTTATGTTGTAATTCATTTCATGTCACCTGGGTATGAAAGTTCAGACAAACCTCTCCCTGTCTGTTTGATAAGGTCTGACTTATCCCTGCTCTGAGGAATCTGCAGAATGTTCCAGCCACAAACACACCTCCTCCAAGTTGATGTTGCAACTCAGCTGATTATGATTCATTTATTTTACAAAGAGAATCAAAGTTGTATCTTTGTTGTTTGTGTGATTAGATAAATCAGGACAGAATGGCACAGTGACAAATATGCAGGGCCTGAGCCAGGGGGCACAGAGGGTCAGTACAAAATGTTTTTTCCCTCAAATTCTTCTCATTGTGCTTCATATCTGGTGAAAGCTGAGCAACTCCAGAGATGAGTAGGAAAGTCCCACCTTCTAACTCTTTTACTTTAAGTTTTCCATGCAGAACTGCTTCTCTGACTATGTTAGCACTGACAAACTCAACCACAAATATTTTTCGTATATAATTTTTGGCCACAGTTGCTCTAAGGTTACGAAAATAATAGTTAAATAAGCGGAACTTTCACTTCCTGAGGAGAAAACTATGGGCAAAAAAAAGTCTCATAATGAGCCTCTTCAACCCTGCACACCTCCTTGGGCACAATGTTCATGGTTACTGAGCAAACACTCAAGTTGCTATGTTATGACGCACAGTTTTTTTTATTTTTGTGTGTGTGTGTGCACGCGTGTGTGTGTGTGTGTAGCTAGAGTTCATAGTCAGCCCTCTGTTTACACAAGAGCCACTCCCATGTGATCCAAAGCTGAGGCCGGGAATTCCTACTTTGCAGGCTGTTTTTTTTTTCAACACGCCTTCTGTTCTGCAGTTGATTTTTTTTCTGTTAGTTTGTAGATATATACATGCTTCATGTTTATCATGTGGGTTAAAACAACACCACCATTATTTGTGATAAGATCAATAACTTTATCTGAGATGAAGCAAGATATCAGATGAGGTGGGTCAATGAACAGACCAAAGCTTGTTCTCTGAGTAAGAACATCTTAGTCACAGCTTTTTTCTCATATGTTGAAGATGTCTCACTTGTTGTTCAGTGAAGGTTTGTTGCTGTGTAACTTTGGAGACTAGTAAACAATCACTCATGGAAGCCACACCTTTTGTCGACCCTATACCATCAAACATGCTGGTTGAAGCTGTTCCTATGGAGAATCTCTTCAAACTGTTCTCATCTTCATAGATGGGGAAGTTGCTTCCTAAAAACAACAATGCATTGTGTGTGTTTCTGTTTCCTTTTTAAAGCTGATTATTTGCTCACTTTACTGATAGATGAAGAACAGATTATTTTTCCACAATGCAAAAGTAAAAACAACCAACCAACAGATCTGTAGACTGGTAACTATTTTATCTCTGTATCCCAGCCTGGCTTGGCCCCATCTATGAAGAATGTAAACAAGGTCGAAGTTAGCTACATAACTGTGGTTCCCTTAACACAATAAACTGACATGTCAGGGCAGGAAAAGCATAGTAGTAAATACTCAAATGAAGATAGCAGTATCCCATAGTTGCTTCAGGTCCTTGTACTGTAAATGAGAGTTCTGTTGCCTAAATTAAGAAGCGACTCATGATGCCAAAGATATCGGGGTTGGAGGGGAGGGTGATGTTATGTATAATATTATATTTATATTCTATATTATAATATAACATATTTGCATAATTAACTGAAATAATGATAACACACACACTTCATAGTTTTTACTAAAGTCTTTTGGCAACAACTAATGCATGTAGGCCCATTCTGTTGGGTCTTTTTTTTTTATAAAAACAATTGTATTGACGTTGGTTTTGACAGCAGTGTAACACTTTTGTTTCCTGTGGGTCCCGGGGTTACGCAGCTTTTTTTAAGATACAAGTAAGGGGGGTCCAAAAAGGTGGGTTGTATAGCATTTCTAAAATTATGACTTTATTGACATATTGGTTGTTTAATCAAAAATTGCTGTTGTTGGTTTCCGGGTTTTTAGGTTCTGTCGCAGAAACATTTATTTTTGGTATTCTTTTGTTTGACCACTAGATGGCAGAAGAGTACAACTTGAATCATAATATTGGACAGGAGTATTTGATTTTCAAACTGCCCCAGCCTTTCTGCAAATACTTTCATATCAGAATCACAGCTGGAAATGATACAGATTAGTGTTTCCATGGTTACACCCTCCCTTATTTGGGAATTGTGAGTAAGATGAGGAAGTATGAAAGTTTGAGTAATGCTTTCCACACAGGCAGGGACAATCCAATATGCACAAAAATGTATTTATACAAACAATGTTGCAGAAAACAGCTGGAAATGATACAGATTAGTGTTTCCATGGTTACACCCTCCCTTATTTGGGAATTGTGAGTAAGATGAGGAAGTATGAAAGTTTGAGTAATGCTTTCCACACAGGCAGGGACAATCCAATATGCACAAAAATGTATTTATACAAACAATGTTGCAGAAAACATGATTGTTTGTCATTTCACCGTGCCTCAACTTTAAACCTATGATCCTAACTGAACTGAACTCTGTCTGAAGTTGTTAATTAGAGAGTGAAACAATTGCAGCAGACCACAAAGGAGAGGAAGGAAAAGACCTTTGATTTTCTTTTAAACTCAAAGTCAAACACCAGACCACACACACACACGCACACACACACACACACACACACACACACACACACACACACAGAAACAAACACAGAAACAAACACACAGAAAGAGTTGCTCCAGTGCTAATTCTTTTCCTCCCTGATTTCTGCTCTTTGCAGAATGACTCATGATTGCTTCAGGGACATGACTCTTAGTCACAGCTTCCACCACAAAACTGCAAGGAAGAGAGGACACAGGACCATAACAATCACCACTCAGTGAGTCACTGCGTCCGAGGTTTTCACTTAAGAATCATGTGCATCCCAGACAATTAAAAACAAGTAGACAAAGTTATTTATATTCACACACAACACCATAAAAGTGCCTCCTTGATACATGCATAATTCATTCTGAACAAACATTACTGTGCACTGCTTTGTGTGCCTGGGTGAGATTTTTAAAGAGGGCATTGAAACAAAGTACTCACTCAACACTGTTGCTCTTCAGACTTCTAAAAAGTCAGAAAAATGATCAAAATGTAATGTAGTGGGATGTGTTTCAGGAAGATTTACATTGTGTGGTAAGCGTTCAAACTCAAACAAATGGCAGGGAGAAGAACAATCATGATTCACATTCACAGAAATCTTTTTCTATGACGTAGTTAGATTTCTCAAACGGCTTCAGCGTTTCCTCTTTTTGTCCCCCGAGAGTTTATGGATTTTTTAAATTTCTTAATTCTTGATAAACTGTTAGGGTAAGGATTTTTATAAAGACCTCTAAAAGGAGCAGCTGTATGAGCGTGCATCATTTAAAAAAAGCAAAAGTCATTTCTCTCTCCCCTCATTTGTTTGCCAAATATCATTTTTAACTTTCAATGAGCAAGACGATGCAAATACTTTTAAATGAAACATCTGACTTTTTATGATGAAGATAGTCATAAAGGTACGGTACACTTTTAAGTTTTCTTTAATAGTCTTGTGTTCTCTACATTCTTTAGAGAAATAAATGCAGGTTTAAATGCAGGCCTTCAGTCATCATATGGGGGGAATAATGCATCAAATGATACCAATTTGTCAGCTTTGAAATTCCCCTCTTAAGGCAAACACACATTATATTTATTACATTTTAAAGATATGAAGCATAAAATGATCCACAGCAGACTCTTAACAACTCCAGCAGGAATAATCATCAGCTGTTTGTTGGTGACTGTCTTAGCAACATAAAGCCAGTGTTTCTTAGAGAATAACTTGGGCAATGCAGAGTGTCATTGGGTAGCAGTAGGAGTGGTTGGAGATGAAAGGAGCATTATGGAGGGAGGGATCAAGGGTGGGGTATAAAGCATCCTAAGCATCCATGTCTGCATCAGTACGGCTCCTCCAAGACCCACTTTCACTTTCTCGTCTCCTTGAGTCTCTGCAAGTCAGCTTTGGTGAGTAGAAACTTTCAAACATGCTTGCTGTCTGTTGCCTGATCGCAGTTAAAATTTGTGCCAAAACGTTTAACTTTTAATAATTTGTCATAAATAGCCATAAAGGCATTTTAGCTAAAATACAACTGCAGAGTTACCAGCTCTGTGTGCATTTCGTTTTTTTAAGCCAGCAATGATTTCCTTTCCTCTGTCATGAGAAAAACATTGCAACAGGCATTGCTCATTTTGCTCTGGTGCAAGTTATTTAGCACACTTTAGCCTGGAATATATATTTTTTTAATGATGCACTAGAAGCTAGTGTTGAGCTTTCATTCTTATTCAAACCTATTAAAAACATCAGGACCGTATGTGTTAAATTCTGTGTTCCTCTTCACTTTCCATCTGCTATGACAGTGTGATGCCACAGTTTCCTCAGATCACCACACCCTTAAGACACAGTTGCAACATCTGAGTCAGAATACAACAAGAACGGACTCTCTCGGGTTCATGGAGTCGGTGGAAAACAATAAAACACATTTTCACAACATGCAGAATTTTAGAGCACAGAAGACACTTGTGGGACTTCAGTCAAGTCTTGACCTGCTTCTTTACCTTGTTCAACGGAGTTACCTAGAGAGCTTAAACTGTTGTCACAACACTGTCCTGACGCTGCATCAGAGACCGGTGACGGGGGGTTATCTGGGTCCCGGTGGAAACCAGGGGGTTATTTTTATCCCCAGTTCTGTGGAAAAATCAGACGAAAACACCTGCAGAGTGGAAAGCAGCGAAGTTAGCCACTACTTATTTCTTTAGAACTCTTAAAGGATCTTTAATGTTTCTGTTTTGCCATTACATGTGTGTAATTGTCTTTATTTTGTACATGCTGAATGAATCATCCACGTAAAACTAAATAACTCTTACTTAATCCCTCACCAAACAAACAGTTCCTACTTTCCACGGTTTCCTCTCCTTTCCTTGCAGCCATTTCCTGTTGATGCTGTTGATTTCAATGCATTCCTCAGTTAACTTTCCAAAATTCAGCCAACATTGCCGCATGACCTGTAAAAGTATCAGTGATAGGATGAGATGAAGCAGCATTCAATAAGAGCGTCATCAGCTTCATCCGTTTCTGCAGCTTGTGAGCTGAGGATATATAAAGAAAATTCAAGGTCTGTCTCGACTGAAGATGTGCTTTTATAATGATTCACTTTATAACAATTTTCCTTTCTGTCCTCTTAGAGTCAAATATCATCATGTCTGAAATCCAGACTGCCATGGCCCTCCTCATCAGCAATTTTGAAAAATACGCTGGCAGGGAGGGGGATAAACACACCCTGAACAAGGCAGAGCTGAAAGAGCTGCTTCAGAATGAACTCGGAGAGATGCTGGGGGTGAGTGACCTCTGATCCTTCTCAATTTAGGTCTGCAGAAAAAAAAAGATGATCGGTTATGTACGCTAACCCTCTTCTCACCTGCAGAAAGCCACTGACAAAGCAGCAGTGGACCGCATCTTCAACGAGCTGGACTCGAACAAGGACAACAGTGTGGACTTTGAAGAGTTTGGCAAAATGATCTGCTGCCTCACTGTGATGTGCCACGAGTACTTCATTGGCAAAAAATAGGGGTCCAAGCGCCACCTTGGGGCCATCATACAGAGCTGCCTTCCTGTTAACACAGCTGTTCCAAGGAAGGAAGAAGAATATTCGCTATTAACTTAAATACCAAAAATTCACAAAAATGCTTGTCGTTACGATTTATGACAAAATAAACTTTTTTTGACTTGTTCACTTTGTGTGTCTCTGAAAGGTTGGGGGACAATATTTAGCTCATTAAGCTCATAATACCTTTTCCACGATGAGCTAAGAGTTGACATATGCTTTAAGGCCTTAACTCTTATAGCTGCATTAACTTCAGTTGAGGAACAGTATCACAGCAGGCTAACAGTCCAGACGTTGTTTCACACACTTGTTTAAACTAACATTTCGATTAAGAGTGTAACATTCCCTGCCCACCTCAATAGGCCCTATCCAACCATACTTGCTCTGGTGTGACCTGGGGCTTGAGGTTCATAAAAATTGCTAATGTTAGTAAACTTTTAATGAAAATTGTGCTGTACAAGTTACATGTTAGAGTCAGATGGTTTACTTTATTTGCTTCTTCTTGAATAGCACATTTTAGGATATAATTCTGTAATTATTGGGTCTTAAGCTTAAGCTAGCCCTGCTTTAAATTAGCTAATTTTAAGTTAGCATACTGTTGGGCACTAGCTAAGCTCAGTGGTCAGTGTGCATAGTGCATACCCCATGTCAGTGGCCCCAGGTTGGCCCCAGGTTGGACTCCAGCTCTTGGCCCCTTGCTGCATGCATCCCCACCCTCTACACAAGTCATTCCCATCTATATACACTGTCCCATCTAATAAAGGAAAATTCCCACAACAACAAAAAAAATTACTAAATTTTTACAACTAAAAAATCACCAATAAAGTAAGCTTATTTTAACTTTACCTAAATGTCTGAAATATATATTTTTTAATTTTCTATTTTTATTTGGAAAAGAGTTTCCATGTTTAGATTTCGCTTAGAGTAAATTGTGGCTTGCAGCTTCTTTTGTGATTGTATATATCGATACCAACCTGCATTATTTCTAAATACTACATTTTCCCTCTCTGTTTTAAATTCAAATTCAAATTCAAAAACTTTATTTGTCCCCGGGGGGAAATTCAAAGGCATGCAATTCAAAACCAACATCAAAATGAAGTGAATCTGCACTGTTTGACAACAATACTTCTGCTAGCTGGTATTTGTTTTGAACTGTTAAAATTGAGCTTTTGTAGACTTGAGAGTGATTTTATGATGAATACTGGCATCAGTTTGAGTCTCTGTCCTTCAAAGATGGAAAAAGAAGCAAAACATATGAAAGTCTTTCATACAGAGCAGTAAATTAACAACAGTGCAAGTACGAAACATTTTAACCTAAATATAAAGTGTCAATTTAAATACAACTTAAAGCTTAAACATGACTTAAAAATACAAAATATAAAAAGAGTAGATATAAATGGACAGTGATCGGACTAACAGATGTAACCAGATGTAAACAGAACTATGTGCAGTAAATGAGAAATATATATATATATACAGAACTATGTGCAAGTAGGCAAATACTAAATGATAAGTTAATAAGGTGCATGGTGAATAATTGGAACAACAGAACTAGTATCTACAATATAACTGTAATGGTATAAATGAGATAAATAAAGTGACCGTAGTGCAATGATGGATAAGAAACAACAGGAATAAAGTAACCAGAACTGTATGAATACTGATATAAAATGGATAGAAAAAAGTGATGTAGTGCATGAGACCAGATAAAGCAGAGGCAGTTAAGGTGCTTGGCAAATGGAAGGAAGCTTAAAGCTGTAGTCAGTAGCTTGACTGCACATCCCTGTTTGGATGGATATAGCAAGATAACATAAAAAACAAAGCACAAGAACATCTCTGTTTGGAGTCAATTTTTAAACGGGGTCAGAGCTTGCTTTGAACTATTCCAAATAGTTAAGATAACTTTGTATCACTGGCTGAGGATTTTTTGATAAGCATATGCACACTCCTTGGGCCCTGCCACGGCCCAATGTAAAACAAAAAATAATTAAAAATTTAGGAAGCCAAAGTAAAAATAAAAAGTAATATTCTTTGAGGCCCCTGTCAGCCTTTGGCCCTTAGAATCTTCCTAACTTTTCTCCGCTATACACCTTTCACATACAAACAATAGACTGTAAATAATAATGCTAGCCTATAAACAGTCTAGGATACAAACCCTTACTCTATAAAATAAAGTACAATTAATAGCCTAAGGGAAATCATTAGGGCCTAAATAGTTTAGAAAAGAGAATAATACTTTAAAAAGCCAAACTTGTGAGATAAATAAAACTAATAGTCTTTTAATAGCCTACACTTTGGCTGTGTCCTAAATCACTCACTCATTCCCTACTCCCTACTCCCTATATAGAGAGTTTAATGCACTTTGTCTTTTGTTAAAAATGGCAAAGTCCTTTTTGTATGTATATTAAATAAAACTATAAAATGCCTATTAAAGTAATGTCAACACAATCTCTTAAGTCTGTTAATATCATGGATTTAACAAGTTAAAAACAAAAAGTTACTTATGGATTAAAGACTTTCCCTGATAAGTAAGGGACTCAGCAACACGGTGAACTTGGTTATCTGTTAGTCATAATAATGATAGAAAGATACAGAAATAAAAGGATGAAAGGCAGCACACATAGCAGACTGTCGGTGACGCCTCCGGGAGGTCACGTTGTGAGGCCGTGTCTTGTGACGCTACCGAGGGGGCGGGGTTATCAACAACAGAGTCGGTCTGTGGAGCTAACGCTGCTGAGGGACACAGAGCCCGAGTGTTGTTTTGAATTTGCTAGAAGAAACCGACTGGAAGAGGGGGGCCAGGGCCTGTGGAAAAAGATGGCGGATGTAGACGGAGATGATGAAACTCGGAGCACTCTACCTTCAGCATCCCGTAACGGTCCTGTGGTCGGTTCTGGCACCGCGGGTCAGATCGCAGCTTTGGTAACGTCAGGTCCGCGGACCGTGAGGATCGTTAAGTCGGAGTCGGGCTACGGGTTCAATGTTCGCGGTCAAGTCAGCGAAGGAGGACAGCTTCGGAGCATCAACGGGGAACTGTACGCTCCTCTTCAGCATGTCAGCGCTGTGTTACCCGGAGGAGCGGCAGACCGAGCCGGGATATCAAAGGGTGACCGGATACTGGAGGTGTAAGTCAGCGTCTATCCTACCTAAGCCAGGTAGTTAGCATGTACAGCTAGCTGCCCTGGTTCAGCCCGTTTTGATGCTTATAAAGCAGAGTTACCATTATTCGGAAGGTAACGCTACGTCACCTGTCCCTTATGACAACAAAAGTGTCATTTTAATTATCGAAAAATGTATTTGGGCAAGTTTAGGTACATTATTGCCCGACAAATCATTAGCTAATGTTGCTACATCAGGCTAACCAGCTTACATAAGTTGGACAGAACAGGCTGTGCATGTTGATTAGCTTTAGCTCGCTACTAAGCCAGGTAGCTGTCGTCTTTGCGCTTTGAGTACTTCAATATGGTTTGTGAGTACTAAGGTATTAAATTGACAGCATTGTTGGCATTGTATTGTCGTTTGCATAATAATAATAATAGTAGATGTGTGTTTTGAACCTGCCCTAAGACAGTGGACGACAATGTTGTCACTCTAATTCATATAGAATAGAATAGAATAGAAGATAATTACTTTATTGATCCCTAACTGTGAAATTATGGCGTTACAGCAGCAGGTTGTACAAACACACAATATTAGCAAATCTGAACACAATATAATATTAAATACAAAGTAAATAAGCACTAAAAATATCAAAACTAAGAATGGGAATATATACAACCAGGATTTAACTTAGCATTACTAGTCTTAAATATGATGGATTAAATGTGCATGTGCAAACACAGAGTTGTAAATGGACAGTATTGACATAGGGAGCTGTGCAATCAGTGATACTACAAGTTAAAGTGCAGGAATGTAGACATGTTATGTTATATGGTCTTAGGATGTGCCTCTCTGGTCATGTAGAGACAATCTTATAAACTATTTACATGACACATTTTGGATTCCTATTATATTGTTTGCCATTTTGTAAACAACTCTTGATAAAGGAATAATCCTGCAAAACTGTCAATTCTAGGAGCAATCCTGACCTCACAGCACCTACTTAAGTCACTGTTGCAGGAGGATCTTTAATAGGGCCATCATCCAGTGATAAACTCAACTGTCCATGATATGAGCACCATAGTTGTAATTCTAGGCAGTAATAAAAGGTAACTGCTGAAATGAATACATGGAAAGTTATTTGTAAGTCACATCCAAAGCCCATTATGTTTTGCGGGCCAGCATAATCCTTATCACATGTATTGGAGCTTTTCAGTTCTTGTCTTAACTTAACTAAAGGTTAAACTTGGAATAAGAGAGAAGAGAAAGTACAAAAACTAGGAACAAGTTTGCTGAGGCATCAAAAAGGTTTCAGCCAACCTGTGTTTACTCCATGGTTGCATTTCTCTCTGACTTCAGTCATATGACAGGGCCTGCGTTTATCATGTGACTTATTAACCAGCTTGATCATATCGCAACAACTCAATGACATCACCATAGCAAAGTATGTTTGTTACATGTAAGCATTTTAGTTCAAAGTTTTATGAGCAAGAAAAGGCAATATTCCCGCTTCAGTGGTGATATCAGGCGATTAAACAGTGTAGTGTTTGGTTTACAACATCAGATTCGTCAAGGTCAGCTTTAGAAAGAAACTGAATGTCAAATAAACCTGCTGCCAAGAGGTGTTTTATGCTACTGTGTTAGACTATTGCGCAATACAATATTTGAATCTTTCCGGCAGTGGAAAAACCCTTGGACCTATAATTTTGGCCAACACAATCTTCTGCAGACTAATATTAGTTAGTTTGTTTTTTACCATTTGCAAGGCTTCACCTTTGGCACTGTTTAAGTTGTTATATGATTTCTTCAGTGTTTGGGCTCTTGATATAAACATTTAACATATTTAATGTAAGTATTGATCAATGTAAATGGCTTATATCCAAAAGTTGCAGCCCTACTTATACCTATACACATTTGAACAACCTACTTTGTTGTTGAATGGTGAGGGAGATGCGTCTCTGGCAGGCATTGTTTTGTTTCTTTGATGGGATCAGATTAGCATGAGATCAAAACTTCTTCCTTTGTCTTCACCTTTTTTTTAGAAATTTGTTTTCCACTACCGTCTCCTCCATACGACTTATTTGTGCTTTAATTGAACCAGGACACAACGCAGATAAAAATCACATATGGATACATGGTATGTAGTGGAATACTGGTATGCTACCACTCTTGCTGGCTCGCTCCTCTTCTATGTCCATCCTGCTGTTTCACATAGGAAGATTAGCAGAGACACCTGATGCCCGTGCCATCTGGCCTCAGCGAAGCCAAGCAGGGTAGTGTCTCATGCCCACAAAGTAACAAGAGACATCAGAGCTCTGTTGCTTTAACTCAGCACCCCTTAAATTATGTCTATCAATGGAGGATCAACACATTGTGATGGAAATTAACAGGATGCTAAACTGTATTGTTCATTTGTATAGTGGTCAATCCATACTGAATAATTTATTTTTCCAGAGTTGAGATCAAATTTGGTTGCATTTTTCATAAAATTTGGTTGAGCTTATCATAAAATGATTACTCAGTTAATATTAGATGTGGAAAAAAAGCACCAGATTTTGATTGATATCGTGAGAGAACCTGAGTTGAGGGTTCTGAAATTCGCATCGGGGGAGTAATATTATCATTGCATCCCTGATTATTTATTTTTCTCATAATCCACTGCACAGCTCCAAATTGCACCTTTTGTACATTTTGTGTTTTTTTTATTGTTTTTTTTTTATATTTCCCCTTTTTCTAATTCTATTTTATATATTGTAATATCTTCTTATACTGTATTATTTAAGTTGTTGCTAGTTCTGCTTTATTTCCTTACATACACCAAGTCAAATTCCTTGTATGTGTAAATGTACTTGGCAATAAACCCCGATTCTGATTCTGATAAGCTCAACAAGAGATGCATTTGAAATATTTTTAAAACTGCGTCACTAAAATATTCTTTACTAATATTTCACACAGCAGCACGGTATCCTGCTCTGATCAGGGCTGAAAACCAGAACTGTTTCTTTTGTGTTTGAGGTATTCAAAATGTAGCAATGTAATTTCATCATGTGCTAAACAATCAGAAAAATAGTTTGTTTTCTCTCTGCTGACTTTCTTTTTATCTCTCCTTCCCTTTCCTTCCACCTTTTTCTTGTTGTCATTCTTCCTCCAGTAATGGGGTGAGTGTGGAAGGTGCCACCCATAAGCAGGTGGTGGACCTGATCCGTGCTGGGGAGAAGGAGCTCGTTCTGGCTGTGCTGTCTGTTCCAGCTCTGGAGGCTGACGGATTGGAAGGCGGGGAGGATGTCCAACCAAACTACGACTACAGCGACAAGCAGGCAGTACCCATTTCCATCCCCACATACAAACATGTAGAGCAGCACTCCGAGAGGTTTGTGGTGAGTGCAAGTATGAAACCTTTACCTTTAACTTTTCTTCCCCTCACAAACAAATGGTGAACTTTTTTTTCAGGGTGAACTTGAAAAATTCCATAATTCTTTGCTTGTAAACCCTTTGTTACCTCTCTTCAGTGCTCTTAGACATGTCTGTTCTGTCTTTGTCTTGGTGCCTCAGGTGTACAATGTGTACATGTCAGGCAGACAGCTGTGCTCAAAGCGCTACAGAGAGTTCTCAATCCTTCAGCAGAACCTAAAGAGGGAGTTTTCAAACTTCAACTTCCCAAAACTTCCCGGTAAATGGCCCTTCTCCCTGTCTGAGCAACAGCTGGACGCTCGTCGTAGAGGTCTGGAGGAATATCTGGAGCGAGGTAAGCTGATTTTGAGAAGTCACTTTTGCGGTCAAAGACAAAAATCTAACTTTGTAACTAATCTGTTAAAAACTCTATTTTCAAGGCTGACCTTCAAGTCTGACATATATTTTGAAAAAATTATATCCCTTCAAAACATACCAAATGAAGAGTAAATTAAATGCATGAAGACATAATGATGTTGAAACAGAAAATAGACCAGGCATTAGCTGTATGAAAATGTTCAACATACAATCAAACACTGAATTTAAATACAGAGTTCAGGCAATGTGACCCAAGGCTGTCCTTTTGTTTATTGATTTATTTACTATAACCACCACTCCCCTCTCTATCTCTGCATCTGTCTGTGTTCTGTATTGTCTCTAGTCTGCTCTGTGCGGGTGATCGGGGAGAGTGACATCATGCAGGAGTTTCTCTCTGAATCGGATGAGGTATGCAGCTCCTTTTAAAATTCTGATAGGGACAGAATCATTATCCTGAGCCTTGTTGAGTCATTGAGGGAGTATTTAGCTCAAAGTTTGTATCTGATTGGGAGCATAGTGAGGCTGATTTGGTGTAATCAAAATTGCATGATGAAATAATGAACAAATCCGTTTGACTTCCTCCACTGTAAACAAAGTCATCTATTCGCTACAAACAAGCATCAGCAGTTAGAGCAGCTGAATTTAAAAACATGAATGACGCTTTCGGCACATCATGACTACTCAAACAGGAGAGCCAAAACAATCAAACACTAATTGCATTGCCTTTCTAGTGTTCTGAGAAATAACACTAGCTGAGACAAATACTACTGAAGTAATCCAGCACTTGAGAAGGATTAGGACTTCTAAGGGAGAGGAGTTCTCGTTTGTTACGTAGTGTTTTGTTTGTTTTAATCCAGAAGTACTTTCCAGTCATTCAGAGCAAACGCGTACATACAAGCCGTCACACACCCTTGTTAATCCACACATGAGTTAATGTGGCTTAACAGCTGTTCTCTTTATGTGTTGTTTGGCTGTGCAGAACTACAACGGAGTGACCGATGTAGAACTGCGGATAGCCCTGCCAGACAAGACCACCATCTCTGTCAGAGTCCGCAAGAACGGCACCACAGACCAGGTGTACCAGGTAGGAACACATGTTGGAATTCTGCCGTCAAGCTCAAATATGACAATAAGTGTTGAAAAGTCAAACCATGGTATTCTAAGGGTGCAGAATTTACAAATATGACTGACTCTGTATTGCTCCTCCTGCAGGCATTAGTGTTGAAGGTTGGAATGGACAGTATTATGGCGAGCTACTTTGCCCTTTTTGAAGTCATCAACCACTCCTTCGGTAAGGACCGACTTTTATGTGTTTAGCTTGAAAAGCCCCTGAGCAGTCTCACATACACTCATGTGGTACATTACAATAAAAAATAAAAATAAACCCTCTTGGGGATGATGCATCATATGACCACTAATTGTCATAATAAAAACCTGTCTCACTAAATCTGTTGAGTTAATATCAGTGGACCTCGTGTTGTGTGTGCAGTTTTGGACAGCAAGGGCAGATAATTTGGTACAGGCAAGGATTTTTTTTAATGATGAAACAGACACTTACCCTTCTTTTCATCCCTCGCTCTCTTTCTATAATTTGTTCCAGTACGGAAGCTGGCACCAAACGAGTTTCCCCACAAGCTTTATGTGCAGAATTACACGTCGGCAGTGCCGGGGACTTGCCTGGCGCTCCGCAAATGGCTGTTCAGCTTCCAGGAGGAGGAGTTGCTAAGAGACAACCCGCTGGCACTGCACTACTGCTTTCACCAGGTAATAACAATAATTGAACCCCACTTGCCATGAACTTAAAGGAGCTCAGCAGAAAATGTCATCCTTTTTTTTTTCTTCCAGACTTTATCTTATCCTTACCGTATTAAAACAGTTCAGACTTGTCGGAGATGTCAGCACTTTTTGCCATGGATAATTTCAGCCATAATCAAGTAAATTTACTGTTTTACTTTCCCCTAACTCCTCATACCCGTCTCAGATCCAGAACACAAAGTGAGTCCCTTTAGGCCAGCTCCAAAACAAAGATTTGTGGAAAGATTAAACCCTTTTGGAAAATTGCAGGGAGAAGTTGCAGGGGTGTAACCTGGCTGTTCTTACCTAGAATCAATGTTGGTGGTCTGATGGTGTCTCTGACTAGTGCACGATATCACCACTGGCTGGTATCAAAACACCATGACTGTCACTGGATGGAAGAAAGACAGGACTGCTCCAAGAATAGCCGAACATAAAGAGACATACGCAGGAGTTCTCCTGTCTCAACTTCAAGCCATACATTTGCACTAGCCTCATTTGTGTTCTGTTGATGGAAATTCTTGTCAGTGTTTTTATGTTTCAGATTCTTTGGAGCTGTATTAAAAACTGTATCAAGTCAGTGACTATCACTACTGTCATATATACTTAAGACAACACAAATTATAACAATCTACAAAAAACAAAACTGTAATTAAAAAGTACTGAGTGTCATCTAAATGTATTCAAGTTAGCTTGCGGGCTTCAGCTCACTAAAGGCCGACACATTGCAAGTTGCTGCAGGTTTCTACACTTCTCGTTGCCAATCTGAGGTCTGAACTGGAACTTTCCCTACAACTGTAATCTATCTTGAGTCACATCCTAAGCAAAATAACACGCATGAACCAGGAAGTTCTACATATGGCACTCTGAATGAAAAACAAACAACTCTGGTGCTTTTAAATGTCACAGCTCATACACTAAATCAGGTAACCAGGGAAACAAGACATTCTACAAGCCTGGGCTATTATCCCACAAAGTTTAAAGCATGAACTGGAAAAATATATCCTCTAATGCAAAACGCTCTTGAACTTTCCAAAGCCAAGGTCCTAAAAAGAGCTGCAAAGCTAAAAAGCTGCAGATTTTTTAAATTCTTTATAGGTTCATCACTTCAACTGACTTATTTACATTGTCAAAATCGTATCAGATAAATGGTTAGTGTGAAAATATTGATTATAGAATCCGAATTTTAAAGATTTGGTTTTTGGTTCTAGTTGGTAACCGATGGTTTGATATCTTTTGATGTTTTTAATGGATGATCCATTTTGTTCTTCGACTTTAAATAATAAATGGTGTTTTATCTCTACTTGTCCACCCAACCCCCCTCCCCACCCATGCCACCCCCTGTCCGTCCAGGCGTTGGAAGATGTGAAGAAGGGATTCATAAAAACGGAGGACAAATCCTACCAGCTGCAGAAGCTGGCAGAGCAGCGCAAGATGGCCACGGTCAGTCCCACAGACCAGTCTTTGTTCACAGAGGGGGTTTGGGCGACTCCACTTTTTGCCTGCTGACCAGAGCCATCACCAAAATGTTACCAAATGGACAGAAAAGTCAGAAACCCTTTCACACACAGAGAAAAAAAAATCCACCCTCTATGGTGAAGACCACAGAGGCCTGGTTTCACTCGAGATAAAGCCACTGAGTTTGTATTGATGTTTGTAGAACATTAAGTGAAAGTGGCACGTGTGCGAGTTTCATTGAGTAACTACATTCACTACTATTTAGCTACCCAGAACATTTCCAAGATTTAAATGAAAGGGAAACCTTGGATCAATTAGCATAAAGCAACACTTGTTTACATGAACCTGATTGATCATGGTGCTCTGAAATTGGTCAGCATGTGATATTAGAAATGTTCATGGCAAACATTACACTTTGTTAACTTCATTATGACCAGAGACTGAGAAGAACCAGGGGGAGGATCTGTACATCCTCGACTAGTGCATCTTAAAATCAGTCAAACTTTATTTATACATCACCTTTCAGACAAATGAAATTGCAGTTCAAAGTGCTTTACAAGAGTGCAGAAAAGTTATTGACGAAAAAGTAGTTTATAGAATCATCGAGAGACCAATGCACACCAATAAGAATTAAAAAAATATGTATAAAAATGAAAAAATAAAATACGACACATAAAAGCAATAAGATATTAAATACATAGGAGAAGAATATTTTAAATTGTAGTAGGATAAAAAAGGCAATACAATAATGTTAAGATTTGAATTTATATAAAGCACTATATAAAAGCCAGACTGATTAAAAGTTTCTGTAAGTCAGAAGGTGCTTTAAGAAAGTACAGGACTGTGTGTTTTTTTCATATTGCATTGTTGAAGAATGTATAAGGATGGAGTAGTTATCACAGCTGTGCACCTTTTTAATACAAAAATATTGTGATCCAAATTCTAACTCTTGGTACATATACGCATAAAATGTTTCTGCTAAAACCCTAAACATGTATTCTTTAATGAGACCAGCTTACAGCTATGTCTCCTTCAAAGGATCATTTCTCACAGCTAGAAGGGTCAGGCAGTCTTCTGAAAAGAATTTGAATCACAGTGATTTATCAGCGCTAAAGCATCTAGTAAGTGTAGACCGATTCAACGTGACAGTGACGAGCACGGCAATCAATGGAATGTTTAACATTTTTTTTAAATCACAAGGACCAGAAAAAAATGCTAAACATGCAGAGTGCAGAGCGGTAAGCTACGTGTAAATAAGTGGTGCTCCCATTGCAAAGAGAAAGAGGCTACAACATCAATGATTCAATGTTGTCACTGCAGGGGTCACATGTTCGTATATTTTCACAAACACACACTGTGGTTTATACTTTATCAATCACACATACACTAGAGAATCAGACGAGGTTTAATACACCACAGGAAATAGCCTCTAACACATAATGTGCCTTTATTTGTATTATAATGTATTCGTGGCTCACTGCTTGAACTGTTGCTTTATTGGACTGAAGCACAAGATGTTGAGGTAATCTTATTTAGACTGATAATAGTTGTTTTCTTCCAGTATAAGAGACCGATGTGTGTACTTTTCTTCCCGTCTGTTAGTACCTGAGTCTGTTGCGGACATGTGAGGGCTACAATGAGGTGGCGTTCCCCCACTGCTCCTGTGACTCCAGGAGGAAGGGACACGTTATCACAGCCATCAGCATCCATCACTTCAAGCTGCACGCTTGTACTGAGGACGGCACGCTCGAGGTGACTGTTTGTCTTCTTCAGTTGAACAAAAAGTGCCAACATATAGAACTATTTAAGGACACAGCTTTAAACTTGTCCCAGTTATTAAAAAAGGATAGTTTGACTTTATTGATAACTCAATGGATATTTCATTTAGTGAATGAAACCATCGTTCTCTCCCTCAGAACCAGGTGATCGCTTTCGAGTGGGGGGAGATGCAGCGCTGGGACACAGACGAGGAGGGGATGGCTTTCTGTTTTGAGTATGCAAGAGGAGAAAAGAAACCTCGCTGGGTCAAGATCTTCACTCCATACGTAAGAGTACACACACCGGCACAGCTGGTTGTCATGTTCTGTATTTGTCCATTTATTCATTAAAGCAGAATTTACTCTTACAGAGTGTTTGATGCTCAGATTCAAAAAATACAAGCAGTTTTTAAGTTACATTTAAACCTTATAATACAACATACTTTGCTGCTCATGGTATCAAAGCAGTACTAGAAGAGGCAAATACAGTGAATACATGTGTAACTTGTCACAGTGACTTTTTTTTGTAATTGTGCTGATTTTGTTGAATCAAAGGCTGAATAACTTTCCTCTCTGCTGTTTCCCTCTTAGTTTAACTACATGCATGAGTGCTTTGAGCGGGTCTTTTGTGAGCTGAAGTGGAGGAAACAGGTAAGGACCACTCCTTTCCTCTTTCATTCTGGGAAGAACATGATGCAATGACAAGCTAGAAATACAAAACAATAAGCCACCTATTTTATTTTTAAACTGTTGTGAAACCTTTTCCATTTGTATCACTTTTGCTTATTGATGTATTTATTATTGTCAGGTTGAGGAAGAGGCATCTGACAAAGACAACAAAAACTGCAGCAACAATGGTAAGCTCTAATCCTTTTTTTTTTTTAATGTACGTTTTGTCCTAAATACAAGAGCTGGCAGGCTTTTTATCACAGTAGAGCAAGCACTGAAGAGTGGGAGCCTTGATGACGGCAAGTCATAAAGAAATATGTATTCAGATGAGGTACTGACTGCTGATGTGAATGACAGAACCTATCAAGCAGCATGAATTATGCAAATTCCCTAACTGACGGAAACTGAAAGGGTAAGGACAGGGAGAGGATTTTTAAGTGTGCCCCGCTTCTTTTATATCTCTGAATTAAAGGCTGAAATAAATGTGAAAATTTGACGCATTCATAACTTTAGTTCAGTGTCATCAAATTAGATCCAGCACTAACATTGATGCATTCAGATGCACTTGTATTGTTTTATTATCTCTTTACTGCATTTTTAAGGAACAAGGGGGGAAGCTGCATTTTATAGACAATTCACCAGAGCGCCTTAGTGTACTTAACAACTCAGCGGAGAGCAAGTTCTTCTGCTGTCGAGATAATTTAGTCAAGTATTCAGTAAAGAAGCATGGATAGACACATGACTTGTTATCAGAGCCATCTCCTGGAGGGATGTTGAAACTGTTTGGCCCCATGTGAGACAACACGAGACCAGCTGTACAAGTATGTGGACGAGCAACTGCTGTCACGAGGGCGATGGAGCACCTTTTGGTGTTACAGGAACAAATAGAGAAGAGCTGAGGGGAAGCTGAAAGGGTTAAGAGGTTAAGAACATCTAGATAAGGGATTTATAGTTACTAACTGGAGGGTAGTTCAGGGAAGGTTTATAGTGACTGTGTTGCTGAGACACTGAATGGTCTGTGTTTTGTTGAGGCAGCATTTTCATAAGTCACATGACATGCAGGAGAAAAATCCTGTCTTTCAGACCTGAACTATCTCTCTGTGTTGCAGAGTATCTGCCCCCTCTGGAGACACAGCAGAAGGGGTGGCGCCACCTAGGAGGAGAGATCGCAACTTCCTAAAAAAAGCATTTCTCACCATTCAAACTAGAACTGGTCCACTTGCATTATCACAGCCACCCCCAGAGAGCGCCCATCGACAAACACAGAAAACTGAATGACGGACTGAGGCGATGCACGCCTCAGAAACAAACTGGAAGTGATATGATTTTGGAGACTGGAATAGTCACACTAAACAAACCCCAGGGATACACAGCAAGAAGAGCAATGAAGGAAAACAAACAAAAGCCAACTTCAATGTCATTTTCTAGATCTCCATAGCGTCTGTTGTTTTCGCCCTGTGATGTGGGGGGGCAGGACACGAGTCTCTCTCTCTCCACTGGTTGAGATGTAACTCACGCACACACAATGTGTGAGGGGTCAGGGGTCAACATAGCACTGGGGCAGCGTTTGCGCAAAGGGAGCATCTCGATGAAGAGGAGCTGCAATGCGGGATCGCATTGTGACGGCCAGTTCTCCCAACACGACCGGCTCGGTCCAAAGCCCTCAGTGGGACCCTCGTCTGCTGAACTGAGTAGAGATGAAAACAAGAATGGAGGGATACTGAAAAATACGCATTTCCCTTCTTTAACGTAAGTGATGAAGGAAGAAAGCAGAATCGTGCTTTATGCCGAAGACGGACATTAACACAAAAATTATTGTTAAAGAAATATCTGACCAGGAAGCGTTCTGTCTGTCAGAAAAACAGGAACAACAAATGTGTAACTTACTGAAAACTGACGTGTGGGAGGGGGGTTCATAACATTATTACTTCTGATAAAATATAGATTAATATAAGAGCTATAAAAATGGGTTTCTTGATCTAACACAGTGAAACACTAACTGAATTGCATCAAAGCAGCTCTAACCAATCTCCATTTTTCACCATGTCTTCTTGTCCAACCCATGCAGCTTCACAACGACGTCTCTTGGCAGTCTGCCATTTAATGTCAGTATGTGTATTTATCCCCCTGGCAAGTGTTTTATTGTGGTGATTTTGCAGAGTTGGAAGTCGGGGCTTTCTCAGGCTTGACGCTGCGCAGAGATGATCTCCTTAAGAAAAGGTTGATGGGCCAAATCGTTGATGATTTAAAAATGGCACACATGGGAGATATGTCCAACAGATTGTGGATACAAGGACAAGAGAGTATGAAGCTGCAGTCTCCTGAGCGGGCAGGAGAGGGCAGCAGAGGGTCGGACAGATTTGGTAGTTAGATCAAGAGCAGGACAGAAATCCTCTCAGAGCTTCTTAAAGAGTGATCCCCGGGGCTCTGTAACTCACCCAAAAGTATCACTCCTCTGCAGGTTGTGCAGTAACCACTTTGCAAGGACAGATGGTGTGTGTGTGTGTTGTACAGAGAGTAGGTGGTGCATAAAGTTTTGTGACTGCAACCATACATAGCAATGCATGCAGCTGCCTTTGTGTCATTGCAACCTTTAAACTACAGTATTAGTTGTGTGTGTTATAACATGATCATTTGACAGATTTATCATTTACAGACTTTCGCAGTTCAGTTTTGTTTTTCACACGGATATATTTCTTTATTTCTGCAGAGTGAAAAACAATTTTTTCACACTTTAAGTGCAAAGAAAAGCATGTTGACATGCTGATAAAAAACGAACTACTTCTGAATTGAGACATTGTGCGCATGTGTGTTGTGACTACTGAGCACAGTAGAGTTTTGTTTATCCCACTAAGGGCTACAACTTGGCAGGTTCATTACTGACTCATTCTTGTGCTTCACTCGTCTTGTGGCATCGACCCAGAATAAGGTTTATTTTATTTGACTGACTTTGAGAGCACAAGTTCAAGTTTCACATTGTTATTATTATTTTTTTTTTCTTACCGTTCAGCTCAGCTATCAGGTTCAATTAAATGTTTAATTGCGTGTGTGCGTGTCTGTGTCTGTGTGTCTGTGTGTGTCATTGACGATAAGCTCTCAGGCTGTGATTGGTCACGTGTTGTCGTTGTGAGAGCCGGCAAATGAAGATGATATTTTAAGTCGGTAGCACAGTGAAGATGCCAAACAGATGGAGACAAATGGGAGTTGTCTTCTATTGTCTAGTAAACAAGCACAGCCCCTCACACACACACATCCCTGTCTCCCTGCCACTTTGTGATATGGTTTGACAACATCGTTAAATGAAAGATCAAATAATGTTGTTATTTGTCATCCAGTTGTTGCCTCTGTGCACACGGCTGAATCGTACAACGACATGCAGCGAGACATGCTCCTCAGTAGCAGCATGTTGTGTGGATTGCTTGATTGAGAAACAAATTGCAGCGTGCTGATTGCTGGATGGTCATTTTGACAGCTGAAGTAATAGCCAATTCAAAGATGGATGACATTAGAATTAGAGCCATTCAACCATGATGTTGATATTTTTTTAGGATGCTGAGGAAGACACAGAAAGAGGTTGTGTGTTTGTACGCGTGTGTGTCGGCTTGTCTGTCCTCTGCTCTTACTCTCTCCAGGTTGGTCTCCCATCATCACAGGGGGGGATGTGGTTGCCGTGGCAGCACCGCGTTGGCTCAACATGCTCAGAGCAGCCTCTGTTCCTTTTATTCCTGTCAGCAAACTGACTCACCCCTCCCAATAATGTATTCAAAGCAGTGTTTTTTTTTTACTGTTTGATGTTTGTTCTCTGTCCCTGTGGCCCATGCTGCTGTGAATAGGCTTATAGAAAGCTGCTTTCTTTTTCATTATACATATTTTTGTGTCTTGGTTTGTATTGTTGGCGCCAGGTGCCATTGTGCACTCGCTCTCAGTCGCGGGCAGGTGTGCTCAGGCTGTCAGCTGTCGCCCGTTTCGGCCATCTGTGAGATAAATAGTGACAGTGTTGAGATGAAAGAGGAGAGATGACAGGAATGTTAAAGCACGTCTTTTTTTGTACGGTTGGCCAGTGTTTGTTTGTTGTGTACGCTGTGCTGTGGGCCATCTGTGTTTATTGTTTGAGATGCTGGACAGTCTTGGCTTGTAAGTGAATGATTATGTAAAAAAAGGATTGAATTTCACACATGACTTAACACGTAAACAGAATGTCAGAGAGTGCAGCACACAGATATCCACGTGTGGACTGCACATGACGCTCAGAAAAAGTTGTGTTCATCACAACTGCCACTAAAATGCTCGTCTGATTCGAGCTGTTGCTATAGCAACATATACATTTTCTGAGTCTCGTGCCAAATTGGCACTGATTTTCCCCTAACATCGTTCAGTGGCAGATATTGTCAAAGACGTTTTGAATTGGACAGCGTTTCAGGCTCAGGGTTTGGAGCAGCATTGTGAGGCGGCTCAGTCGGTCTCTCTCCTTTGACTCTGTTGGTTTTTGTCTGAACCGCCTACGTTTGTCTCATCATCTGCACTTATGTGTGGTGTCGATGTTGGATGATCTCAAGCGTCTGTCTGGGAGGGCATTCGCTGCTGGCTTTCCCGTCTCAGCTGCCATGTCCTGCCTCTGACTAACATAAGGGTTGGATGTAAGTGTTTGTTTGAAAAAGTGTTAGCCTTCGTGTCATTAACTTCTGTTCATTGCTTAGAAACACAGGGCTTTGGCAATTAGGCAGTGACATTAATTAACTAAGCCTTGTTTATCTGTCTTCAGCATAACCTGTAAATAGTTGTTTTAAAAATTTAAAAAGAGAGTATCTCTTGAACTAAATGCACTCTTGTTCCTCCGACTCAAAACTTTTATTTATTTAAGCAGAAATTATAAAGCTTTGGGGAAATGATAGAGTACACCGCTGGAGCCACCTTCGATCACTGATTCTGTGCAGGGCACCGGCTGTACAAAGGATTAGCAAAGTAAACAATAAAACAAGCTGTTTAAAGATGTTCAATAACACCTGATTCAGAACTAGGCTACAAAATGGAGAGTTTTATATCTAAAAACACACATGAAGGTTTACTAACCGATGTAAAACAGAAAAAAAAAGTTTGAAAATGTTGTGTAGAGTAATAAATTGTAACAATATTTTAAATAAAGTTATATATTGGGAAAGAAAAGCTGTCGGTCTGCATTTATTTACCCTTCAGGATATAAAAGGGAACCTCTGACTCTTTTATCTTTTTTCTGTTTATTGGCTGGAGTCTCAGTACGCTTCCAGGAGGCTTTTAAACAGCTGTTAAATGATAAGGTACTATGGTTGTGTTTATCAATGTATGGATTCTCCTTTCTACAGGGACCCGGCCAATGTCAAAGACTCCTCCTTTAAAGAGAGAGGCCGGCCGTGCTCACCGGGGACTTGTTATCTTCATGAGTGGAAAGACAGTCGTACATTAAAAAGCTTTAAATGTCTTTAAATGTGAATGAATCATACAGCAGTGCAAAATAAATACCTTTACTAAGTGTTTCTTTCAGAGCTGCCAAGCGAAGGTGATGATGGAGCCTCATTCCAGCAACTCATTCAGTCTGAGGTCGACTTCGAACGCCCTCGCACTCCGAGACAAAAGCTTCTGTAAATTGTGCATGTGTGGGAGGTATTTATGCAAATGGAGGTCTTATCCAATCGCTGATGGAGAATGTGAAGTTCAGCACAAGGAGCTGAAGCCAGTTTGACAGCAATGTTTTTTTGTTTTTCTCTTCCTGCTCCAAGAGTGTCTGCTGGATGAGAAGTGAAGGAGGGCTGATCATGACGAGGAACAGATGTGACAGTTTGCTGGCAGGAAATATTTCAGACTCCTTTAATCGCCATCTCTGTCGTTTAGAGAGGATTTAGATGAATAGAAAAGAACAATGTCACTACTTCTTGGATCTAATGCATTGATCAAATATACAGCTTTTCATCAGTAGTTCATCTCTGAGTAGTTTATTGCCACATTTCCTGCTTGAAAACAGCTCAAAGTCTGCAGCATAGTGTGAAGTGCATTATAGTTCATAACAGCTCCCATGGCAGGGATCAGGGTGGCTAATAAAAGTCCACACAGGCACATCATTCTGGCACAGGAAGGAGAAAAAGTGGCGTTTTGATGGGCCACATTCTGCACAGATCATAAGGAGCGGTTGTAGTCCGTAGGGGAGGTTGTGGTAAACGGAGGTGAGGCATTACTCAAACCTAAAAAAACACAGGGCTCCTTAATGCACCCAGTGGAACCCAGCCCATAAAAAAGCTGTGTGCACTGGCAGTGCTGAGGTGAAAAATACTCATCTCATTAGAGCTGTCTCACGTGGGCTCTGTATGCTGACTGCCACCCTGACTTCACCACCTGCCCTCACTTTACATTTTCCTTCTGTCTGACTCACAATGTAAACTATCCTCTGTAAATACCAATTATCTATCAGGTGTGACTCTTGACTTAGTTTCAATCCCTTTAAATCCTTGTCAAGGCTACTTAAACTCTTACATATATAATCTTCATATTTATTCAATCGCTGTCTGTAGCCAACAATAGCAGCTTTACTTGTTACTTAGCAACAAAAATCACAGCCCTGCTACCCCTAACCCCAAGAAGAACCACTGGATTTAATGGAAACCTCAACTGAAAGTGGTTAAGGAGGGATAAGTGACACTTTTCTTAACAGTCCACTGATTTTTGCTGTCAGGTTGGAATAATGTCCTCAGACACACAAAGAGGCTGTTTACCCAGCCGATACATCCCAGGGACACAATGTGTAGAGTTTGGACTTCAGTGAAAACAGTGTGGGAGTCTCTCCAGCACACCATTCTTACTCACACGCTGAAGCAGCTCTGGTGGTCTTTAAGCTGTTGGATTTTATTCCTTGTCGCTCTTTTGTTGTGTGTTTAGCCAGCGTGCCAAGCAGATCGCTTTGTTGTGTCTGTTCCTCGTCTGCCTCTCAGAATAGACAGACGGATGTGGAATCTCAAGTAAGGTTATATAACAAAAGACTTGTTTTAATTATGTTTAATTCAAAGGCAAAAAATAGTTTAAATTTAAGACTCCTAACAGCCTCAATGCATGGGAGTCCTAGATTATGTTTGTTTTCACTCTGAGTTGCACTCAATTGCAACATCCTCCAGAAAGGAGCCACTAAAGACCTTTTATGCTCGTTATAATTTAAAGAAGAGAGTTTAAACGTGTTGAGTTCTGACACTGCATCAAGTCAATTTCTGCAGCTTAGAGTCTTTATTTTTGTCTTTTATTTTCCGCCTTTGGTTACAGATTTTCAACATATTTTATAGTGGGATTATACTGATTAAAAATGAATGTTGTCCACAAAAGATAGTGTCTGGATTGGCTGCGTCTTTCTTTTCCAACCTCATTGAGCTGATTCATCACATAACATTTAAGCATATTACATTCTACAATTGTCCTGATTTCACCTTTGGAATGAGAAAGAGACACTCCTCCAATTTGTCACATGAAGTTTAGTTATCTCATTTGGGATAAGAGTTTTACTCAGCCGGTTATATATTGTCTTTGAATTGATTGCGTAGTTCTCTTTAAGAAAAATAATAATGATTCAGATATGAACAAGTTGTTTTACAAGCTAGAGATGATGGGCTAGTAGAAATAGCTGCATGGAGATTGTTTAAGATAGGAAGGGCTTTTGGAGCTTTATGCATATTGCTGAAATTACAAATTAAGTTTATTGGCTTTATGTGATTTTTTTGATCCAGCAGATGTCGCCTTTGAGCACCAGCATGAAACCAAAACAACTTGCGCTGCATTGTTGTGTTAGCATGCTAATGCTAGCGATCTTTATTATGCTCGTATCTTCACACTGCATGTAAATTTACCTGAAATGAGCGTGATCTAGAAACACAGTTAAGCAGTGAGTACAGTATGTTATTCTTCTTTTCTCTAGTCCCTCAATTAAACAACTTTTATACACGAGGGGAGGAGTCAGCCGGCCGTCCAGGCGATGTAAACAAACTGAAGATAGGAATCTGAAAGCATCACAGACAGTGGGACTCGGGTGTTACACCCATTGTAGACAGTCATGACTCACAGAGTTATTTTCAGAGGATATACTTGATTTCTATTGATATATCTATTATATATATTATATATTTCTAAGTGTGAAAAATCACATATAAAGCCATTAATTATTAATTTCTCTGCTGGTTATATTCTCATTTCATCATTTAGTCTGTAAAATCACAAAAAAGTGCTAATTTCAATTCCAATTCCAATTTAAGTCTTTTATTTTCTAAACACTAAAACACTCTTCATTCAGTATTGGATTGTAAATGACACAAAAAGAAAAGAAAATCCTTCCATTCAAGAAACTTTAACCCTTTCACTTTTTAAGTGTCCCACACTTTCCTAATAATTTCCTAATCGTTTATTGACAAAGATAAAAGGTATTTTATGAAGCTGTCATGAAAGGTGGATTCTTTTGACTAAACATTTGTAATTTTTTTTTTCTGATGAAACAATTACTGGGTTGATGAATTAATCATAACAAAAGTTTGGGACTCAAAGTCAGATTATCAGGTTCTCTACAGCTCGAAGTTTAATCTTTCTTACTTCAGTGTGTTGTGACTCACCTGATTTTTTTCAACTGTTTTATTTAAATTTCTCAATATAGTCACAAATAATAGTAACTCCTCCCCTCCCTCCTCCAACAAGCCCACCCAGATCAGGTCAAAATCAAACAGGGACATATGACACACACGCATACACACTCTCTCTCACACACACATACATTCAAAGCAATAATAGACAGTAAGAAGAAAAAAACTAACGTTACTTCAGATTCACTCTCTCAGGTGTCTGCGTCCTTGTGGCGTCTCTTCGACTTGAAACCAATTTCCACCAGCTCCTCCGCAGGTGCTGTTAATGAAGGTTACAGAGACAGAGCCACCACACACCCCCTCAGGTGTGTCATCAGTACTGACCCTGCTTCTCCTCCTACTAACCACTCCTACCGCTAAAGACCCTGAAGTGAATCCTCCTAACGCCTTATCATAACAGACATGGATCATCTTACTCAATTTTATGACAGCAAAATATAAAGAGGAGTGGAGTACCCCTGTTGAAAAGACCAGAGTAACTTTTAAACCTTTGCCAATACTTGCTGATCCCTGAGTTGAAATCTGTGAATAAATTCAGTTTTATGAACCCTAACTTGGCATACTGAATCCATTTCATCCTTCTCCGAGTAAGGTAAGAAATTAAAACTAATTCCAATCATGATCAGAGGATAACAGGCAAGCAGCCAGCACTTCAGAGAGCATCAGCCACCCTTTGACTTATTGGTTAAGAGGCCTTTTGTTTCTTAGGGCGGACGCCTTGTGTCCACTTAACCTCGTGACCGCGATGGCCGGCCTTGGTTAAACAGCGGTCTGTAAAGTGACTGAATGTGGCTGGGCAGGATTAATCAAGCCTAACGACACATCTGTAGGGAGGATCCTGGGGAGGAGGGAGCATCAATCACAGTCTGGAGCATCCCTCTCGCTGTACCTCTCTCTCTCTCTCTCTCTCTCTCTCTCTCTCTCTCTCTCTCTCTCTCTCTCTCTCTCTCTCTCTCTCTCTCTCTCTCTCTTTCTGTTAGCCCCCCATTCTGTATCTCTCATCCTCTCTCTCTCTCTCTCTCTCTCTCTGCTTCTCGTCAGCTGTATCGACCAGCGCTTTGGGCCCTTGGTAATTAAAAGACATTGATCTGCCTCAGCCGCAAGATGTTGGGATGTGATCATGCAGCAGTGCACACTGGGACCCTAAAAGAAAAGAGGTGTGCATCTCAATATGTTTCAACATAGTTGTAAATAGTATGTTCTTCAACTGTGCCATGTACATGATCATTGACTGTGTTTTCATTCCACATATCTCTGTCTAAGTCTTGTTTCTGCTTCATTTTGTATTCTTGCATTGATTGCATCTTTATTGCATTACATATAGCCGCCTCCTCTACACACTCATGGAGCTGTGTGCGGCCTAATCCTCCTCCAGTGACGCCATGAGGTAAAATATCTAAAGGCCTTCAGGTCGGCGCGCTCTTACTAAATTGGGATTGTGAAAGAAAACAAACCAAAACAACTGATTGATTGTATGCATACGCAAACCCAGGAGCTTATCTCCCCATGGACAACAACACACACTCTCACACACACACACACACACACACGTTCTCGCTCTTCTTTTATTCCATCTGAGTGAACACAGTAAATCTAAGTGCTGCTAGATTGCTAGCGCTGCACATTTTTCATCCTTCAGAGAGAAAGAGAGTTAACAGGGAGCCTTTGCCTGGGCTGAATGAGGACCGGCTTATACTATAAATACACCCCTGACTCTTTGCTCGGTCTGACATACTGACTCGGGTGACAGCGAAGGCCACACACATCCTCCATGCTTGATGGACTTTCATGAAAATATGTCTCTAATTTCTGTTTATTTGTGGAGTGTATATTTTCCTTGTGATGTGATAAACTGCAGCAACCTTTCATTTGATGCTTGTGACTGAGTTATACTTCTTGAGTCTGAGCCCCCACCTCTCCCCGACTCTGTCCCTCATAAATCCGATGAATTACCCAGTATGCCCCCCTCTTTCCTCCATTAACTTCCCCCCTCCTCTTTCTCCAAATCCATCCCATCTCCCCATCCCTCCCTCTTCTCTCCTTCCTGAACGAGTGATCAATTAAGGCCCTGTCCAGCTCCCACTGCGCGTCAGCACTTTCCCTCCTCCTCTCTGATCCCCTCGCTCTGTCATTTTTTTTCTTCTTTTTGGGTGTCAGACCAGACAACACAGAGAGAGAGAGAGAGAGAGAGATAGTGTGCAGACCAAAGGTTGTATATAAAAAAAGGGAGAGTCCTTTATTTTCAGGATGAGAAATGCTCTGTACAGATGGGAGTGTTTTTGTGTGTCAGTATGTGTGCTGGAAGGAGAACATCCTTCGGCAAAACACCCGGGGAGGAAAGTTTACTTTCCACCTGTCAGGAGAGTTGACATTAAAGAGAGGAAGAGACAGAAGATGAAGAGAGGTAAGGAGATGAATCGTACAGTTGTCTCTAGATTTAATGGACAAGTTCACAGTGAGAAATAAAATGTGTAGAGACACTAGATCAGGAAACATGTGTTCAGTCCTATTGACTCTTTATATGTTGAATGAATTAAGCTACCAGTTGTTTGAATTTTGTAATTGTCATCAAATCCCATGAAGATCACAACAACATGTATATTGATCAAACAAGAATTTCTCCTCAATCAGAACCCTAACACGTCTTCTTCATGTGCTTTAGTCGTTTCTACTCTGCACTGTAAATGTGCTGGACGAAGGTCAGGCAGATCATAATCTTAAGTCAACACAAAGGGAGAAAAGGCTCTAGATAGTTTGTAGTTCAATAAACCAAACACTGTCGTCTCTGGCTCAGAATGCACCAACAGTATATGGTGCCTTATTAAAGCAGTGTTCTGGAGAAACCTGTTTTTGTAGCTTGTTCGCACATGGCGAGGTGAACCCTGACTTTAAAACCTCCCACATAAACATCCTCAGACAAAGCAAAGTTTATGTCCAAACATATCCTTTCCAACATGTAGGTGCTAGCTTGAGGCTGGAGGAAAGAGCTAGAGGCTGATATGACACTTAGCAGTAAGAATTTTTAAAAACGATAAAGAGCAGATGACAGAAGAGGAGTGAGATCTGTCTGTGTGTTAATATGCACAGTCTCACATCACTGCCCTATCAACATGGAGTCATTTTCAAAAACTATAAACTTGCATGAGCCAAATTGTTACTGTTCATGATAACATTAAAATGGGAACTCTTGTTTGTAAAAAAAAAAAACAACCTTGGTAAATCACCATACATGTTTTAATCCACACCTGAAACTGGTCTCAAATACTATGTTTTCAAATGTTTGTCATGAACTACAAATCCAGGCAATGTCCAGCTGTGTTTTTTTAAACATGTATTTCTAGCCCAATTATAAGGATAATGTCTTTATCGGGAACACATGGGTATTTGAATGTGTTCCACATACAGTGTAGAAAAGGACTGAAAAACTTCACATCATAGGTTTTGCTTTTTTTTTCATGGGATTTGCAGACAATGTAAAAAATAAAGATTAAATCCAGCCTTATCCTGTTCTCTGTTGTTAGGTTTTTAGTATTTTCTCCTCATACAGTCAGGCATACTGAGGACTAACATCTGTTTGTCTCTGCTTACAGATTGAATGCATGGTTAAATAAGTATCTTACTTTTATCTGCCACAAAAATGCAAAGAAACTCACTATAGAGGTGCACAATACAGTCATGTTTCTCTCCAGTTTTGTTTTCTATGACAAAAAGACTCATGTGGGCTGTGTAAGACGTACACAACAATCTAACTAAGGGTACTGTTTTCCAAATAGCCTGCAGAAAATCACATCGGAAGGACTGTTTTTCTCCTGATATTTCTTTATTTTCACTGTCACTAGCCATGCCCAGAAGCTGTTACCACATGGTTCTGAATTCTGAAGAGAGTGTGACGCTAGCTGTGAAGCACAGAGAGACTCAGCGTTTATACTGAGAAAAAAATGTGAAGGGTACACTTTCCTGCTGCATTCTGTTGCTTATAGGTATTTTGAATGACTCATCTTTCTGTGATCACCTTACTGTGTCCAAATCACTTCCTTAGTTTTTAACTATTTGACTGTATACTTATTAATTCACTCTATATGGAGCTATAAAGATGTAGACTTGTTGTAAAATGTGTCATTGTCCTGGGACGTCATGCTCAGGGTAGGCAGGTGGATCGCTCTTATAGTGTTATAATCTATTCACTTCAAACGGAGAGTCTGTTAGCTACAGCATGAAGTGTGGCGAAATGCTAATGCTAACTGTTGTCTAACTGTACAGACAATAAAATACATTGTTTGAACTTGAATAATGTCCCAATATCCCTGCAGATTCTACATTCTATTGTCTTTACAATAACTGATCAATGACAAGAGTTTTGTATAGTGTGTATGACATCATGCCAGCATCTGAGATCAATCAGCAAAGCCTGCCATGTAAATATGATGAACACAATGTGGACTTTTTTTAAGGATTGTTTTTTTGGGGCTTTATTTTGATAGAGCAGCTTTAGAGAGACAGGAAGTCGAGGATGACATGCACTAAAGAATGTCAGGATCAGGCGTTGTACCTGCAATCATGGGGCACCTACTCTACCAACTCAGCTATACCAGTGCCTCAGTGTGGAAAATGTAAAGAGTGCTATAAGACTACTGCATAGATCTCAGGCAGAACTCAGAAGCTCTTCACCGTAAAGGTTGTGGACAGTAAGCCGATCTCTGTTGATCGCTAATGGCTTATTTGCAATACAACTTGAATTTGTTACGGTGGGACAATCATCCTGCAGGACATTTGAGGATTTAAATTTGACACATTTTGGTCGAGCTAAGCTGGGCTAACCATGCATTCATTGGACCTGCAGCAGAGACACAAGACAGCTGTTTATGTTGTCTGAGTTCAATTCAACCAAACCCAAATTAATTAAGACCAATTTGACTAAGTGGTTTCCATTTTTGTTCAGACACTCTTCTGATGAAGTTTAAACTATAAATGTAAACCTTCTAAATCAGCCCATTAGAGACTGAGGTCACACCCAGGGAAAAACAGCTCTATTGAAGTCTAGTGCTTCATTTAAGATGTGAAATCACTCTTAAAAACAGACAGCACTTTGATGGGATTTTGCTTCTCCATCCAGATTCTTTTTTTTAATGATCTCCTCCCTTTTTTGTGCCGCTCATGTTCTATTAAACACGCCCCATTTCGGTGTTTAAACCTTAAGTATGAAATCCAGTGAGATCTTTAGGTCTCTCAGGACCTGCTGGATACATTTAGGTAACCGTTCAATGAGTAATAATTGGTTCAAGCCTTCACTGTGGTTGCAGCTTCTGGCCTTTGCATCGTTGATGACCAGTAAATTCAGTTTCTCGTGGTGATAAGCACAGCACACTGTGCAGCTTTTGATCTCTGCTGATTGTTGCAGATTGGCAATCATCTGAAAGAGATAAGGCCTGGGACATTTAAAGTGGTGTGTGAGCAGAGGAGGACTTCATCTTTTAAAAGCTGATTAGTCTTAAAGATTATCCAAGGTCTTTTCAATTTGACGGTCATTAGATGAATGTGATAGAATGAGAGATGAGATCCTTTTCCTCTCTCCTGCAGCGTTCCTGATCTTCAGTCGGCTTTTTTTAATATCCCAGTTCACAACTTTAAACATTGTCAAGAGGGATGAAGAGTCATTCCTTCTGAGCCGCCCTTTGTCTTCTGTCCTTGTAAAAGTCTCTTTCTTTTCTGCCCAGGCTCTCCTCCTCACATCACTTTAAATGATGCAGTCTTTTCTCGACATGTGGGAGTGAAGGACTGCCTTCCCTGCTTGAGAAAATAAAACAGCCAAATGTCTGTCTTATTTATCTAGCCCTATCTAACGCCTGTCTCTTTCTATCTCTTATTCTCTTACTCTCCCTTGCTTTAGGATCTTTCTTACCAGAAGTTTCATTACACTGATAGTCTTTTCTTGATTTTTCCTTTTAGAACTTATCGTTCCCCTAATTTCGGGGGGGAAAGTCTCTGAGTAAACAACAAAAAGCCATTCCACCTTGTCAACATTCTGATAAAGCACCCTACTCACCTTAATCTCATTTTCAGTTCACTTTGTATCCCCTTCCTCATCCGTTTTTCTGCTTTTATTTCACTTACAAAACAGAATGTATTGCAAAGAAAACCATTCGTATTTTTTTTCCAGTTCTCTCCCGATCGCAAATCACAGCACCAACAGTCCACTGGAAATTGTTTTCCCTTGGATCCAGGCCCACTCCATCCTTCATCCTAAATTTCATTCCCTTCATCCTTCCCTTTGCGCTTTCTGCTCTTTTATTTTTTTTCTTTCCTGATTTCTTTTCAGACAAAGTCTTTTGACATAGCCTCCACAAAGTTTGGAGCAGACATGAGGATGGAGATGGTGCATATGATGTTGAAAACGCTGAACGCTACCAGACACAGACGGTCGATTACAGCGCCCGCAAATTTCCACTGGTCGGCCATGCTTTCAGTCTCGTCCTGCTCCCGGAAACGGTCCGCCATGTAACGCACCTCCTCCAAGATGGCCTGCAGCTGGGGGTCTCCGATCCCTGTGGACGAGCAGACTCCGAGCCCCCCTGGTCCCCCTCCAAAGCCGCCTCCACTGGACACCGTGCTGGGGCAGCCTACAGTATCCATATTGGGTGTAGGAGGCGGCGGGGAGCTGCAGAACTGAGACGAGAGGTGGGGGGGCGGGCTTCCTGCTCCTCGCCCTGAGGAGAGGTTATTCCTCTGGAGAGCCTCGGAGAGCATCGACGGGTCGTCCATGCTCTGGAAGCCCATGTAGAGAAGGTTCCCGTTGTTGTTGGCGCTCGACTGGGCGTGGAGGTGAGGGTGCCCGGCATGGAGGGGCCCCGTCTGTAGGGGACCCAGGTTCTGTGGGTGCAGCGGGTGGAGGGTGGGATCTGGAGGGTTCGGGATGCTGCCGCTCTGGGAGCCCGATGAGCAGCGCCGCAAGTGGGGGGCGCATGGGGGGCGCTCCGGGTCGTCGTTCTCTCCTGGTCGCTTCATGCGCAGAAACCAGGCCACCCACTGCAGCAAAACCAGCTGAACCTGTACAAGAGAGAGAGACACAAATATTTGTAAAAATCAAAGTTCTGGGTAAAAGCAGAAAATGAACCAAGAAGCAATGGAAATCACAAGTTGCTTCAAAGCATTAAGAGCCACCCACATATTTTGACCTTCACATGATGCTGGTTAAGCTTGCTGAACATTTCATTGTCAGATTGACGTTACTGCTGTTTCCAACCTCGCGTCTTCTTTTATTTTTCAGCTGCACTTGTGCAAGTAGAAGTTTGAGATTCCTCCGGGAGGCTCGGTTTAAGCGCCTCAGGCAGAGAAGGTTTTGGAGCTTTAAATGAATTTCCAGCAGAGAGGACACTTAAAAAGACAGCATTAGCTTCAGACAGTGGAGTCACTGAGATTGACTGTAAGATTACGGTCTCTTTACGGTATACGATAATGAGCATGCAGGAATGCTTCAGTAAAGTGCAGATTTAAGATAAAGAGAAAATGAAGCTGCTGTTTACAAATTCAAATCTTGTTTTCTTCTGCTCTGTTCTCCCTGTTGCTCTCCTTGTCTCCTTGTCTCCTTGTCCACTTCAGGGGAAAAGACTACATGTCCCTTGAAAGGGCAAACTGGCCTAACAGCATCCAGATGGGTGTCTGGTACCTAACGAGAGGCTAATATCCAGATGACCGCTCAATCAGTCTCCTCAGAGTGTTTGTTAATCGGCCAGGTAAAAGAGCTTGTTGTTGTTAATGCTGGTGATGCTGTGTTTGTCCCTCGCTCCAATTATGATCTCTACTGTTTCGCTGCACTCATCTGAACCACATCAATTATCTTGGTAATTGGCCATCGAGTGTATGAAGAGGCCATTCATCAACAGAGCATCCTTGTCATGTATCAATACAAAGAGCACCTGCGCTCTTATGCAGCCAAGATATATTTAAATGTATTGATAAATGTAGACCTGCCAATTTTACTCATTTGTTTTATTTACATTTCACAAAAAGAAGAGAATCCTCCCACGCAGCAAGACCAGTTATTCTCTAAACCAACTGTGCATAATCTTTATATTTCATGAGACTATTTGAGACCCCTTTTTTCACATTTTACTATTTCATATATATTCACTTTAGAGAAGAAAAAAAAACTTTTCTTAAAAGGTCCTGGTGCTTTTTTTTAAGCATGAAACAGAAGTCAAGGAACATAAGACGAGGGAGTCAAAAATCAAATCCGCCCACACATCCAGAGCTCTTTGAAACACTCTCCTGTTGGAGTCAGTGCCGAGGCAGACTGACACCGCCTCGATGAGTCATAGCTAAGGAAGTCAGAGAATGAAGAGAGAGAGGGAGCTGACATGCAGGAGCACAGGTAGAGGAACAGATGAATGAAATGTGTGAATATACATATATGTATATATATATTATTTAATTTAAATGATCAACATACGCATACTTATTTATGTAAATACTGTAATGACATCTTAATTGACTCATCTGTCACGTAACTGCATTTTACTTATCATGTTACTTCAGCATTTTTTGCACTATTCACCACTGCACTGTTTCATATTTAATCTTGTAAATATTAGTCTTTTCTTATTGTGTTTATTGTTGATATTTAATGTTGTACCTGTACATAAGAGAGCACAGTTCACCAAAGTTAAATTCCTTGTGTGTGTAAGCATACCTGGACAATAAATCTGATTCTGATTCTGACTCTTCAAACGGCAGAGCAGAAGAGGGAGTGGATCTAATGCTGATATCCTTAAAGTAGTAGATCAAATATGAAACAGGGCGACCAGCAGTTAACCGGGCATTACACGCGGGAAAGCATGATGTATGTATCTATAATGCACCAGAGGTTAGAATGAAGAGTTGGAGCTCAGCCTCACCCATTTGGGCATGTTTCCTCCATTTGGATCGTGGTGATGATACTGCAGAACGATGACTGTGGCGATGACTGACATCCCCACGATGATCATTATACTGGCAAAGTACTGACCTGGGTGGAGGAGAGAACACAGCAGTGTTATGAATCATTTTGAAATCTTTTCACTGGCACACACCATTCCCCACTCTTCACCTCTATTCTCTACAAGGTTATCTTAAAGAACACTTGTGTGATTCACCAGTATCCGTGGGAGATCATTTCATTTCAGCAAGACGGTCCTTCAAAAGAGAGAAAAGCCAATAATGCTGAAGAATACCAAGAATTTGTGAAATGTCTCGGATCTGTGACCTCCTGCTAGTAGCTGCATTGTGATTTCTGATGCATTACACAGATTTGAACAGCATCAGGGGAGATAATTATTCAAAAAAAAAAAAATGCTGAAGGCAGCTCTGTGATGATTATGAACCCGCTCTTTTATTTATACATTTTAATGACCAGAATTTGTGTCTTTAGGCAAAGATGGCCACGCAACTGAGTCTGACTTCAAATTTGAGCCCAGCAAACATAATTTCCGGCAGGGCGCCCGCAATCAATTTAGCCAATTAAGTTTTAAGGGAAACAGATGGCTAAAATAGATCAGGCTCCACTGAGGTTTTTTGGGGGAATTTGCAGTTCTACCATTTGTGTAGCAATGTGTTGTCTTTTGTGTAGTGTCTACACATCCAGATTCTTTTTATAGTTAGTGGACAAGATTTCTTTACGCACTAGGGAGTTTGAGCCAGGAGAAGTCTGTCGCTTTAAGACTTCAGAGAGAAATATCTACACTATGAGATGAATGTGCAGCAGATTTTTTTACAGACATTCATGGTCCATGAGGATGAATTCTAATGACTTTGCTGATCCCCTGACGTTTTTTTTATTGTGGCATCATGAGGTCTATATTAGCAGTTTTTAAGTTGAGTAACCATTGACATAGAATATGGAACACATGTTCAGGTTCTCCAGAGAGATGTGAATAATCCTGCTTCGACCACTAGCTGGGTCAAACATCCTGGGACCAACTGAAAAATGTAACACAAGACCAAATATTGATTGTAAATGCCAAATGGAAACCATGAAAAAAAGAAAAACCTCTTGACTTCATATTGACAATTATTCAAAGTTCTTACATTGATTAAAGTGTTTGACATAATTCCAGTTACATAACCTGCTCATTAGGAACCATGTGAACACGTACCTATGAGAGGGACGGAGTCAGATGTGGCCGGCATGATCTCTGCAACCAGCAACATGAAGACGGTGAGAGACAGCAACACTGTGATGCCTGCAGATAAGACAGATACTCAGATAGAAGAACTCCATCGGGTTCATCTTGTTCCCTGCCTGAGAACTCGTACCTTCTCTTTACTTCTTTCACATCAGTGTGTTTTTTTTATTTTTTATAAATGGTCACACTCAGGTTGGATTTATGTAAATGACCAGCGAATGCTCATACAGTGAATTACATCTTGACATTCTGTAACCATACAGCAAAAAAAAGCACTTCTGCACAGAAACTATAGCCATCAGCAACACACACACACACACACACACACACACACACACACACACACACACACACACACACACAGCCCATACTGCTCTGAAGATCATCTCCATCTTCATTAGTCCACACAGACAGAATAAAGGAGTGCTTTGCTGGCATAACTCAGAAGCATTCAATTAAAACTCTTGGGTCTAGAGATAAATTATGTACACCCTTTAAGGATATTAAGAAAATTAAAAAAAGGCCTCTTTATGTTGTCATTGTTCTCAGAAATGGGGCACTTATTCTGTTTAAAAGCCGTCTACCTCTGACCCTGAAAGCCCGGCCACTTTGTCCCCGCGTCTCCTCCTTCAGAGCAGTGACAGAGTCTTTTCCTGGAAGGCAGTGTGTAAGCTCTCTCTCCCTGCAATCAATTCACTAGCCTTAATTACATCAATAGGTTAATTGGTCGTGTGTAAAAGGCTTTGCATATGAGAAATGCTGCGTAATGCATCCTGTATTGGAGATTAAGGATATGCTTTGACAAAGCTGTCGCTGCGTTCATCAGAGTCCCCTCCCACTTCCACAGTGAGTCACATTGATCTCCGTTTTGGGTGTTTTAAGTGACAATTCAGACTCTTACAGTACAAATCAAAATGCAGTCATGTAAGGTTTAAAATATGGCTGCAGTAAAAGATTTTCTATACTTACCTGCTGTTGATTTTCTTGATTAATTTATTAATTGTTTTGTCTGTAAAAAAGGCTTTTAGTCAAATAAGCTTACACTTTTTATCTTAATTTTTGTACAACCAAAAGTCTTAAACCAAAGATCTTCTATTCACAAATACGAAGCAAAAGGAAACTGTTTGTTTTGCCTGATGAAGTCTAGTACCTAAAATATTGGGAATAAATGTATTCTTGCCAGTTAGAGAGTGTGCAGGGGTTTGCTTACAGTTTTGATGGACACATTTCTTCGACACGCCTGTCTTTAAATATAGATGTGGTAAGTATTTTTCGATGTCTCCAGAATCTTCTTCAATCTGTGTAGTAGTCCTAACAATCCTGATGAGGACAACATTACCCATCTTGTGCTCTAAACAGCCTAAAACAGACATTATAATCTGTTTGCAGCTGCTGTTAGCTCGCAGCACGGCTTCCAGCCTATCATCGTCTGATTTGATCGACTCCCATCTTTCCCTCTTCATCCGTCCTCTGTCTCTTTCCTGTCCTCCTCTCGCATCCCTCTTGGATTCTTCTCCTGTCTGATCTTCCTTTTCACTTCACTCTTCCCTCACCCATCCGTCTCCGCTCCTCCTGCTCACATTCATCATCTCTTTATTTAATCCCTCTCAGCTCCACACCTTCTCCTCCTGCTTCTTTCATAACACTTCTTTGTCTTTAGTGACACTCCTTCATGGAGACATGTCGCTCATCCATCACGTTTATTCCCCTTACACTTTTGAAGTTGGTGTGTGAGGGAAAAAAAGTACATGCGAACTAGCAAAAAAAATAAGCTAGTTCAGGAAGTTAATCCGGGCTTCCCCCCTTTACACACCTGACATTTCTCATTCTCCACAATCACCACCACATGCAGCCTCCAAGTTATGCAGTCTATTTAAGCTGCAACATTCCCCCTCTCTCCCTCTGCTCAGTCAGTCACAGAGCTGTCCTGTATCTGCACTGTCAGCCCCAGAACCAACCCAGCATCCACCTCTGATAGGGGGTCAAGATATTCTCATTACTCCCCAAACCTCTCGTGTGAATCATAAGGGTGAGGTCAAAAGGTCAAAGACTCCAAACTCCAGATCTGAAAAAACATTTATATCCAACAAGAGCTGTCAGACTTAAACTGCAGTTTCTTTAAAAGCCTCAATCCCCCAAAGACTCCTACATTAAAATTCAGAACAGCAGAAAAACATGTTTACTGCCTAGTCAAAAGAATGGTGAGAGTCTTTTAAAACACATCTTGAGAGTTGGTAATGAAACAGGCTGAAATTACTCACGCCTCTGTATGAGCTACAGACCATCTGGAAGAAGATTGATTATTTCTACATAGGTATATTTAATGTCTGTGACTGCTGCCATATGGTCTGTATAAAATGTGATTTACACTTCACACACTGGAAGTGCCTTTATTTACTGTTACAGAACATTACTTATGCATGTAGGATGTATTGCTTTGTGTAAGAGGGCCACTGAGACCGACACAAAATGAAATGTTCTTGCTGCAGCTTAAAGCTTATTATGTTTACAACTGTACAGGGGATGTGTTTGTTGGCTAAGCTGGTGGAGTCGATAGTCTCCTAACAGGAAGGTCGGGGGTTCGATTCTCCTTGGGCACTTAACCCCAATTTGCTCCTACTGCTTTGCCGGCGGCATGTGAGTGTGTATGAATGAGATCATTTACTTCTGATGGTCACTTTACATAGTAACCTCTACCATCAGTGTGTGAATGGATGGGTGTGACCTGCGGTGTAAAAGAGCTTTTGAAGACTAGAAAAGTGCTCTACAAGCTCAAGTCCATTTATCATTTAACTTGTGATGATACCATTATTAAAATAATTAAGGCTGCATTCACTCTCAGTGACAGGTCGGTGTCCTGAGCTGTGTGCCCCCGAAACTTTTTTTTAAAGATTCTTTTGGGGGACTCTTGTGCCTTTAATGGAGAGATAGGACAGTGGATAGAGTCAGAAATCAGAGAGAGAGAGAGAGTGGGGAACGACATGCGGGAATTCCTTTTGTACATTTTGTATTTTTTATATTTTATATTTTACATTTTTAAATTCTATTTTATATATTGTAATAGCTTCTTCTACTGTATTATTTAAGTTGTTGCTAGTTCAGCTTTATTTCCTTGTTAATTGTTTAGCACCAATACACCAAGTCAAATTCCTTGTATGTGTAAATAAACCCTGATTCTGATTCTGATTCTGATTCTGAAATTAGCCACAGGTCAGATTTGACCTGTGGCTAAGAGGGAGAGTTTTGTCTGAGTGACGATCCGCCGCCAGCACCGAGGGGCCACGCGGCCTCGGGTGCGGGGATCTCAACCGGTAATGATCCTTCCGTCTCGTGGTCCAACGCTGTGTTTGTTTTCCTCTTAAACAGGCCAATGGTTGGTCAAACTTGTAATGTGTTAATATTTGGCACCTTGAGGATTAGGTATAGTATTTTCATTTTTTTTAAAAGATGATGATAATGTTTGGCATAACTCAAATCTAAGGTGACTCGGAGGTCAGAAGACCAACAAATGTACTTAATATTGGGAACTGAGAAACAATTGACTGAGCACATTAATGATGATGAAGGGGAGATAGACTTCAAGATTGTGCATCATGTTTCATCTTGATTAACGTCCACTGAGGCTCACATTCCATGGCCTCCATGGCTCTGTGTTTTTTGTGCCAAGATCTGAGTCAAAAAAACTAAACAGCCCGCTTCAAACCGGTATGTCTTTTTGCACCGCCTGAAACTGCTTCTTGTCCAACTATTACCTCCATCACCGCTCTTTTTTAAATTCACTTACCCAGCGAGATCTTCTCCCCAGAGTCAGCTGGCAGCACAAAGATGAGCAGAGTCATGGAAGACAGCAGCACGCAGGGAATGAGCAGGTTCAGGGCATAGTAGAGCGTCCGCCTCCGGATCGTCACAACAAATGTCACATCCGGGTACGGCTCTTTACAACAGTCATAGAAGGCCTCGTTTCTCGCGCCCGGAACACCTTCAAAGAACAGCAACAGAAAAGAGAGAGTGACTCAGCTGCTCTGCATGCTGGATGCTTTAGATGTTTTTTCCCCCTTTAATCACCGATCAGGTCCCACTCTCCGTTGGGCATGTAGCCCGAGATGTCGGCATCGTTCATCTGAAGGTCCAGCAGCCAGCCGTCATACGTCCAGGAGCCGAACTTCAGCTCACACCTCTGGATGTCGAAGGGGAACCAGCGCACGTCCACGTTGCATGTACTCATAAAAATTCCTGACAGAGAGACAAAGACAGACAAAAGAACAAAGAGGCCGAGAAGTCAAAGCTCCACAATCAATTGATTAAACGACAACATTGACCCCCCCTGAAGCCCCCCGCGGCCCCCCGCACAGAGGTGACAATGAAAGGATGTATCAGAGGGACCACTTGTGATGTGCAGAAATCCTGCGCTGAATAATAAGCTGCCTGTCACAAAGAATCTTTCATTCACTTCATATCTTTGCAGCCTTAGAGACTGACTTCTTAACTCAGCAAAGGTATATTTTTTATACACAACACTGCATTCCAAAAAAAAAGGAGCGCACACTGAAATTGGATTTTCATGAACATTGTGCAAGTCTACAGGCAGTTTACTGTTTCTGAAAGTGAGTCTGCAGAGTAACACTAGATTAGAAAGAAAGTCCCATCAAAGATATGTTTTAAAAAACGGCAAATCATCTTTTTCTGTAAGAAGTAGATGCTGTCCGCCTTGTTGGTTTAGCAGTAGAAGGAAATCGTCAACAGTGACACTGAAAATGAGATTGTGCACCGTGTCCTAATCAGAATAACACTTTTGTTATGCGAAATAAATGCACGCATAGGCAAGCACAAAAAAAACAAAAAAACACATGAAGACACACATGCAGCAGACATCATCCTCCTCCTCCTCCCCGACTGAGAGTCACAATGAACCTCACAGTGGACTCTAACAAACTCTGGCCCTCAAAGTAATTACTGAAATAAACGAATCAAGTCTGTCGAGACGTTTCGGACGCACACAGAAGCGAAATATCAATGAAGCCTTACAGCCCTCAAAGACTTTCATTATGAGGTCACCGACATGCAAATCAGCCTTCAGAGCGCAGGAGAAGAAGAGAAAAGAGGTTAGCAGGTTGGACTCAAAGCAGAGGAATGACGCCAAGTTAAGTTGAAGAAATACATTTTTTGAAACACTCCCTGCCCTCTCAGATAAAGTTACTGTCACCAAGCTTATATAAAGGGTTTCCTTTGCCTCATGGGGATGATGTCTTTATAATTACAACCATTATGAGCTCCTGAGTGACTCATTGAGGCTGATAGTGTGAAAGCGGTTTCTTCGCAGTCCACTGATCTGTGTACATTCATGCAATCTGCTTTTCACAGATATCCTTGAAAAAACGCTTACAAACAAGACACTTGGATCTTTCCACAATATCCCTCCCTCTCTCCCTCTCTCTCGCGCTCTTGAAGCATATTTACGAACATAAAACTCCATCATTTGGAGAACCAATTCCAAGACGGCATTACAACCCCGCAGACACCATCCACTGTTTGCAAATGTTACCAAATCGAGATATGACCTCAAACACCTGTTACACCGTATCTCTTGTTTTACCAAAAGACCCAAACATCACAACAGAACGGCTTCTGCAGCTACAGGAGGCGTTCTTCAAACAGTGGTGTGCAGCAGCAGACACCTGGCATCCTCCACCTTTTGAATTATTCACTGTGTGTCAAAGCATCCTGCCACCCACAGACCTGTTGCCTTTTATTTACTGACAGTAACAGGAAGAAGAAAAAAAAGACCACTGGAACTGCAACCTGGCATGTGCGAGGGAGGCAGAAAAAAAAGCTGGTTTGCTGCTCATTCTTCAACTTTTTTTCTGAACGCCAACTCTCCTGCTTTCTTCCTCATTATTCCCTGTGTTAAAACCCTCTCCTCCTCGGCACTGTCTTTTTTTATATTCTCCCTAATTGGAATGTATCCAGATTGCAGCATTAAGGAGCTGTATTTACATTCAGCAGAGCCCTATTAATAAACATGGCCACTGAGAGGGAATTGATAGGGTTAGCTTTTCCTCGACTCAACCCCCCCACTGGCATCAGGGTTTTCATCTCAATCTGCAAAAATCTGACGTATAAAGAGACGACTACAAAAAGACATGTGGAAACACAGGGGATTCGACTTTCACAGGCTTGCACAGGTCTTGCTATTTATAGGTATCGCTGGGAATCTGTAACCAGTGAGTAACCAGGGATCCTGTTTTATACTAATAAAATATTAATGTCAATGTACAAACAAGGGCGACGTGCAGAGACTGCAGAATGAGATGCTGCACCGTGGGGAGCGAGGGCGAGTGATAGGAAGGGGGAGCGAGGGATGAAAAAAACGAGGGCATGAAGGAGAAGAGAGTCACCTGGAGGCAGATACTCGGCGTAGCCACTGGAGTTCACCAGCACGTTGGTCTTAAAGGTGGAGTCAAAGTCATCATCTGCACTGAGGAAGGACAGAAGGGGGAGTGACACTACTTGTTGGAATGTAATGTGAATGCAGGGGGTGTGTGTGTTCAGGTGTGTGTGTTCAGGTGTTTGTGCGTGTTTTACCTGTTGTACAGCAGGATGTCCGGCGTCCACACCTGATCGGTGGTGAAGCGGAGGTTTTTTACGCCGGGATGTTCGCTCTGGTTCCACTGGAGGTAGTGGTCGAACCAACTCTTAAACACACACACACACACACACACACACACACACACACACACACACACACACACACACACACACACCACACACACACACACACACACACACACACACACACAGATACAGTCTTAATCCCACTGGTCTACACAGACAGACCCCTCTGATGTTCACTTTAGATCTTCCCTTCCCTCCCACAGTCTGGGTCCGTAATCAGTTCGGGTGGATCCATAACCGAGACGCAACCCCAACTCTGAGTCTCTCCCTCGCCCGATCAACCGGCCTGAAAGACGACGGCCATCTCACACCTACACCCCTCTCATACACATACATCTGTCAATATATCTTACAATTCACATTAAATGTTCAAACTAATATTGTTGTGGCGTGGTCCTTGCTAGTGAACGGATGCTCACAGGTATTTACAGTCAACACCAAAAACTACAAGGAATTGCCATAGATTTGCATTTTTCAAGGTGAGAAACTGTGAGAAAGTGTTATCGGCTGCATAAGGAAGTTCAAATGAAAGGCTTCTCGACACATGTTTCTCTCTGATGTCCTTACCATCCGTAGCCATATGTTAGTGGTGAGGACCTGGTTCTTCTCATCCTGCAAAACATTAAGACAAAAAACAATACATGTCTCTTTTCGTCACAAATTGTTCTCTCTGCAAACTTGCAAGGCAGCGTGTTAAATCTTATTTTGCATCCCTGTTAAGAGATTTAAATTGTTACATTTTTTTACATCCATGTCATATAAATTCTCAAAGCTGAAAAGGATGTCTCTTTTATTACCAATATTAAAGCTCCTCTGAGGAACTTTAGGATTGTGTCAGTTTTCAGCACCCTTCAAAGCGGCGCCTTGTATCTCTTTGCTGATCCAGTCCCGCGCACGTATACGCAGCTTTTCTAACAAAAATGTCATCCTGCTGTGTTTTGGCAGCCAACTCATCCCTTACTGAGAATGTTAGTGGATAACTGGATATTGTAAACAAAGGCTGTCTCTGCAGTGTGCTGTAAATCCCTTTATCTGTCACCCCCCCTGGCAGGTTAAACACATTCAAAAATGACTATATCAAAATAATCAGTCTTTGTACTGATGGTCCTGTTTGCTTTTGTGTGTCCTATTGAGGTGATTAATTTTTGTCTGTTTCATAATGAAGTACAAAATCATGGTTTCAGGCATATACAGAAAAATGTATTAAACACCAAATGATCATTTCTATAAAACCAATTAACAAACACACTAGGGGCTGCAGACGCTTTTTTTTTATCAATGTGTCATTAAATAATGACTCTTACAATTTTAACTTGTAGATGTTGAACATTGTGGTTTAAGAAACACTCACCACGTCCATGATCTGTATCAAACTGAGGGAGAAGACCACGGTGAGAGGGTGGGAGTCATTGCCCACTGGCCGCTCCATCCGGTTGTAGTCCTTCAGGAGGTTCTTCAGCAGGTTCCTCTGGTGAGGACCCTGCAGTGACACTTAGAGAGGCACAACAACAGTAGTTACAAGTTGACCTGTGAGAAACGAGCAGCTCCACAAAGTGATGACCTTTAACCTCAAATACAAAGAGATGGGCTGAGTCTGTTTGTGCTGTGACGGATTCAGAGGTAAACAAGCTTACATTTAGTCCTCTATCATCCTCTTTCATCCTCTTTCATCTGACTCTTATTCGTGTAAATATTTATTGTACCTATTATTGAAATCTTACTTACATTCCTATTCTATTTGATTGTTATTTTTATTACTATATTTCTACTGCTATATTGTATATTTTGGAGAAACTGTAACAACAGAATTTCTGAAAGTATTTCTGATTTCTGATTTAATAAAGTATTTCTGATTTCTGATTCTGATTCTGATTCTATGCATGTCAGTGTTTCTAATTACACAGCTGAAACTTACAGTGCATGGCATTACAGCATTTCAGTAAGAACACTCACATTTTTTTAACTTCTAAAACCACCTCTGACGCATTTTCAGTCTTTGCCTTGTGTCTCCTTTGTCTTAGATTTCATTTTCATCCGGCCTGGAGCCTGGAAACAAATACCTTATAATGTATATCATGCTCATACGTCAGAGGAAAACCTCCAATAAAAATCTCACTACATGAGAGATGTTAAAGTCTGAGTCAGGCAGAAATGAACGCTGAATATGTAAACCCTCAGGAACTGAACTTTCTTATACATCAATACATCCACAAGAAAAATGTAAATGTAAGAAGATTTAATGATGAAATCAGCAGAAATAAAAAAAAAATTTTTAACACTAATCTTGACTCTTATGGTCTAACCTTTGCTGATGAATTATTCGGGAGAGGTCGAACTCAGTCAGAGTCTTTTACATTGATATTAAAATATACAGAAAGAAATCTATAAACAGGAGAAGTATTCTGAGAGTGCACTCAGACAAACAAACAGCTATCTAATTAGACCATAAGAGATATAACTGGCACTAATGAGAGTATATTAGGGCTGTATTAAATGCTCAGAGGGACTCCATGTAACGTGTTGGATAGAGAAACAAATAAGTGTCAGCAGACTTGACTGTATACCACAAATGTCAGAGCAGTTTGAAATGTGAAGGTCAGAGCTGCTTCTTCTATGCGTTAGTTAATCAGTCAGGCCTTATCCAAACTCATTATTTTTTGTGTTAAACTTGTTTCATCCTTCTATTTAAGCCAGGCAGACATAAAGGGAACTGACTTTCAAATATGTAGGATTTCTCTGGTTGTTGCTTTAGGGACGCAATTTGAAGATTTCATTCAGTTGGATGTTATGCAACATAAATAACGCTCTGGAAAGAAGCTGCTGAACATGGTGTGGATGAGTTGTTTTCATAAAATGTGGAGGAGTTCTTATTTTCTGACTTCTGAATCTGAGTTCAGGGAGTTTGCAGCAATCCGGTCTGAAACTTTTGCCTTATCCGTCCTCTTATCTCTTATTTTCTAGACTTTTTTTTTCTTTTAAAGTCTTATGAAAACAAACAAGAAGAAAGGGATTCTACTGTCTCTGCCTGTAGGGAAAGTTGTCTTTGCTCTGTCATCCACTGTCCGCCTTCACATTTAGCTCTGACTTCTGCTGCCCAGAGCTCCATCGGCATCAGCAGCAGCATCACATCACAACACAACATGGAGTCAAGACGGACGAGGCGATCCATATGTGCGATTCGATTGATCAGTTTTCTGTGGGGTGAGATCCCCTAACATGCATGCAGATTTGGATCAGAAGAGGCTCTGGGAGTGAGGAAAAGAAAAAAGCTGTGATCTGTTGTGAAAGCTTGGATTCTTCTTCTGTCATCTGCCTCACTGCACAAATCAATCAGCCTGTTAAAACATCTACATATGGATGTATATGGATATATAGGGAGGCGTCTAACCTCTGGGTCAACTTCAAGTGTTTTGTATCCAGTAAAATGAATGAGAAGAAGAGTTGTGAAAAATCACAGAATTGTACACAAGCAAGCAAACAGGTGAGCCAGATTCTCACTTTTCTTCTCCTGGCATTTTTTTCTCTACTTTGACATTTTTTCTGCTGCACAATTCACAGAAAACCACAAACACAAATTTCTATTAAAATAAAAAATCCCACTTTGACACTACAGTGCCACCGCTGCAATCTGATTCCTAAAAAAATGAATGACAGACAGCCTGAAAAAGACAGAGTGAGAATGAGAGACAAGCGTGCAGGCTCACCGTGAATCAAAGCAAAAAATCCAGAGAGGAGTAGAGCCACCGAGTGCCACATTCTGGAGGATGAAGAGCAGGAGAAGAGGAGAAGAAGGTCCGGATTATTGAAGGAAGAGGAGGAGGAAGAGGAGTAGGAGTAGGAGGAGGGGAGGAGAGGAGAGGGAGGACAGACTCAGGAAGCTGCTGGAAATCCCCCCCGTCTGCATCCAGTCTGCATCCGAGGGAAGAGAGAATGAGCGTGTGGGGGGAGAGAAGGGAGCTGAGAGGAGGAAGAGGAGGAAGAGGAGGAGATGTGGCTGCTCTCTCTCTCTCTTTCTCTCTCTCTCTCTGTATCTCTCTCTCTCTCTCTGTCTCGCTGTCTCTCTGGGAGGTGGGACTAAAACGGAGAGAGAAAATTGTCAGGGATTGGGGTGATAGGGGGTGAAGAAAAGGCAGAAGGTGGAGGAAAGAGAAGTTTTAATTGGTCCGTCACCATGAGTGGACTTTTCAAGAAAAAACATTTGGAAAAGAGGAAGACGGATGATGATCAGGATTAAAAATGATCGTTACAACAAAAGGGATTGATTGGAAAAGGGGAAGTGTGATGAAGTAAAGATGGTGGGAAATGTATAGGCTTCCAAAGCCGGGAAAATATACTTTAGAAAAAAAAGGGACAAAAATGTGTCCTCTACCCTTTTGCTTAAGCCTGTATGTGTGCGTGTGTGTGTGAGCTCTGCAGGGGGGTGGGCTTTGAATCATGGCGGCAGACGGTCTCCAGTTTAATTGAGAAAGTGCTGGGCTCTGCAGGAGGGCAGCAGGAATGTGCATAGTTAAACTCTACTCCTCATTTGTCCTCACGAAATGCTGATGCAAGGGCAGAGGCAGCGAGAAACCGTAAGACTGAGAGAAGGGGGGGAGGAGGAGGAGGGAAGGAGGAGGAGGAGGGGAGGAGGAAGAAAGAGTTGGACTGTATAATAGATTACCCTATTACTTCAACTGACCCTTTCGGAATTACCCCTCTCCTAGGCAGCCTGTCACACATCCCGAGCAATCCCCGAGCTGCAGATTCACGCTCGGCTGCACACACAGGATGGAGAGTGGCCCCTCGGAGGCTGAAAGAAGGATGGCCAAGTCACCGGTTCAACCAGATAAAACTGCACCAAGCGTGGAGCGAGGGACGTACAATGTGCTCCAGTAATGCATCATCAGAGGAAGAGCATCCTGTTGCTGCTGCTGCATCTCTGCTGCTTTAATGTGTGCAAAATTGACTTTAGGTTCATCTCTTTAAAAAAAAAAAATCCTTGTGCTGTTATGCACCAAGCACCAGTGTGACACTGTGCCAAAACCAAAATTCATTACGCCTCATAAAAATACAGATTGAAGGCACTGAGGCGTGGGTGACATCTGGTGGTTTGTTGTCCAACTGCATGCTGGCTGCAGCTCAAGCAACACTGGGGACGTTAATTTTGGAGGGGTTGATGGTGTTAATTAACGAGGGAGAAACTGAGCACAATGAAAAAAGGGAAATTATAGGCGCTAATGCTATAAACAGAGGGCTGATTAGGAAACAAAACAGGCAGAATGAAGAGTGAATGAAAACACTAAGAAGGACGTGGATAATACCGTAATATGAATAGAAAAGGGAATGAGGACAATAAACAGAGAGCCTACAGGAAGTTAAACCCCTCTATAATAATTCTGTAGATCAGGGTTGTAATTGCTCAGCAGCTGTGGTGGCCATCGCTCTGACCAGGCATGACTACTGCTCTCCTCTCTCCGTGCTAAATGCTGAATTTCGGCTCTGACAGTGCAGCCATCAGCCATGAAGGCTGCTGTGCTGTGTGTTTTTAATTACTCTGCTGATTGGATTAAGCCCACTCCTGCAGCTGACACGTCCCCTCCACTTAATACGGTGTTATCAACAAAACCAGCACATACATCCACTCGCCTGTGACGTCTGATTTGCCAGATGAGTAGAGGAGATGAAGTTTTCTTCTAATAGGCAAGTTTATCTGACCTTGGCAGCACTGAAAAAAAAATAATGTAAGCCCATTCATTTTGAAGGTGTGAAATTGTTTAGCAGCATTGCTCTTATTCTACAGTGTTGGACAAGGCAGAAGATCATCTTTCTTGTTCCACCTGCTCTTCTTCTTTGTCAAAACTTGCTCTTTACATCTTTACATTAACAAAGATACATTGAATGTGTGTGTGTGTGTGTGTGTGTGTGTGTGTGTGTGTGTGTGTGTGTGTGTGTGTGTGTGTGTGTGTGTGTGTGTGTGTGTGTGGTGATGGGGGAGGGTGGGGGGGGTTTGCTGGAGGCAACCATGCAGGGCAGGGACGTCATCTTTTTCAGTCTGAAATTAAACATTTTGAGAGATGAGACACATGAGGGAAGTTTAACCATCATAATCAAAAGCAATGCTACAGTATGTTATCATGTTCATTCATCCAGCACAGACTCCTCATGTCATCTCGTAATTAATTTTTCTGGATTTTAAGTCACATGGTTTCATGTCTTTAGGTCTTATTTCTGTTGTAAACACAGAAATAAGACCCCACTAACCTGCACATTTGAGGACTAACACTATAGTATCTCTCATCTCTCTCATCTTCAAACACACACACACACAGTGTGGCAGTGTTTGACCAAGAAGCTGTACATTAATCGCAATAACCATTGAAGTGCCTATTCATTGCATTTTTAAATCGCATGTTTTAAATGTGATTGTATTGAATTTAAAAACAGAAATTGTTAGGTTTTGATTTTGGATTTGTCTTAAAGTGAGAGTAAACTTGCTGGGCTTTTATTTTGAAATACAGTAAGGACCTTCTGGTAGATGATAGATAGATTCTGACCAAGTAACTTGTTAAAGCTGACAGCCCCGTCTGTTGTTTCTGCTGCATTTGAATTGTTTTCAATCAACAGGATTTCTTGGAGAACTGTTAAAGATATGTTCCTTGTCCATCTTGTTCCTGTCAATGTGTCGAGTTCAAATTGAAACCAAGATATTTTCAACCTGTAATTTGTGTTGATTCAGAAGTCCTTACTTGTGAAAGGAAAGGATACACTTTGTGTTTAATGAGAGTTCATTTAGGAGTAGTAAGAAGTTTCAGAGGGATTGTTAAGAGATTATTGTTACAGTTAGATTCATACAATGATTTGTGGACATTCATATTTTTCTTCAAATTCTAAATTCTGACAAAAACAACAGAAGGATGTTTTGTGTAAGACATAGGGTGGTAGATTTTACACACTACAAAGATAAAGACAGTAGCTGGAAATAACTCTCACCCTACAATGACGACCAAAACTTTTTATATTAATTCAAACTTTTATTTGAATATATTTTCAATACTAATGATAGGATGTTTTCCCCTACAAAATAACAACAACTTGTATACAATGTGAATGCATGTAGGGCACGAACTGATACAGATACAAAAGGATCATTTCTTATGTAACACGAGGGGGCTATAACCCAAACAGTGACCAGCAAACACAAAAAGTACTTTTCCCCTACAGATTGGACTGAAGCAATTAAAATGTTGACCAGATGATCAACTGGCACTCACGCACGCTTCAGGGCATGAGGCAGATTTGCCATTTACCAGCCACAGCAATTAGTGGACTCAACATCTCCCAGTTTAATTTCACTTTCTTAGCAGCCAAAGGATGATTTGCAATAGAGGAGTCCAAATTGAAAACCTGCTGGAAACGGGCCACAGGGGCAAGACGAATTGACATACTTAGCTATCGGCTGTAGCAGTCTGGATTTACAAGCACTTGGCCGGAGGCTTGAATTAATTTGAAGCCTTGCAGCTGTGCATATATCCTATCAGCATCTTGTTAGTAAAAGGCCAACTTAATTCAAAAAACATTTGAGATCTCTATCACCACAGCAGAGAGAGGGGGTTTACTCTGTGACTGTGCAAAGTCATGTTTTCAGGATCTACTTCTCTGTGAACATCCACAAGGATTTCATGTTGACAGTCGTGCACTGAGGCGCAGACAGTCGGAAGCTTCATGTCTGCAGAGCATCAAAAACAACAAACAAATCCAGACAGCAGCATATGGCCAAATCTCAAAGTAAAGCAGAGCAGTTAGAGAATAATTAATATATTTTACATCTGGAGGGACATTGAGAAACCGATCTGCTCAGGCTTATAATATGTTTTTGGCTCTCCCAACTGTGCAAACCCCACAGCCCTCTCTGTCTTTAAATACATGATGTCTTCAGGATAATGCTTTTCTTTATCCTGCTATTCTGCGGCTCCACCCCACCCTACCAGCCATGCTCTTTAGGTCTTACCATTTGGAGGGGGCTCTGTTATCTCCACACCCATCTGTCACCAGGATTTAGATGAATAAATGATGCTGAATGTCATTGTTATGACTTTAATGCTTAATACTCGTCCTCGCTCTGTGCATATTGTTTGGTTAGGGGTTGACACATTTGATGTTTCATAAGCTTTTAAGTATCAGATCTCTGTCTCGCTTGATTAATCTGCAATGCTAATCTTCTGAATTGATATTGAGGACCTTTATTCTCTTTTGAAGATTATATTTTTTTATATACAGCAAGTTTTATAACCCACTGAGAATTCGTCCACAAGACAGTGGTCCAATATCAAATTCAAATAGATAAAATAGCATCTCTTTTTTTAAGGCTATAACAATAGCTTAAGGCTGTTTTTTGACACTATTGCCCCCTTGTATAAGATGATGTCCCCGCCCTCACTCCTTCACATATAGGGAGGAGAAATACTGCCAATCCCAGCAACAACAAAAAAAACTCATGACAGATGATTCTTTGATCTGTGCAACATCTGCAACTTAAAGTCTTTGCGGTCATTAAGCCCCTCAAGCTTTAAGGACGATGTCCTGATGCTGGACAATCAAACAGCAGGAACCAAACAAGGGAACAAACAAGAAGAAAATGTAATGGATATCCACGGGTATCAGCATCATGTGTCGTCATATGCAGGAGAAGTTCATAACCTCTGCTCGAATCACTGGGAGGGGCTGAGTGATGCTGAGGCTGCTAATGGATTTCTGGAAGTTCATACATGCAGAGCCAGGAGAAACATTTTCAAATGAGCACATCACGGCACATGGCTGTTGCATGTGGATTACTTTTTACCTAAAACTTTTACGCTTTTCGTTTGAGAAAGTTGTTGCGTTTGAGTGCCAGCGGTTACAGGATTTTATCTGAAGGATATTTTTGTGCTTCTGGCGGATGTGAACTTTCTGGACCATACGGAGATTGAACTTTAAAATATGCAGGGCAAATTACAAGATTTAAAGCAATTGTCAGGAGAATGAAGGCCTTTTGTTTCTCCCTGTGGATGAAAAAGTCTGAATAATAGGTAAGAATAAAACGCTCTGCATTATAATCAATCATGTAGAAAAGTTTTGCACTTAAATTCTTTCAAAGTTTGAGGCTATATCTAGATTATTATGAATTACTACATAAGTGTATGACATGGAAAAGTTTTGTGTTGCATTTTACATTTTCAATCATCTTAAAGTACTGTATAAAAAATGAGTGAACATACCAGGTATGACAAATGAAGGAATAATTAAACCCTACAGGAGCTGTGTTTTTTCACAATCTGTTTTCAACCTTGTCTCATTTTGTCCTTCTCTTTCTAGCTTCTCTATTCAAACATTAAAAAAGATTTGGTGAAACTTTACCTTTGAAGCCTGTCACAATGGAGCACTCCCCCTCTATGAACCTGTCAGTGGTGGATGGAGATGAGGTGGAGGACCACCACCCCCTCCTCCCGCAGAGGATGGTCCATGCAGCTCAGGCCTGCTCTCCACAATGTGGGATCCACCAAAACCTCCAAACACCAACCAATCAGACCGTGTGGCTGGACAGAACCCAGGCCATGGCCACCACACCTTTATACAACGGTCACCTGTACGTCACATGTTCACCTTGCTCCAGCAGACGGGGTGACAAAGGCAAGACAAAGAAAAGTGAGAAAAGATCAGGCAGGGGTAGACAGAATCCAGCACACAACCAGCACAATCACAAGTGTAAGGCTAGAAACACAGAAGCTCTCAGACTGCAGGAGACTGTCACCTCTTTCATTGACATCTCCACGACCCCCTGTGGGTCCCCCGTTAAGGGCCCCTGCAGGTCCCACCTGGAAATAAAAGATGAGGGCAGAGGGCGCTGCACGTCTGGTAACGTTACTTTAGAGATGCACGACCGGCAGACTCTCCCTGAGATCATCATCACCAGCAGAGATGACGACTTCCAGCCACACAGCGACACCACCCAGTACCACCAGGACCTGCAAGAGGCCAGAGGCCTGCTGCCCAGAGCAGAGAGATCCAGTCAGAGCCCCAGTCCCCCACCCAGCCCGAAGGACGATAAGGACGAGTCGTACTGGAAGACTCACAACATCGGCTGGAGGCTGCTGCGAAGGAGGTCTCTGTTTTTGAGGAGGCAGCGGCTGAATGACTGCGCCCTGGCAGTGGGGATGTTTGGTATGGTGTTGATGGTGATGGAGACAGAGCTCTCCTGGAGCGTCTACAGCAAGGTCAGAAAGAGAGGAAAGCAAGGCTGAGATACTGAGAAATAAATGCAGAAAAATAGTGCAACTAGGGCTTTATTTTATTTTTTTATTTTGTTTTCTGAAAGGAACCCATCACTATTTTTTAGATATGCATTGCTGACTGATACATTTTAATTTCTAACAAAGAACACATTCACAACACAAAATAGGCTACTTCATTCTGATCATTCATTGTATGTTGTATTTTGCAGTAAAATTAAAATCTGTTAATTTTTTTTACCATAGATACTTCCCCTTTCCCACGGCCTGATCTCTTCTGAGTCAATTAACCTCCCACCAGCTGCATTAAAATGCACATTAGGACCATAAGATCGTTTTATTATTACATTATGCAAATAGATTATCTGCATTTACGATATGTATGATTATAAGGTTACATAGGATTACTGATGTAGTTCTATATATTGAGCTTTGTAATCACAGACAATAATGCATGTTGTTGTGTGTGTGTGTGTGTGTGTGTGTGTGTGTGTGTGTGTGTGTGTCTTACAGAGCTCAGTCTACTCCCTCGCATTCAAGTCAGTCATCAGTTTGTCTACGTTCATCCTGGTGGGCCTCATCATAGCGTACCACTGCTGTGAGGTGGAGGTAAAACATTATCTCTTTATAATGTCCTCTTATGTCTTCTCTGGACAGCTGTGGCTTTGAAGTTCATTTATGTGGAGCTGAAAACGAAGTGAACTAGTTCGATCAGTGAATGAGAATCTTTTAGCCTATTGACCTGTTTTAAAGTCTACTTATAAATGACCTACAGGTTAAGCTTGTGTAGGAAGCTGAATCAAAAGATGATGTTTTATTATCATTATTATTATTATTATTATTTCTTCTTCTTCCTTCCTTTTGTTTAATTTAAATAATTAAATAATTATTACAAATTAAAATAATAATTAAATTAAAATAATTTAAAGGGTTTGAGGGAATGAAAATAATATTTAAAAATTAACTGTTTTTGGTCCTTCAGTTTTGAGCATTTCAGTCTACAAAATTGTCTGACTTCTCATGTATTTAAAAAGAAAGAAGCCAAATCCTACTGCATTAAATTCCACATTGTTCATCTCTTTTTTCAAAAGAATGGCGTCAACAATAAATACAACCCTACCACTGACAGTTTAGCCTGAGATTCGGTTGTTGTTGTTGTTGTTATGCTAGCTGAGGCTGCCAGCATTTAAGGCACTAGCATCTAGCTTAGAAATGGAAAACGTAAACAAAAAAAAAGATAAATAAAATAAATAAAAGGAGAATGTTACAAAGGCCTAGTGAACTTACATCTCTTAAAAAACACCTCGAGAAAGTCCTGTTTTTATTTATTTTTTCCGTCTTTCTATCTGAGACTGCCTTAAATGACGTCACACAAGGCAATTATTGGACTGATATAATAGATATATAGATAGATATATAGATTGATAGATAGATAGATATATAGATATATAGATAGATAGATAGATTGATAGATAGATAGATATATAGATAGATAGATTGATAGATAGATAGACAGATATATAGACAGATAGATAGATAGATAGATTGATATATAGATAGATATATAGATAGATATATAGATAGATAGATAGATTGATAGATAGATAGATATATAGATAGATAGATTGATAGATAGATAGATAGATATATAGATAGATAGATTGATAGATAGATAGATAGATAGATAGATAGATAGACAGATATATAGACAGATAGATAGATAGATAGATTGATATATAGATATATAGATAGATATATAGATATATAGATAGATATATAGATATATAGATAGATAGATAGATAGATGGTGATGGTGTATCCCATAGCTCACAAATATAAGTTAAAACACTGAACAGATAAAATAAAAAATATAACCTTTGTTTTCTTTTCTTCTTACAAGAAGTGGGGTATTGTATACAATACTCTCAGCAGTCTGCAGCTCAGTTAGCTTAGCATCACAGCTAACCAGATGATGGGCAACACTAGTACTGTTTGACATGATGAAATATCACATATTACATTATTCTTAATTAAAGTTATGTTTATCTGAAACAGTCTTCAGAGTACCTTTCAATATTCATTAGTGCAAAATCATAAACAAATGCCATAATGTATAACACCATTTCCAAAAAAGTTGTGACACAGTGACAGTGTTTAAAATGTCAATGAAAACAGAATGTGATGATTTCCAGGACATTGTAAACCCATAGTTAACTGAAAATGTTACAAAGACCATATTAAATGTTTAAACTGAGATAAATGGAAAATGATATGCTCACTTTTTATTTGATCCAACAATTGGAACATCTCTTTGCATTTACACTTTTAGAAAATGTTCCAACTTTTTTGGAAATGGAGCAAAAAAAAAGATCTGTTTTCAATCAGCTCAACAACAAAAATCAGCTTTGAATGTCATTCTCTCAAAACATTATCGGTCTTAAAAATCCTTATTGGTCTGACCTTACATCAGGTGTTTATGATTTGTGAAGCTTCCTCTCTCAAGCTTAGTTGGGTTTCTCCCTGATGACCTCTTCCCACCTCTACGTAGCTCTACGTTCATGACATCGGTGCAGAGGACTGGCGGATTGCCTTGACGAGGGAGCGTTTTGCCCTGATCATTTTGGAGCTTGCGGTGGTGGCCATTCATCCATATCCTGTGGGTCTGTTAGCATACTTTGAGCAGACGCTCCATCACATCCCGCCTCGCCTGTCGCTATCAGAGACGGAGTTGGAGATCGTCCTGGCCCTGCCCATGTTCCTGCGCCTCTACCTGCTGGGCCGGGCCATGATGCTGCACAGCCGCCTCTTCACTGACACCGCGTCCCGCAGCATCGGAGCGCTCAACAAGGTGCGAGGTCACACTCACAGCAGGTGCTCTCTACACAATCTGGCATGGATAGTTCTGTGATGGTATCATTCAAAACTTTTAGATTAATGAAAAATGAAGCCTCTGCACTGCCCATTCTGATATGATTTTAAAAACTGTGACAGTGGGAAATTAAAGGTCAGTGATGTGTGCAGGACTTCCTGTATGAACGTTTCATGCACATCTGTTTATGTTTCACGTCTAGGTGGGCCGAGGGGTCTGTAGAGGTGTGACACTTGAGGTGTGACTATGACAGTTGTCTCTCTGAACCCCAGTGGTTTCACATGCTGATTATGTCCCTCTGCTGGCTCTCCTCTGCTTTGTCTGCTTTCTTTTCCACAGTCGATTATATCCGCCCGGCTAATCCCTTTTCCCTTATAAACGCTATTTAGGAGTGACGAAAATGACCTCTGCCTCCCCTGCGCAATACCAAACCTACTATCCATGTATCAAGCCAGATTGAGAATGAGTTTTCTCATCCCTCATGTCCTCTGCATTATATAATCATAATCTGACAGGTGCTATCCTAAATATACCGGCTGAGAGGCCCCCGACTGTCAACATCATACCACAAATGCATCCCGTTTGTAATCTTTAGATTCACTTTAACACCCGGTTTGTGGGGAAAACACTGATGACCACATACCCCGGGACAGTGCTGATGATTTTCAGCGTCTCTCTGTGGATCGTGGCAGCGTGGGGCTTACACGTGTGCGAGAGGTATGTGATCATGAATGAGATTACTGCTCAATCTAAAAAAAGCTCAAGGCCTGATAAGTAAATTCATATTGTATTATTGGATAGAAAGAACAGCTCTGATACACTTTCAAGATCAGGTTACACCTTATCTTTCCTTGAGACTGATTATGAGACTCTTCAAGGTAGAAAAATATTTTTTTCAATTTAACACCAGCCACAAGTTATAAAATCACATTCACTATTTTCCCAGTTTTTCTCTTTCATTTTTTATTCCTCTTCCTGTGTTATAGCACTATCTATGTGGTTTATATATGATATACACATTTAAATTACTCAGACAGCACACACACACTCTGCCATCTTTACAACCGTGTCCCCTCCACAGATACACATCTCTCACTTTCCAGACTAATCGAGCCATGTCAAGCTTTGCTCCCAGCTCTATCAGGCTCATGAACAAGTGATCTATTTCTTATTTATTTTTAACACCACTCATTTAACCACTTATAACAATTATTTATGACCTATTTATCATGCTTTTAATAGAGCCACTTGTGTGTGTGTGTGTGTGTGTGTGTGTGTGTGTTTCTGTTGTTGTTTTTGTGTCTAGCTGTATGCGCAGTGATGCTCTTTTACACAAATGAAGTTCCTAACGGATAAATAAAGTTATTTGAATTTGAATTGAAATACATACATGAAAAACTTCACTCCAGTTTGAAGTATAATGCTTTGAATTCCACAAAGATATACATGAAAAATAATTGACGGATAAAAATTCAGACAGAAATAAAATATTAAAAACGGGGGAGGTCTGGGTCAATAGGGTAATTGTGTTTGTCTATGTGTGATTGTGTGCATGCATTAGTGGGTGTAGTGGCATTAGCATAGATATATGTGCATGTTTCAGTGCCTTTTGTGTGTTTGCATCACCTTTTCATATGAGCCAGTTACAGGTTTCTATATACATACATTTTATATTTCTCTCATCTGTTTTTTTTTTTGAGCTTGTACTGAAACTAAGTAAAATGTCAGAGATCATATTTGAGTCCATTTACTTCCCACAGACATCACAACTACAGAGACCTGAGCAGCAACTACATGGAGGCTTTGTGGATGGTCTCTGTAACCTTCCTGTCCATTGGTTACGGAGATGTGGTCCCTCACACCTACTGCGGTCGCACTCTCTGCCTCCTCACCGGGATCATGGTGATGTGTAGAGACGTTGTTTATGGTTTCCCCTCTATAGCGGGGGTCAGCACATTTTTTACTCATAATGTGTGTCTGTGACTCTCACAGGGAGCGGGCTGCACAGTGCTGGTGGTGGCGGTGGTCGCCAGGAAACTGGAGCTGACTAGAGCAGAGAAACACGTTCACAACTTCATGATGGACTCACACATCACCAAGAGGGTAGACACCAACACTTCACTTTAGATCACATTTGTTAAAAATCAAGAGAAATCTTGCAATCGCCATAACATTTTTGTGTGCAAGTTTTTATTTGGTTTAGTTGTATGGTATTAACATGGGCTGCTCAGTGGTGCAGTGGTTAGCGCTGATTCCTCACAGTGAGGAGGTTCCTGGTTTGAATCCCTGTCAGCCTGGGCCTCTCTGTGTGGAGTCTGCATGCTTTTCCTGTGCATGTGTTGGTTCTCTCTGAGTACTCCGGCTTCCTCCCACAGTCCAATGTCATGCTCGTTAGGTTAACTGGACACTTTAAATTGCCCGTAGGTATGACTGGTTGTCTGTTTCTAAATGTCAGCTCTGTGAATGGCTGGCGACCAGTCGAGGGTGTAACCCCGCCTCTCGACCAATGACAGCCGGGATCGGCTCCAGCCCCTTGAGACCCTGAACGAGAAAAGCTGTATAGATAATGGATATATAAACGTGACTGTGTGCATTTTTTTATCGTAGCAAAAATCGGACACAAAATATTAACTTATTCAAGTCAACATTTCTGATTGGTCAGAATATCCCAAGGAAGAATCAAGAAAACAGTTGCAAAGTGGGTTTTACAATAATGTCTATGATGTAATTTTTCCATGTTTGTTACTTTAAAACGCCTGAACAGGAGACATTCCATTTTAATAACAGAGAGTTTATATCCCCCCCAAGAGTCGTTTTTTTCTCCATGTTTTTAAGTTGAGCTTGTGAAAAATGTTTATAGTGTACACATCTTAATGAACTATGTTTGCGTTATTCATCATCTGCAGTAAATAACTTTTTTTTATTTCCAGGTTATGTGCATAAACATAAAATAAGTCTCTCTGGATGATTTTCTACATCCTTTCACTAGATAAAAATTGCAGCAGCAAATGTGCTGAGAGAGACTTGGCTGATCTACAAACACACTAAGCTGTCAAGAGAAAGAGATCACACCAGAGTCCGCATGCACCAGAGGAAGCTGCTGCTGGCCATCCACCAGTAAGACACTCAGCCCTCTTATAAAGATGTTCCTGCACAAGACAGTGGAAAAAAAAGAGACACTTTCTCACTTTATCTGTTAAGTAATCTCTATAACCTGTCAGTTTTTAAGACTAGAATATTTATTCCTTATCAATTAAAAACAAGTGTAGCAATGGCAATTAAAGTAAGTACCTAGAACCGACAAACACAACCTACGTTCTTGTTTCTATTCTGTCTATAAAGGATAAAAGGTTAAAACATTATGTGTCAATTTTCCACAAGAAATGACAACATTTAATTTTATAAAACATATTTTAAATGGCTGTTATAAAACGCAATACAAACAATATTGGTGCATTAATTTATACATTCTTAAGACTAGCAGCTTTAAATAGTCAGTTTACGCAAAGTGATTTCACTTCTATAGAGTTTCTGTGTAACAAAGCAGGTTGTTCTATGTACGTTTTTACAGTGTAAATTCTAAAGGAAGAATTATCGCACTTTTTCTGTGATGATTGAAGAATCGAGCTCAGACAAAACAAACTGTTTGTCGATTTCAAACACGTGCCCTAAGTTCAGTCTGTTTAACAAATTATATATAGTATGTGATAATATACATAATAAATGTCATAGTACACTACCAGCAACTTTGGCAACTGACAATTTCACTCAACAAATACATCTTACTTTCTTTTAAGGATTTTATTCATTTTTTGTTAAGTTATGTAAGATGTTTAGGAGTTGTTTCACTTCTGGCTGTCTCTAGTGGTCCCTTTATTTCCTTTGTACCATGCACTGGAGGGGGGGGGGGGGGTTGTGGATACAGTGAACACTACTTACATACAGTACTTGCAATAGAGATCATGGAAAATGATTAAACACAGGAAAGTTAAATCAATGTTGTTTTGGCAACAGTAACTATTTGAGTTGCTTTAAATCTCAGTCTATTAGAACAGCTGAATGAGTTGTGTTTAAGGGTAATTTGTTGTTGATCTGCAGGCTGCGTCGAGTGAAGCTGGAGAAGCGAACACTTATAGATCAGGCTAACACACTTGTTGACCTCTGCAAAGTGAGAGAGGCAAGTAAACTCATTTTACACAACATCCTGTCAACACATCAACCAAATAGCATCTAAAAGACATAAAATGTCTTTTGTCTCCCTTTACACACACTTACCCCCACACAGATGCAGACCCTGATGTATGACGTCCTGTATGAGGTGCAGGGATGCAGAACGGAGCTGAAGTCACACATCTGTAGCCTGGATAAGCACGTGGAGGAGCTGAGGGAGGGGTCAAGGATCCTGATGCCGCTCCTGTCCAGCACCCTGTCCACACAGAACTCCTCCATCAGACACCTGCTCCGGGAGAGGGAGGGGAAGACAGAGGCGGCTGCTGCGAGCGTGGACAGGTAGAGGAAGGTGCTTCTCCGGATGAGTTATCAGTTATGCAGTAAAATGAACAGAATGAGGCTTTTTCTTACAGAGATGGAGAAAAGAGTTTATCAAGTGAAAGATGCAGACTTGTGCAATTATAAAAAGATAGCAGGATACTTTTTTGTGGCAAAAAACCATCAAATTAAAAAGATTTGGGTCACAATTCAGTTCAATGACAATTAGCATCTTTCCCAGAACCAGAGATAAGTTAACTTTTTTCCCTGTTTTAAACTGGTAAAAAGACCATTTAATGCTGGTCGGGTTTTTTAGCTTGTTATCCTGTTTTAAAATATTGTAAGTTTCCTAATGTATTGAAAGACTACCTGATTACTGAATAATGCAGGAAAACCATTAGCTTTGTTGATCGTTCAAGTACATTTAAATAACATCCTTAATGTATACATAAACTACACCAAAACAAGCTCTGACCCGTGTGCCGTTTACACATTCTCAAAGTTTGGTGTTGTGAAATAATGCCATCCTACTGAATGATGACACTACAACTTTCTATTAAAACTGATTGACCACTGCCTCAGTTTGTCCTGTGTGATCAAGATGTGCAAAGTCCCAAGAATAAAGAGGAAAAGACACAAAATGCTTATTTAGCCAAAACAATATTTTATTAAGAGAGGCAGGGATGGAGGGTGGAGTTACAGCAACAACCAAACTGCTGACATCAACAGTGGAGGTCCATCTTCAGGTCTCTTCTCAGATCAGACCGGTGTCCCCGAGGCAGAAGACGCCGATATCAACCAGTCCATCCCCTCCTCTCCTCTTCAGCTTCAGAGAGGACAGCTAATGCTGCTTCCTCCTGAATGAGCACCCTGCAGGAAAAGACAATGACAGTCAGAGCGCTGCTGACAAAAGAGAAACCTTACAGTACAGAAATACTGCAGGCGGTGCACACAGCTATTGTCCTACACATACTGTGATGGTACAAGACTCATTGTTCTCCACCATAGATTTAACAACTCTCCTCAGTGTCTTACATTCACTGTACAAGAAAACCCCACACATTAATAAAACCCCAGACCCGAAAGTGGAAACTGGAGGCAAAAGTGACTCTAATATGGAGATTGAACAAGTAACAGAACACTAACTACATCACTATCTGTACAGTAAATTATTGTTCTCAGCCTTCGAAAGGGGGGAGCCAGTGGTCTAGCTCAACCCTTCTGCAAACCGAGGTCAATCTGGCACTGGAATGAGATTGGAAGACCATGAAAGAGGAAGTCCAGTCACTTGGCAGTGCGACCAATAACTAATTTAAAGAATCATCTATAACCCAAAACAATCTGTTATTTTAGAGGTTGAAGAACACCACCCCAAAAAAACACTTTTTAAAAGAAATGCAAACAACTAGTAGAATGCTGGCTAGGGACGAGGGATCATGAAATTATATTTCTCAGTCTGTGTTGATGGTGGAAGTTCTCATGAGCACAAAGTAATGAGTAAAGAGGGTCATACTTTATGCTACGTTAAAACATTATGTTTGGATCCCACAGCTAAGGCTAAACTAAACTGTACATCAAATAAGATAGTGGTTTAAATCTCATGCCACAAAAGGGAGGACTACTGAAGTATTCATTCAGCAGTCACTTACCCGCATGAAATATCGGTAAAATCAGACTAGATATTTCATTATGTGCAGCTTTAACATTCTGAGTGTATATGTCCAGATAAACCAAGTTATATTTAATTAGTCTCGAGCAGGTGGGGGAATCTTTTTTTGACTAAGGTGGTATGTAAGAGAAATGAAGGTGCATAAATACTTGCTGCAAAACTTTGAGATTTCGGGTTCTGATGTTTTTTTTAACTACCAACACATTTTAGGTTCTTTTAAGATAATTAAAAGATTTGAGAAACTGACATACAGCTCGCACAAAGCAATGTCCACTACAAACACAGTAACCAGCCCTCTCACTGCATTTCCTAATTGAGTCATCATAGACCCGTGTTTGAAAAATAAATAAAAAACAGTAATTAAAATACAGTGTGTGGAGTTTTATTACTGACCCTCTGTGAGACGTGCTTTGCCTCCAGTGGGCTGACACAGGACTGTTGAACAGCCAACACACAGAACTACTGTCTGAGCGTGGCTGAACACTGTCGTGATCTTGTAGCATCCTAGAAAAGGCAGATAAGAGATCATTAGACACAAAATGATCACTCTCCTCCAGTGTTGCATTTGCAGCAAAAAAACAAAAACATTAAAACAATACCTGGACACTTCACATCCATAAAGTACGAGTTGGGACTCTGAACAAGACGCTTCTTCTTGTGCCTCCTCTTTTCCTCCTCAGGGGATGGATGCAACAAGTCTTTTGCGAGCTGTAGGAAGAAAGAGGAAATTAAAAAAAAAATGTACCTACTAAGAAAAACGCGACATCAGACAAAATGTAAATCGATATGCTACTAGCTTCAGCTAAGTTTACCGACACATGTGTGACTCTAATATGGAGATTGAACAAGTAACAGAACACTAACTACATCACTATCTGTACAGTAAATTATTGTTCTCAGCCTTCGAAAGGGGGGAGCCAGTGGTCTAGCTCAACCCTTCTGCAAACCGAGGTCAATCTGGCACTGGAATGAGATTGGAAGACCATGAAAGAGGAAGTCCAGTCACTTGGCAGTGCGACCAATAACTTTTAAAGAATCATCTATAACCCAAAACAATCTGTTATTTTAGAGGTTGAAGAACACCACCCCAAAAAAACACTTTTTAAAAAGAAATTCAAACAACTAGTAGAATGCTGGCTAGGGACGAGGGATCATGAAATTATATTTCTCAGTCTGTGTTGATGGTGGAAGTTCTCATAACACAAAGCAGTAAATGAGTAATATAAATATGTATGTGTGTCTGTTAAATATCTAAATTTTCGTCGTTTCAATGCGCCATTCGGTTTTGAAGCACACACAGCTACCGCTAATTATTTAGTTAGCATGATTCTGTGAAACGCTAGGCTTCAGGCCTACATACCCGGATTGAGTAACTACGCATTTCCATACATCAGTGTGGACTGATCAAACATTTAGAGATAAACAGTAATGAAAACTGGTCACCTAACTAACAACATTAAAGAAGAGGACATTATGAGCGGTAATCCTAAATTTCAGGGTTATCCGCCGCTGAACTGGCTCCATGTTTGCGGTGTGCGCGCAGCCATCTTGTGTCACAATGCGCTCGCAATGCTCTCAAATGTGCACAATTATTTAGAGTCAAACTGTGACCGAAACCAAACGTAAACATCTAAAACCGACACAGGTTGAATCGCTAACTTCTCGCGTAAATACTGAGCCGCTTGTGGGCTCCCAAAGACTCAATTTAACGGTTAAAATGTGATTGTACATGGGCCTCTCGATACTCACTGGCATGTTGGCGAGGAAATAGCCGCTGCCGAAAAGGAGGCATTACCGGAAGCGAGGGGTTCATATCGGTTGTTCCTTTGAGCACGAACCGGACGTGACGATTTGTAGAAAGCCTGGCAGCCATCTTGGTAAGGTCAAAACTACTATTCCCTTCATCTAGCTAACTGAACAAGTGTCGAAATATACACAATAACTACCATTATTATATATATATATATATATATATATTTTGCAATGTTTTTCACATGGTTTGTCAAATGATGCATTCGTGTGTTTTGAAATAGATTTTGTTCAATGTAAAGCCTGACTTTTTCTTATGTTTTGCTCCAATAAACCACTTAGTGTAAGAAATGTGGGACGAAATTCATATATATTAAAAAAATATATACTTCTACTATTCACCTGAAGCCAATATTAGGCATCAGTAGTCTGAATATGAAAAATGACTTGGGTATCATCCAAAGTCATGGTCTAAGTATAAGTATGACAGGAATTTCCTTCTTTGTGCTTTCATTATTTCAGTGCAGCCGTCGCAAAAAAAAAAACCAGTTGAAATATGGAGAGGAAAAAGACAATTATTTTGACTCATAGTTGTTAAAAAAAAAAAACTGACACATTTTTTAAATGTAATTAACCATTTGAAAGAATAATCAGCCAATGTTCACTGTCACAACTGTGAAATATGATGGACATGTTCAATGTAGATGGAGTATTTTGAGCTGATTCAGTCTTTGTCCTTAATTTAAATTCTCATCATGAGTGAAAAGAAGAAATAAAAAAAATGTCCTGGAAACAGGTTGTAATAATTAAAAAAAGAACGACGCATCTGGACTTTAATGTGTCCTCCTGTTCAGTGACTGATCTGTTATGTACCATAAGACTTTCAGTGTTTACAACTCCCTTTAATTGTGTTGCAAAAACAGAGACAGAGAAAAAAGTGAATGTATGTTTTTTATAATTTATAGTAGAAATCTGTAAAAGCAGAGGTACATTCTCTGAGCACTAGGCCTCCTGTCCCTCCTCTTCTGTCTGCTCAGAGTTGCTTTTTTCAAGTGGATCTGCAAGTTTCATTAGTTCCTTTATCTTCACATAACACTCTGAGTGTGGTGGGAAGGTGTTTCTCTGAAAGAGAGATCAGAAACATCTTATTTTACATCTCCTTTTCCCCCGCAACTTTATTATCCTACAGATTTAATTAAGCACTGATATATCTGCAGTATGATAAGTAGGTAATAACATTTATATTATAACATTTAAAGGAAACCAAACACAACAGATAAATACAAACTACACATGTTGTGTATGTTATAAAGTGAACTATGTGTGCAGATGCCCCACACAATCTCACCTGCAGACAGAGACGAAGCAGACCTCTGCCTCCTCCTGTTCCTACACTTTGCATCTGCAGTGACTTCAGAACCAAAGGCAGGCACTTCTCTGTGATTCTGTTTCCTGCACAAACACACACCATATAGCCAATTTTCTTTTCTCTTTACTGGTTATTTAAAGGTTTTGTTCATTCATTTTGTCCAGAGTCTGTTGATTAGCAGTTTGTAACAACTTCTTCAAAGTAAAAGAAAATCTGGTTTTAATTAATGTAATGCAACATGTAAAATAAACCTCACAATTTGAACTTCCTATAATAACTAATGACAGTTAAAGAAAAGCACACTATAACATGTACATCTGTTTTAAGTGTGCAATAAATATGTATTATAAAGTGTCCTTACATCATGAACATGTTGAAAATAGTTCTACTACCACAATGTCTGTTCTGGAAATACATTGATGTTTAAGGTTTGGGTTGCCCTCTCAAACTCTGATGGAGTCACCAAAGTTCCCAGTGCTGGAAGAACTCATATATTTAGCTTAGTGCAATAGTACATAAATAACAACAGGGAATTGTAATTAACACCTAATTTAAGGAAATCAATATTTTGAATGAATATTTTTGGATATCAAATAACATTTCAAATATATTATTATATATTTAATAAACAGAATACTTGTGTTCTTTTAAAACATTTATGTGTTAAGTTTTTTTTATCACCAACACTGTCAGTTAACTGTGGTTGAAAATCCCACCCACTACATTTTGGTCAGTTAGGTGGTAGACATTGAAAGTAGTATAAAATGTATCCCTTTAAGTCAAAAAAAGTGCCTCAAAATAGTTCTTAAATTCTCTTTGTTACTGTCAAACATGTCCAGTTACTGACCTGCCAGGTTGAGGGAGATAAGAGTCGTGTTTCCAGGCAGAATAAGCTCTCCATCCCTGTACTGCGCTGAATGATCCAGCAGGGGGTTCACTGTCTCCTCCACCTGCTGCTGGAGCAGGAGAGTCCGAACTGATCAGTGTGTGGTAGCACATGAATCAGAGTCATTCAGAACTACATTCTTTGTTTAACCACTAACATGAAACTGCATCAAACAAACCTCAGTCAGGCTGGTACTCGAGTTATCCTACAGAAAAAGAAACGAAACAAACTTAAAGTTAAAGGAGATTTTGAAGTTGTTATGGTACACATAGATTGAGGAGATGAATTATGTCTCTGGTACCTCCTGTACAGGAAGTTGTTTCTCTTTCCCCCCAAGCTTGCCGCCTTTATTTTGAGTCACCTTCACATCAGCTGCTGTGTAGATGTAAGGAGACATAAATAAATAAAAGACCCTGTCTCAAATAAGTTAATAGAACAGAAGTCATTACATTTCTTGTTGGACTTTGGGTTCTCTTTGGTGGCCGCTGGTTTCTCGACTTTTTTGTTGGTCTCCTGCAACGAAACAACAGACTCCATCATATGAGTTACGACTTGGTTTCACTTTTGTTGCCCATTTCAGTTTTCTGGTACGATACCTTCTTTTTGCCTTTGCTGCTGCTCAGTGAGGAGCTGCTGGGGTCTGAGGGAAGTTGGTCAGCAGGCGATTGGGCAGAATCGGCCACAATAGATGACTGCAAAAAGAAAGAGAGAGGATCCAAAATGTTTAATGTTTTAATCTATCGTAGGGGAACATGTGTGAAGCTTTTAAAATTAAGAGCATCTTTTTATAAAAAACATTTTAATATCCAGGCTTAGGATGTATTTTAAACACTTACAGACTGCGCTCTCTCCAGAAGTAGCTTCCTCCTCTCCATGACTTCTTCATGAGTTAGAGTGAAATCGCCTAATGTCTGTCAATGGAAGGATTGGAGGATTGTTAAATAACACATTTTAATGAATTAAGCAGAATATAATACACTTTTTTAGATGCATTATCTCCCAGTTTAAAATCTAAAATGTAAAAAAATGAAACCTGGGCCAGATGAGCAGCTCCTGCATCTCCTATCTGGTTGTTTGACAGTGAGAGGAAGAGCAGAGCCCGGTTCAGACGCAGACCCTGAGAGACAAAGACAACACCTAAACAATCATGACAGAAACACACAGGGAGGAATATGGAGTCAGGCTTGTGTTGTACCTGTGCGATATGTGCAGCACCTTCATCGCCGATAGAATTAAAGGACAGATTTAATGATAGGAGGTTCCTGTTGGCAGATCTGGTTGTTGAAAGAGCCACTCCGATCAGACGAGCGCCCTCGTCTCCTATCCTGTTATTTCTGAGGGACAAGTGAGTCAGACTGGAACAAAGAGAAGACAAAAAAGGTTAACAGAGGAGAAACTCAGGGACAGAGAGAGAGGGGAGTGACAGATTTGAGCCTGGGCCGCTCACTTTGGAGGACTTTAGCCTCGGTACATGTGACAGGTACACTAACCTAACCACTAGGCAACTGGTGCCCCATTTCTTCAACATTCTTTATTGGCATAAATACAATAGAGATAATATTGCCAGGTGATAATTACATAAAAAGGAAAACAAAACAAACTACAAAAACGGAAGTAAAAAGTTGTTTGTGTTATGTGATTGTGTGTGTGTGTGTCTGTGTGTGTGCGTGTGTGTGTGTGTTTGTATGTTAAAAAAATGATAATGTGTGTGTCTGAAGTTTGTGTGTGCGTATGTGTGCATGCATCTTATACGTTTGTTTTGTTTGTCTTTGGGTCAGCATATGTGTGTATTCATTTCTTGTGAGTGTGTGTGTGTGTGTGTGTGTGTGTGTGTGTGTGTGAGTGTGTGTGTGTGTGTGGTGTGTGTGTGTGTGTGTGTGTGTGTGTGTGTGTGTGTGTGTGTGTGTGTGTTCAGGTTCCACTTGCTTGACTCAGGTTATGACTACAGGTGATACATTTAGCAGCTATACTCTCACATTTTGGCTTTTATGCTGGTGACTATGGGAGTTTCTCCTTTTCTCTTACGTTTTTGGATTCAGGACAGTTTTATTGTCAACAAAAATATTGATTCTCTGGTATTTATGGATGATGTGAGGTAGTGTAGTACTAGTGTAGGCTTTGCCTCACAGGCTGTCTTCAGAGAGAAGAAGGTGGTAGCTCTGCTCTGGAAGTGGGTTGCCCTCCAATGTTACAAAACTGAAACACAGAGGAAGAGAAAAGTCAGTAATGCTCCATTGTAATGTTGAACATACTTTGGTGTCACTTTCTCTGCAACTCTTGAACATTTTCTCTACAAAACAAAGACTTGACAGAAAGCAGAATCCTCTCACCTGAGGTTGGAGCACAGTGGTATTGTGTTTATCAGGGACATTACTGTTTGATCTGTCAGTCCAGCCTGCCAAAAGCTGCAACAAATAGAGCATGAAGACACAAACAAGAAAACAGTGACACCAGAACACTGCTGTTATAAAAGTGCACCTCTGTCTGTCAGCTGTGTACTCACTGAAGGCGCTGCAGTCTGCTTAAGGAGGGAAGTATCTTCTGTAGCACCCTGGCAATCTGCTCATCTACCTTCCATCCTGTGTTTGTTTTTGTGTGATTTGATTTGAACATTTAATGCTCAGCAAAGAAATTAGAATGTGAAAATCAGACACAAACATGGCTGTGTATATTTGTCTGGGGTGTTTTTTCTTACCAGAAATCTTCAAGTTTTTGGTGCTGTGGGGGTCTGCATTCTCCTTCTCTATTTGGAGGCGGGGCTTAGACCAGCGAGGTGCAGCACTGATCTGTGACTGGCTGACCTCTGGTACAAGATCGAGACATTATATAAAATACAATTACTACACATTCTGACTCACTGTAGATTGATCTCAGTATTTTCTTAATGAACCTAATGTGTCTACCTAGATCTTTAGATTTAGTTTTTTTATATATATTTTCAAACGACTCATTCAAATGCCTTTATGTACAAAAATAAAATCAGTACCAAGGTACTTTAGATTAGTCATGAACTAACGTCCACCTCTGACAAGTCTGTCATTGAAAATAAACACTTGAAAAAGGTATTCTTTGTTTACAGGATAGAGCATGACGTAAGTGTGTGTCTGCTTGTCCTCTTTGTAAAGCTGTAAAGATCAGGATCAGCTCTCTTTTACCCATGTCCTCTCCTTCGTTTTCTGTGTAGGTGGAAACATGTTGCTTGGTGTTGACAGCTGGGATGTCCTTTATGTCCAGAAGAGCACAAAGACGAGGAAAGTCTATCTTCACATTCCCAGAGCAGTGATATTCATCTGAAGGATAGCAGGGTTTAAATCATTCTCTGTAACTCTTCTCTATTACCACAGGCAGCATGATCATGTTACTTACCAAAGGTCAGAGTGGGCAATTTTTCATTTGGAGTGTGTCCTAAAAAAAAAAGGATAGGCTAGAGTTTATACCAACTAAAGATTTCATTAGTGTGTACACTTGTGACAAAATAACTGATGATTGAGGTTGATACCTAATCCCTGACATCTAAAAGGTACTTCAACTACAAGAAGACTCTGTTTTCACTGTTCCCTGTCCCTGTTCAGTTTTTATTATTCAGAATAAAACATCTGTATCAAATGAATGGTTTATCCATTTAATTACCTTATTGTAATAGTGGCCACACTTCTGCTTAATAATTAGGCCTATTTATTTAAAAGACCACAGTTTACATTTTTACTTAGGCTACTCAATTGATAAAGGGAGTAGATATTCAATTTCTTAATAACAAATTAATCTTTAATTTGTATTTTAAGTTATCATAGTTTGTTTAAAACAGTTTTATCCAAAAAGCTAACGTTAGCATAAAAATAGTGAAGGGAAGGGCTATCAGTTAATAAAAGACTAAATCTAATAAAACTCTGTATCTAACCTGTGTTTCTCGAGGCTTCATCCTCAGAATGCGCTTTCTCTGTTTTCTCTTTTTGTTTCTTTCTCGACATTGTTGTTCTTTAAAGCCGAAATAATAACTTGTCTAGACTTAAATGAGCCACTGTACTGACTTCCGTCTAAGCGTCACTAGCGTTACTATGGAAACCAACTCACGTTAGGTTCATTTCTTACTACGGCTCTTCTCGCTTTGTTTGATAAAATAATTATAAGACATACATATTTTCAGAAATGTTTATAATGTAATTTGACCGTTATATTGCTTGCAGTTAAAAAAGCACATTAATGATAGCATGCCATTTCGCTAAAATCCCACTTGATCTCGCGAGAGTTTGCAAGACACTGTTGAGCGCAAATTACTGAGAAGTTCATGATTCTGAGATTAAGGTGACTCAAGAAAGTGTATAATCAATTGATTATCTTTCATGTTAACTGGTCTGAATGAGAAGAAGACTGTTTCTTTATGTTTGTATGATCTATAAGAAGCCGAAACTCAAGGAAATGTAAGTAACAAAGGGGGCTGTGTGGTTGTGGAGGTTTATGATTTCATTGCAGAAAAATACAGCCTACAACTTTAAAAGTTTGTTTCGGAAAAAAATGAAATGTTGTGAATAAAACAATTATTTTTAACATCCATTCTTCTTCTACTGAAACAGACTTCTAGGCGATTATCTGTCCATTAAGTATGTTTCAAATAGTGACATTAAACTGTGAAAATTTAGTGCAATTTTCTTCATTTTTGAAAGCCTTCAATAAGTGTAATTTGTTCCCCTTTTCCTTGATTTAAAAACATATTGTCATAACTACACTAGACCTTTGTTTAAGCAAACAATGGTACTAAAATCATTTCAGTGAGCAAAAATCAGGCTTATTTTAGAAATATTGAAAGCATAACACCATGAATTGTATTCACAATAATGTAGTGCTTTTTATTAAAAAAACAAACAAAAAACAAAAAAAACAAATATAAAACAAAAAAGTAAAAACCAACAGCATCATTTTCATGACTTAAGAATCATAATTACAAACTTTAAACGAGTGGAAGAAGTTTTTTTTTGACAAACTGTACACATCACAAAACGTCCGCCAGTCTGCCATTTACAATGCTTGCATCTTATTTTGTGATTGTCTAAAAATAACTAAACAAATCACACAAAAACACACAAATACAAGTACAAGCATCATACAATGACTGCTATCACAAAACGGAACCATTTCCTATTTGAAAGAAAAAACAAAAATAATAACATGATATTGGGCTGACAGCTTAAATTCTGCTTCTTTCGCTGTTTAAAAATATCATAACATTTTTATGTTGGTTTGTTTTTTTAGTGTTCAACACTTTGCAGCAAAAAACAAGGAGTACATTTCTCCTTTAAAAGTTATATTATTAACAATATTCAGTGACAAAAGGTGTCGTTGCTGAGTCACTGTCATGTCCAGATGCCTTCTGTGTCCGTTTGACATTCTTCTCGCTCATGCAGTTCATAAATGAATTTCATTTATAGGCAACCAAAAACTCCGCTTAAGTTTTTATGTCATCAGGACAGTTAAGGTGAGATTTTAAAGACATTAAAAAAATCAGTTTCCTCCGAGCTTAAGTGTCTTCATTATAATAATACAAACGGAAGAAATTACAATATTATCATTATTATAATAATCATAATACATTTAGGGCTGAGTCCTGTACAGTACAATAAAAAACAAAATCCATTTTTCAAGATATTGCTTTTGGAGACACTCCTCAATGTAAAGTGTGTATATTTACATAACTTGGCACTGTACAGATTCCTGTGTCCCCCCCCTCCCCGATCCCACCCCCCTCCCCGTTCTTCTCTCCCTCTGTCAGTGTCACATCTTTGTCTCTTTTCTTCTCTGTCAGTTTGCTGCACTGGGACATTGCAGGCTGTCCCTTTTAAGCAGAGGCATTTGGGGAAAAAAAACTAACAAGAAATCTCATCAAATATCACAATTCTTTTTTAAAACATTCTCCATGGCAACAAGGAACATAGTCTAAGACAAAAAAAGCGATCTTCCCCTCCCATTATACAGTATACACCCCCCACCCGTCTCACAGAATATAAGAAAATATGACCATCACGATACATTTCATGTTAAGTATTGTTTTCCATAGTTTTCTTAAAACTGTTAATTGCCATCGAGCCCTTGATTTTTTTTTTCGATTTTTGTTTTTAAAAAGGTATATCTTCAAGAAATCTGGCAGACACACAATAAGTGTGAGAGCACACACTCGCACACAAGGCAGTCAGGAGAGCGCGGCTGTGTAAGGCTTTACAGTTAAAGCCGCTGTCCCCACCTCTGCACGCCTGATTTAGTTAAGCTGGTGAATCAAGTTACTTCAAAAAAGAGGGGCGAAGCTGACTGCCTCACGAGAAAAAAAAAAAAATCAAAATAAAACCTCAACAAGACACTTTGACTGACAAAAGCGCACACTTTATCTTCCCTCCCCTCCCTTTATTCTAAAAAAAACAAACACACCCCAAAGTCCTCGTCTGTTCCTACATGATTTACTACAGTATAACAGGGAAAAGAAAAGATAGACTTTTTAACTTGCTTTTTTTCAGACTGCATCATCATCCAATACTGTGAGAGTGTTAGTGTGTTTTCATTATAGATACATTACACAGAGCGTCACAATATCCATGGTACCAAAGTGCAGTTCATCGCCCTCGTTCTCTCTCTCTAATGAGCAGCATCTGAGCACACTGCTCAACTTGCATTTCTCCTATGCCATCCCCCCCCACCCCCCCTGCGGTCTCTCGGTGCAGCTCTTCTCTCATCTCATATATATTTTGTCATTGCAGCTAGGTCCCACTAGGGGGAGCAGTTCTCCAGCATTCGCGTCCCTACTGACTGAAACCTCCAGTCCCTATTCAGTACCACTTGTTTCATTTCTGTTGCTTGCTAGTGGAATTTATCTGCCCATGTCTTTAATATTCAATGTATTTAAGTGCATGGGTTATTTCTCCTATGTTCATTAAAAAAACAGGTTTTGCATCATACTTCTTAAATAAGCAAAAAGTCTGGGTCAGCTCTCGTCTAGTGCTCCTTGAGAACTCTTAAAAGCTGAAATTGCCATGGAGTCAGCACTTCCAAACCCCCTCCACCCTCTCAGAGTTGAGATGATAGTCTTGGAAGAGGTGAACTGGAAGAGGCCCCCAGGGATACATTGTGGTCCTAAATGGTCGGATAACCCACAATGCTTGTTTCCCTTCTTGCTGTCTCTCCACTTTCTGCCCCTCGCTCATAAAACAGAAAGGCAATGTGCTTGACAGGCACTCAGGGATGTTATTTTCTGCCCACGAAATCCCCGAATCCCAGCGTCCGTCGCCGTAGTCGCCGCCCTGCGCCCTCCTCCAGGAGATACGTGACATCTATGGCTGTTCAAAGAAAAAAAAGGAGACAAGGAGGAAGTGTTAGGAGCTTAGACGACAGCAGCTGACAGAAAATATGATATCAAAGAGAGTCAATGTAAAGTTTGCCAAAGGCTTTCATCATGACTTAAACCTTGGAGTGTTGAAAAAATGAAACGTCCTACGGGTGTGTTCAGGAGTCACTATCGGCAGCCAATTGTAGTCAAATCATCCCAAGTTTTTTTAATACTACTTCTTTTTATTAAAGCAGTAATTCAGAATTAAAAATTCTAATTTGATGCGTCATGGGTCATGCTTTATTGTAAACATCACCTCAGCAATTCCTGCAGCTGCTTTACTCTTGGAAGGTTTTTACACGTTAAGGATAAGGCTTGCATCAGTCTACAGTTTTGGTGACCAACATAAATATTCTAAAGAAAGACCAAACACAGCAATGTGTAGTCTGTGTCTCTAATATACTTTTTATACAAAACAAGCTTAGTCATTTCCCTGTACAGCTGGGGGTCGTTTTAATTATTTTTTTTAAACTTCACTCAATAGGATGTGAACAGTGTAATTGCCTGGGACTACTTTCAGCAGTGGATGAATACACTCATGTACTACTTAGACTGAGCAGAATACTGAACATAGGATTGTCTGTAGGCAGTGCTGATGTTAATCATGAAGAAGGTGCAACACTGTTAAATTTAACAGGTTCACTGACATAAGCTTCTGAGTGTTGGTGTTAAAAGTTGGTCTAGATTTAGATACTTTTGGTTACAGTGTCACAGACTGCAGGAGTGAAACAACAGACTGTAACACTGCGTGGGAGGAAGTGACTTGTACAATGGAGCAGATCTCCCAACTGAAGATCCCATCTGTTGGACTCACAGTGAGAACAATGAGGACAAAATCTGACATGCAGATTGTTCTTCCTCTTTATTCTGTTTAACTTTCAGTTTCTTGCTCTAACGGGAAGAAAACACTTAATAGTGAAAAATGGTGAAATCAAACATGTTTAAATGGTGTGTCAAAGCAAGTGATATGAATGTTATCCCGTTGTTTATCTGTTGACCTACCCCCCTGCTTTGTTCCCGGTCCCTCACCATTCTTGCCCGGGGTTCTGTGCAGCAGATCTAGCAGGATTTTGTTGAGCCGCTCCCTCTGGGCCTCCCTCCTGCCCAGCACCGGGTGGTGCAGTGGCGAGGAGGCAGAGGAAGACGGGAGCTCGAGCATTTCTCCTATCCTCTCTGTTGAACTCTCCTCCAGCTCTTTTCGCTCCTCAGTGTCCCGCCCTTCCTCCTCGTCATCCTCCTCGTCTTCATCCTCGTCTTCCTCCCCTTCCTGTTCCGCTCTTCTGGGCTTGACAGGCAGAAGTTCAGGATCCTCTGGCGCCCCGTCCATGTCATCCTCCACTCCTCTACCATCTTCTCCCTCGGGAGGGAAGTCATCACCCCGTTCGCAGGAAGAGCCGTCGTCATCGCAGCCTCCTTTGGGTCGTTCGCTCTTCCAGGCAGAGCGGCCGCCGTTCCTCTTGTAGTTGTCAGGAACATAGTGAGGCTGCAAAAATGACAAAATCAGACTTGAGTACGAGCAGTGTTCACAAGTATTCATTATGATTTCAAACATTATCCAAGTATTTGGAAATGGAAAATAATATCAGAGCGGTACAATAAAGTCTTTAGTCAAGTTTCTGTGTTCATCTTTAT